ATATCTGAGATGGACGCGGATATATAGATGAATGAAGATTTGTATGAGATTCTAAAAACTAAATCAAAAGATTACAAAGGAATTCCAATCCAAATATTCTAACTACATATTTAGTAATAAATTCTTTGATTATCAAATATCCGCGAACATACCCATCTATAAATAATTGCAAAAATATCAATTTAAAATTTTAAAAGAAATTTGAAAGCATTATGTAAATGAGATATATATTCAAGAATACAACAAAAACTTCAATAAAGTTCTCCAAAAAATATACTCACATTTCAAATAGAATCATCTCTTATTGCAGAATGTCTACCAACAGAACGACCGGCTTGCCTTTCTCTATGTTTAGCAATACTTTTTAATTCTTTTGGAACAAATTCTACTTGTTGAATTTTATTATATGCTTAAAAAAGTTTTTATTTACAAAAATAATTTTAACAATTTACCATAATCAAAGAATAATTCTTCCCCACATTTTATTGACTGTTGGGCAAAAATACCAATTTTATGGTCTCCATTAACTACAACAACTCTTGCACGACAATTTGGATTTTTTGAATGATTAGCAAAACGAATAACATTCCCGACACGAGTTGCATCAACTACTTGTTCATCATTCAAACCTAAATTTAAAAGAAATAAACTAGGTAAGCAAATGTGCATCCCTTCAAAAAACCATGGGCGTATCCAGGGGGTCTTTTTCGGGGGGTCTAGCCCACTGGATACGCCCTTGAAGAAACGATAAAGCAAATACATTTAGGTCGTAGAATCCGGATTGAAAAAGCTAGATGTACATAAATCCTCCCAAAAAATTTCAAAGGCCTTATTCTCGAATAATTTTTTATTAAAAATATTCCTTCTTACCAAATAAATAACTACATTTGATTCGATCATAAATTTTCCCACGTCGTTCACTTTCTGCCTGACTTATAACTTCGCCACAATATTCAGACACAAAATCGTTTTTCTCGATATCCTCATTCGCAAAACAACCCCAACCAGCTACTTGTGAGGGCGCAACAATTAAACGTTTTTGAAGACCACGTTGAATTGAAACATTTTTACATATAGGCTCTCCAGAAGAACTAAGTTTGTCTTTAAAAACTTATTTAAAAATTTAAAAAAAATTAAAAATTACCGCAATTACAAGATGTACAAACATCTGGGTCGCATTCCCAACTTGCATAATAACATTGACACTTAAAAAAGAATACAAACTTTACTTTTTTTTCTCCTTTTTAATAAAAAAGAGAGAGGTTTGGTTCACTTAATAAAATATGTACCTGTTTTGTTCTACAATTTCCTGGAGCACAACGACATCCAGGAAAACGATTTTCGCATTCATCAGAACATCCACAATATTTTGTACAGAGATTATTAACTCTAATACAGTAACATCCATGCTCCTCTCGACAATCTCCTTTGTGTTGGCAAGGCTTAAACATACCCCCATTTTCTACTTTTCCATTTGTATTTGCCCATTTCATGGCACGAAAAGTTCGATGAGAATCACGATTTTTTCGGTACCTTTATTTGAGATAAATTAGACGAGTAACTTTCGCTGTAAAGAATATGGCCTATGGCCAACTTTTAAAATTCTAATTAATAAAAAATACTTTGAGTTTTTTATTGGAGATGTAGCAAGTTCTAAACGAGGCGATAATGGCCCAGCCCGTGCAGCATAATCATAAATTTCAATACAAGTTTTTTTATTTGACGAATTTGTACAAACATTTAACATTCTAAAAAAGAAAAATTATTTTTTTTAATCCAAAATTATTTTACTTTGTTATTTTACAAAAATCATCTTCGCCAGTTTTTCGAAGAATAGCAAAAATAGATTCTTCATGTGGTGTCCAACCATTTTTGGGGTTCTCATTGCCTTTAACATCGATGTATAAATTGTTACGTTTTGAGGTATTGTCCTATAAATAAAGGAAAATAATTTTGGTATTTTACAAAAAACCTTTTGATTTGAAAGAGGAGATTTAACTCTTTCAACAGTCATATAACATTGAAGAGAACAAGGTCTTGGAACTTCAGTATTTTTCTTCGATTTATTCCTTTCTGAAAAAGCATTGCGTTTACGTGTTCTATTCCCACCCCCATAACCATCGGCAATTGTGGCTATAAAAATAATTTATTTTTAATTTTTAACTCGCATTAATTAACTCAACCATTATGCATAATACAATCATAAGCAAAACATTTATGGCAAAGCAATACTTCATAGCTGTTTAATAAACGATTAGAAGAAAAGTTGGCGACCAATTCACCCTCTTCATTCGTGAATTCTTGGCGAGTAATCGTCTCCGGCTCAAAGCGTTGTTGCAAATCTGGATACCTAAATTAGAAAGAATTTCTATTATCATTTTTGAAAATTAAAAAGCCCAAATGGAAGAAAACGAGACAACCGTTCCAAAACTTGATAATTTGAATCTTTTAAGAATAATTCTTACATTGTAAGTAATTCGTGTTTAGATGCCTTATTTGGAAAACATTGATAAACGTACTTGAAAATGAATTTCAAATCTGTAAAAAAAAAGAATTAAATTTAATTACAAAAATTTTACCGGTATCTTTAAGACGTGCTTTTACTGCCTTAACTGTGTAATATAGAATAAAGTCGTTAATGTATTCTCCGCAGCCATCTTTAGTGCCATGAATGCCTTCTGGGAATGTTTTCATTAGATCAAGACAAAAGGAAGTGTCGTCAACAGAATCTCCAAGAAATGGGATATGTGAAAGCGTGTATTCGTCTTCGGCCTAAATATATTAGGAACAATGAGGGTACTTCTCCGTCATCTGTCAACATTTTACTCTCTCATAGGAAAATGTTCAAATTCATCCAAATATTTTAACATACTCACAATCACATTAGCCTCTGTATGTGTCCAATATTGCATTGATGGAGTCGATTCAACATGTTCAAGCGGAATAACAGGACATTTGTTAACAACTGATCCCGTTTCTGCACGGCGAAGAATGGTAGATTGATTGTCCTTTACTTGGTTATATTCTGGAATTTGAAGAGGAACAAAATTGAAGTTGACCGTCTTAGGAGATATCTTTCTGGAAGATTCAAATGACTTCTGAAAAATAAAAACTTTCATCAATTTCACACCCCACCAGCCCTTGAACAGCAATTTTTCGCTCATATTGTTTTCTAACTTTCCAATATTCATCCATTATATTTGAAGAAAGGTCATCTTCAAAGGAAGAACGTTTTCTTTTACGTTTCTCGGCAGACATTCCACTATTTAAAAATTAGGAATGAAATGTAAAGAATGATTACCTAATTTCTATATCAACTCGTATCAGGCTGTCTCCCAGTAACGACAATATCCCTTCTGAATAAAGTAACAAAAATTTAAAAAAAACAGTATGTTAATAACGTTGACGATCATTTCGGTTAAAAATTCAAAAAAGAAATATATTTATAAAATTAAATAAAAATGTGGCATTGTTAGTCTTTGATATATATTTATATTCAATAGAACATCCAAAACATATCATATTTAAGTCAAATAAATCAATTACGTCTTACAATAAATTTTATCATCGAAGATTAGTCTCAACCCAATAATTTTCGCATTTGTCCCTCCTGACTACGAACAACAGCGTCATTACGTTCGGTTTTGGTATGAATACGATCAAGCATACGATTCTGATCATCCACTTCATCCCCAAGCGCCGAACCCCACATTCGAAGACGAGCAAGTTGAGCACTCATTTGATCTAAAATGATAGAAAATAAATTTTTTGTAGTTAGGAAATAAAATAATAAAAAAGTCCAAAATATACAGATAATCAAGATACCAAGGTTTTGATCAACTTGGTTGTCCATAGCTTCCCAACGAGTCCCTTGAATTTGAGCACGAGATGATTCACTAAGTGAAGGGCCACAGGCACTCAGGGTAGTTGATTTGGAATTACTAACGAAGGTTGAGCCAGAAGAGTTATCGCTGTTAACGATTTTGCTAAGTTGATCTGCCGACTTTGACGAAGAAAACGAGTTCTAAAAATAAAACAAAAATACCGCAATTTAAAAATAACCTGTTGAACTCCATCCTTCGGCTTCTCCTTTGGCAAGCGTGAGAATTTATTCTTTAACATTCCACCGAACAAAGATTTAAGGCTAAAGATGAATGATTTTAATGGCACGCAATCTCACTATAGCAGAGAAAAAAATCGTAAAAAATCGAGAAAAAATAGGGGAAGGTTCCGCAATTCAACAGATTTTTGAGTCAACTACCCGTGGATATAAATGACATCTAGTCTTGTAGAGAAATTACCTATTAAGGCTTCGTTGTGTGTATTGTGTCGTAGTATGAATTTCATCCAGATATAACCCAACAATATGATCAAATATCTTTGTAAAAAAATAACCCAACAATATGATCAAATATCTTTGTAAAACCAACCCTAGCTGTCGATTCTGCCATTTTATCAGATGAGTCTAACTGCATAACAGAACGCTGTGTACTATCCACTGACATTTGTAAATACTTCTCAACTTCCCGCTCATAGTCAGCAATCTGATCTTCAACATTGTTGCTTGAACCCGCGGTATAACTTTTTACCGGATCTAAAAAATCAATCAGAAATAGAAAATTATAAGTTAACTCACCCAACCCAGCCCTGCTATTTCCTTTGAGTTGATCTTCTTCAGAATAGAAAGGATTAGCCATTTCTAAATAATAAATTTTATTTAATGAACAGGAATATTAAAGAATATGAATTTCGTCCCTCCTCACAATTAATCACATAATATTTGCAATTGACATCAATCAGTCAATAAAAGGGGGAGGAACGAAATAAAAAATTTCAGAAATATGTATTTACTTGTAAATAAAACAACAATAAAGAATTAAAGACAAAATAGATAATCAATTTATGCCACAATTAATAGCACCTACTTTTACTAACAATAAGACCAGAAAAGATAAACTAAATACAAATTAAATTGTACTATATTTTTATTCTTTAAATATTTATTTCAATTTCGATAGCTCATTAGGCACAAGAATTCTAGATTGCATCTTTTTAATCAATGGAACAGTGTATTCAACAGTAGAGTCCCATCCAGGCTTACTCCAAGTCATTTGTCTGGTTGTGTTACGATCAACCTTAAAATATAAGCTTTTGAGAAATATTGATTACCGAATATTGACAACTGAAACTAAAATACAAATTAAACAGTCCTTATCGTTCTACCTCCTATACCAGTCATATACATACAAATATTTTTAAGTTTAGTTTAAGGAAAGGAAGAACAACCAGGCAGAAATTAAACGACATAAACTAAAAACATACCAAAGAAGGATATGCCCAAATGTGAAAAACTAAATATAGCTGACCAACTTGCGAAAAGAAACCTCCAACCTAAAATTTTATTAAAAACAAAAATTTAAAGAACACAACATCTTGATTAAATTCGCGACGATAAGTTATCCCTTTAGCCCAAGCATTCCCCCATTCAATCATTGTACCAGGCTGAAATTTTAGAAAATATTTTGATATTTAGAAATTATAAACCTTCAAAACATAACTCCGAAGATCATAAATATGAGGAGTAGTTCGCTCTTTTGGCTCACCCCAATAGCTAAAAGGCTTCGTAATGACTGTTCGGCGCCGACCGCATAAGCGGGCATATTCAAGCTCGCTGGCTTTTAGCGCAGGATTACTTTGCAATGATTTAATATGACTTGAATGGATTGATTAACTCGAAATAATTGAATATGAAAACCTGTCCAAATCGGCATAACCTTTCTCAAAACGCCACAGATTGACAACTTGATTCTGATTGCCAAAAATAACAAACCAAGAACCAAAAAGCATTGCACCAGGAGTCGCACCAGTCACTTCGGCTGCATACTAAACGAAGAGCTCACACAACAGCCTGAAGAAAGTGAACCTTTTTGTAAGATTGTACGTACAGCTCCCGATTGCCTCCAATGACGTCATGTGCTAAAAGATAAAATTGGTTAATTGTCAGCGAGAGAATTAAACTTTGCATTTCATAGATGGCATCGCCGACAGACAAGAGAGAGGAATGACTCTGTGCCTGCCGACCAATTGCATTCTCTCGTGGCCCAGTCAAGATCCTTGATATCCAACCTTGTGGTTTGTCATCAGGTGTATTATCATTTGACAAGAATCGTGAAGCACTGAAACGTGAAGAACTAGAATTATCTTTAAAAAAATCGGCCAGAAGGATGAAGACGAATCAAGTTAAAACTCTCCTCAAACTGAATTGAGCCGACGAAAGAAGGAAGGTGAATTGGGATCCCCAAAGTTTAAAATACTAACGTTTGGTATGTGTGCCTTGATCTGAATAAAAATTTATGGAACGCAATCGCTGTCATTGTTTCCTTATAGAAAATTAAAGTTTTAATTACACAACTATCTAAATCAATATATCTGAATAAACAGAAGTTAAATGAAAAAAATAGACAATCTCAATTATTTTCAAAAATCAAATTCGTAACAATGAATAACGATCAAATAATAGGCGATGATCAACTAAATTATCTTAAAATCAAATGGTCATCCAACAAATTACTTAAACTTCCGTATCGTTAGCTTGCTGGTATTCTTCCTGAGTAGCAGAATCACGACGAAGAGAACGCGCTAATGGATAAACATTTTCAACATTAATTGAAGCCATTCGCGGTGTACGAGTCCCATCCGCGAGAAGCATACCACCATTATAATGAAGACGACCAGTGATATATACACGCGAACCTAGAACATTGAATATGTTAAGAGATGAAATTAAACGAAAACCTCGATGAAGATTCTGTTGTATATATTTAGCAACCCCACCGAAAGCAACAACATTATGAACCTCAGTATTGGTCACAATATTGCCATTCCCCAATTTGCGATCAACATTAGTGTAAAGATTGAACGAAGCGAATTCGCTGCCTCTCTGTGTAACCTTGTAAACAGGATCGCCAGCAACTCCACCAAGCAATTCGACACGATTAACCCTTTAAATCATTAATTTTAAAAATAATTTAAATTAAAAAAACCCTTTGTTCATGCGACGTTGTGGCTGAGGATAAGCACTTCCATACCCACCAGACTGCTGGTTACTCTCCACATCATCCTGATACACAGGTTGCCCTTTTGGTTGCTCCGATTGTTCAAAAAGTTGAGAGATATCAGTTGACGCCTGTCTTAATCCCATAATAGGACGAATTGAGCGAGAGAAGATACGGGCAATTGACATATTGAATATAATTTAAAATAAAGTCTTTAACCTGAAAAAAGTTTATTCTATATTTAGGAAAAAGGAATATTCAAGAAAAAGGAAGAAAAAGCAAAAAAAGTATGAGAAAAAGGAAAAATGAATAGCTTAATTTGGTTCCCTAACGTTTCGTCACTGAACCTTCCGTCACCAAACCTTTCGTCACTGAACCTTTCGTCACCAAGACTTTATTTTTAAAAATCAAATAAGAAGTTGTCAAAAATGACAAATTGATCATAATCGGTAATTTAGTTATATTTACTGTGTTGCTAAATGATAGGAGACAGTACGTAGGTACGGTCATTAGCTCGCTGAGCAAATTCAGCAAATATTTGTTGCAAATTTTGATCTTGAATGACATAAACCGACTTCCGCTTAAGTCCCTTTCCTCGGATACCGTTTGCCGGTGCATTATTATAGTCAGCAATTATTTGTTCCCATCTTGCAAATTCTTTGATCATTCGCTTTACAAATTTACTTAACAACGGATTTTGTTCAAGTAAGGAGCCCCATGCATTGTGCCATCCCTCCAACGAATTGTTGGTTCTGGATAGACCAATATGAAGACGTTCGCTTAGATTCCACAACTAAGATAACGAAGTTCCTTGTTACAACCCTTGTTACAACCGGATTAGGCCCTACAGCAAGTTGTCTCAAGCGCTCGAATGCCTCATGTATCTAAGAAAAAAATACTCCGGAAAATACTTTTATGATTTACCTCTTTTTTGTAAGGCTCAGCATTATGTGAATGGTTAGCATTTTTTATCCATCCGATTTTAAAACGGTTCCCGTCTCCTTCATGCCATGCTGACGCGACATGGATACGGCCCGGACAGTACGGAGGTCTCTAACAAATACTTAAATAAAAACCAAACATAATCCATACTTTTGGGCATTTCCAATATTCAACTTGATTATCCACGGCAGAATAACGTTCAAACTGGTATTCAAAGCCGTCACGAGTTAAGAGAGATGAACCTCTTTTAGATTTTCAATAAATTCGAGTAAATCCTCCATCTCCTCGGAAGATGAAGAAAAAATTTGCCCCTCATCTGATGATGAACCTACGTCCATTTTAGCCAATATGAGTAAAAAAATTTATGAAAATAATTTTTTAGTAAAAATAAAAATAGTAAAAATAGTAAATCAAAATAAATTTATTTCACTTAACATCCTTATTATTATTTGTTTTTTATCAAAAAGTTATTAATTTTGTTTATTATATTTCATCTTCATTCATATGACTTTCTTTTATTCAACTTAATTTCCATAAATCTATTTTGTTAAATTTGTCCATCCAGATGTGCATTCTCTTTTTTATGGTGAATAGTGACGAAAGGTTCAGTGACGAAAGGTTTGGTGACGGAAGGTTCAGTGACGAAAGGTTTTGACGAAAGGTTCGGTGACGAAAAGTTTAGTGACGAAACGTTCGGCCACCGCTTAATTTTACATGGGATTGTATTTTCTATAATGACATTTTGTCAAATTTACTCTCAATGGACAAATTGAAAAGACGAATTGAGTGAAGATAACAAAAGAAAAGAAGCAGAGTGTGTTATTTTTACCGTATCTTGGCATTCTATTTACAAATTTTTAATCAAGGACTTTTCGTCATATTTGTATTTGTCAACGGGCACTTCGTCATTAAACATTAGCAATATGTTAAAATGCTTCATGGTCAAATTCCCAGTATACCGCAATCCACGGATTTCGATGAGAAAAAGTATCAGGGAAACTGGTTTGACATGAGTATTGATTTGTATAATGGCTTTAAATGATCTAGGACTCAAGCCCCACAAGTTCAAAAAAGCAGCTTTTTACATAAAAAATGAAGAGTTAGGATACTTTCTGGTTATCCTGTATATATTATTTGAACGAAAGCTAAATCATACACATATTTATGTAGTAAAAGTTGATTTTACAGGCTGGATGTTTATTTTAATTATTTTTAACAGTAGTGCAAATATTTATATATTAAAATATTAATGTAAAGCATGTTGTAATTCCTTAAATCTTTTATGCATTTTAAAAATCTTTTTCCTTTTTATTTATTTGGTAGGCAGTATTGCCTAACAATAAGTAAAAGGTTGTAAAATTCTCTTCTTTATTGTTAGCTTGTTTGCATGATTGTTCACTTGTTTGTTGCTCCTCCTTTTTCAGCTTCTTTTTCCACTTATTTTCTTCCCTTTTAGTCCTTTTGCACTCCACAATTGTGGGTTCTTGGCTGGCTGAGAACAAGCTAAGGGCGCAGGATAAAATACCCTTAAATGGGGAAAGTGAAAGCATCCAGTCGGGGGAAACGATATATATTTTATATATTTATACATTTATTTTTTGGTATTGCCTTTCTTTTTTATTTTCTTCTTCATCTTCCAGAATATTTTCTTTTTCTTGCCCATCATTTAAGCTTGAAAAAGGAAATGGTTGCATTTCCCGGTTGACGGCCTTTTTTTCTTCTTCCATCAAAAATTTCTGGATGGGCAAATAGAGAAGGATAAATTCTTTTAGTTGCCAGATTTGACTTTAAAAATATATTAATTCGTCCAATGAAAGTGAACAGGATATCATACATTTTGTAGCAATCCTCTTTCGCATTTTTGAGAAGAATTTCTTTAAATTTTTATTTGAAATATTTTTTAAAGTTTTTTAAAATTATTTTAGTTGAAAGATTATTTTTAAATTTTAAATACCAGCCCGAATGGATGGCCGAACCCAGAGCCTTTGTGCAGTTTGCGGCACTTTTCCACCTATTTATTCTTTTCTGTTTTCTTAACCTTCTTCTAATAGAAAGTCAGTGCTCAGCAGAAAGGTATTTTTTTATTCGAAGAATTTTAAAAAATTTAAAGATAAATATCAATTTAGATTCTCAATTTTCTTATTAATTTAAAATTCTCATATTATTTTTTAAATTTATTAAATTTCTTAATTATCTCTCTTTAATCTCTGACTTGCTCTTTTTTCATCCCAATTCCTTACAAATTAATACAACCCAATTCCTTACATTTTAAATGCTTATATGTTTTACCTTTAAGGAATTTCTATATTAAAATATTTTTAAATTAATTTTTATATATTTATTTTTTCCTTACAAATACAAATCAAAATTTATTCAAATCTAAAGCTTTGTCTAAAATTTTCTAAATCCTTCCAGTAAATATAATAATCACTTTTTAAATTTTAGAATATTTATGACGTTTATTTTAAATAAAAAGTTTTTTTGTCAATAAATTTTTATCAAATTTTGTTAAAAATATTTGGTTAACTTTAAATATTAATGCCTAAAAATTATTCACTTTCTTTTTTTTTAATTTTTGCTTCCTTTTCCCCTCTTTATTTTCCCCAATGCAAATGCAATTTTGCTTCCAATCAAAAACATTCTCTCCTTTTTTTTTAACAAACTGGGGAATAAATATATTCAAGAAAAACGGCACAAACAGAAAATGTGAAAATTGGCAGTAGTTGAAAATATCCTTTGGGATTTTTTGCTTACTAAAATGACGAAAATAAAAAAAAATATAGAAAAAATGTGTATAAAGATGCTTTTGTCCTCCCTAAACAAACAAAATTGAAAAAAGAATTTTTGATTATGATTTTTATTTAAAAAAATATGTATGGACAAATAGGCGTTTAATTAATATTTTTCTTTAAAAAAACAATTTTTAGAAATTAAAAAAATATTAATAAACAAAAAAAAATGCAACAATTAAAAAGGGAAAACAAAAAGTTAAAAATAAAGTTTATTTAAAATATTTTTAAATCTGTTTAAAAAACAAAATTTTGTTAACATCATCTTTTTCTTCTTTTCTTACCTCTTTTTTTGACTTTTTGATACAAAATTCAAGTTTTATCTAATATATAAATTGTTTAAAAGTAAACGTAATTTAGTCAAAATTTATAATATAAAAATATATTAATTTTGATAATTAAAATTTAGAGAATTTAAATAAATTATAATTTAATTTTTTTAAATTTAATATTTCATTTTAAATTTTTCATAAAAAAAATAGAAAAGAGCTTCTGGGAAGGAATTGAATCTGTAACCTTAAATAATTGCCAGATTTCAATTAAACACCATTTTAGATGCTTTACTAAAACTGAATTATCGGGGTAATACTTGCCCTTTTCCACCTTTTCTCTCTTTCTCTTCTATAAATCTTTACCTTTCCTCCCCCATTTTTTCAAATAATTATTTTATAAATATTATTTACAGAAAAGCCTTTTTCCGTCGAAATTCTCGTCATCTTCGCCGACTTTCACGTCTCTATGATTGGGAAGTAGACGAATTTGGATCATTTAGGCCCGTAATTCCAACAACACAAAATCAAAGATTTCTTCGCCAAATTAAAGGAGAAAATGAAGAAAAATTAGAAATTAAAATAAATAATCAACAACAACAACAAATATGTGCAAATGATTCTTATATTCTTGATAAATTACTTATTAATTATAATAGACATAAAATTCCTGGTGGAAAAGTTGAAGTAATGGTTGAGGTATTTATATGTTGTTTACCGTATTTACTCGATTAATTCCCCACCCTCAAATAATTAACCATGTCAGGGATGAGTTGAAAAAATAATTCCCCACCCCTGACTACTCTACTACACGTTCAAATTTCAAAACTCGGATAATTCCCCACCCTCTATTAATTCCCCATGCCACGGATGGGTTGAAAAAATAATTCCTCGGGGGAATTAATCGAGTAAATACGGTATTTGGTTACACTTTATTTCGTAAATTAATGTGTAAAAGAATATTTTTAGGTTCAAAAAATTGAGCTTAAAAATAAGTTTATTTTAAACCAAAAAAAAATATAAAAATCGACCAATTTTTGTAAGATTTTTTTCGTCGAAACTCGTGAATGTTTCCGGTCATATTATTGTTCATTTTATTATCAATTATTAAATATCTTTTTTGCGTAATTTAATGGAAATAATCATCAAAAAAGCCACACACATAAAATCCTCCAATCTTTTCGAAATTAACATAAAATTATTTAAAAATAATTCTGAAATATTTTTTTAGGTTTGGGTGCAGGAAATTACAACAATTTCTGGTTTGTTTTTTTTCTTTTAAATTAAAATATTAAATTTTAATTTTAGATATAACATCAGATTTCCAGGCTAGTTAAAATTTAAATTTAAAATTAAAAAAAAATTAAAAATTTTTAGTTAGACATTTATATCAGCGAAATGTGGAGGGTACTTATTTTTATAAAATTATAATCTAAAAATACTTTTTAAGGATCAAGCTTTGGATTATTCTTGGATGGAACCTTGCAAATATAAGTTTGTAATTAAATTATTTTCTCCCCCCAAAAAACTTTATAAAAAATAATTTTTGGACAAAAAACATTTTTTTATTTAAAGAAATCTTTACTTTTTTAAATTTAATTTTCTCTAGTTTATCACTGAACAGCATCCTTTTAGAAAAGCTTTGGACTCCAAATTCGGTAAAAATTAATTTTATTTTTTATTTCAACAACTATTTACACAAAAAAATTATTTACAAATATACATATATTTACATACAAATTATATCGAGAAAGACAAAATCTCTTCTCCCCTTTTCTTTTTTTCTTAATTAACATCATACTATAATCATCATCACAACAACCAAATACACTAATTTCCACATTCTTTCCCGCATATTTAACTATGATCTAAAATCTAAAGAATTTTTTTTAATAAATCAATTTACTTTTTACCTTCATCATTCTTCTTTTCTTCTTTTTTGTCCTTACTATCATCTTCTTTTGCTTTGTCCTTTTCTTTGTTTTCCTTTTTCTTTTCCTTCAACTTTTGCGCAGCCATGTATTTTCCAAGAATTTCATGCTTCCTTTGACGTAATTGAATTCTTGCCTCAGTCGTTAACGGAGGAAAGTCTCGCTCAATTGAAGCTGAAAAAACAAGCTTGAAGTATTTATTTAAATTATTTCCTATCAGTTTTTCGAAAGGAATTAAAATTAAAGACTCGTTGAAAGTTAAAAGGACTCTTTACATTTTGGACAAAACAATGGAGGAGCTTCTTCCTCTCCTTTCAACGGATGATAACTTGAGAGTGCCATCTTTAGCATTTCTTTGTTTTCATCATCATCAGAAATATGTCCATTATCCGCATGGTCATTGGAAGCTCCTTCCTCCATTTTTACCTTAAAAATTAATTTATTTTTTGTAATTAAAAAAATTCAAATTACCGAGAAGACGAAAAGTTTGAAGCAAAAGAAAATCAAACAAAAGAAATGAAGAATTGAATTTAATTGTGAATTTAATTAAAGATTTTTGCCTTTTTATAGTTGAAAAAAGGAGGGAGTAGGTATATGTACATATTTCTGAATTTTGATATTAATTTCTTTAAAATTTTTCTCTTAAATTCTTAATGTATCATTTCTAAAATTTACAAAATATTTTAAAATCAAAAAATCAAAATTAAATTTTAAAAGTGTTTTATCAATTCAAAAACCGCTGATATTCATCGCTCACCATTTCCCAATATTTTTCTTCTCATTTACGCCAACGGGTCAGTTTGGACTAATTACCGTCTAAAATTACAAGGACCTTGTGAAATGGATCTTACTCGATTTCCTTTTGATAACGTTACTTGTGCTCTAACTTTTGAATCATTTAATTATAATACTGATGAAGTTGAAATGTTTTGGTCTAGGTAAAAAAGAAATATTTTTGGAGAAAAAGAAAATATTTTAATTTAAAGTGTTGGAGTTGCCAAAATGAGAGATCATATAGAATTAGCTGATTATTTGCTCATTGATATAATTCCAGACCGCCAAACTGTGGTGTCTATTAATTAAAATAAATTTTCGATTTAACAATTAATTTAAAGCCTTATCCGGCTGGTTATTGGCATGAATTAACTATGCGATTTCACTTTAAGCGAAGGGCTGGCTGGTTAGTTTTAGAAAATTATTTTGGAAGTAAAAATTAAAAAAAAGTTTATCTCAACGCTTTAACTATCTAAATATATTGATAACCATTGGCACTTAAAGAGGGAATTATTTCTGTAAAAATATATTCAAATTAAAATTTTTGTGTTTAAAGGTATATACTTCAAGCCTACTTGCCAACTTATTTAACTATTTTTATCTGTAAGAATTAAAATTTTTTAATAAAATAATTTTAAATAAAAATATTTATGAAGCATGGATCTCTTTTGTTCTCGGTACTCAAGTATGTTGAAATTTAGAAAAAAAACTATTTAAATTTAATCTTTAAAAAGGCCATTCCTGCACGTACAATGTTAGGAGTAAATTCATTATTGGCTATGACATTTCAATTTGGCAATATTATTAGAAATTTGCCTAAAGTCAGTTATGTAAAGGCTATAGGTAAATTTTGAAGAAAAAAATATTTGAAAATTAAAAATAAAAGATATTTGGCTTCTTTCTTGTATGACTTTTGTATTTTTTTCTTTACTTGAATTAGCTTGGGTTGGTTATTTAAGTAGAAAAGAAGGGGAAAGTAATAGAAAAACTGAAAAAGATACGGCATCAACTACTGCTGCTCAACAACAATTAAAAACTGTTTCTACACAAAATTGGCAAATACCTTTTGAAGAAAGTGAAGTTAACCGAAAAGAAGAAAATATTAATTCTCTTAGGTATACAATTTAAAGTTTTTTTTAGATTTCCAGATTAGTATATTATATAGAAATATCAGATATTGTTTTGTACTAAATTAAAGCCCCCCCCCTTCCTCTTAAGGAAAATAAAGAAATTTTAGAAGAAAATTTATTAAATATAAGTAAAATTGTGGCAATTAAATTAACAAAAATAGCCCTCCTTTCCATTCCTTTTATTCTTTAAATAATTCTAAAAAAAAATATTTAATTAGAAGAAGAATGCCACTCCAACAACAACCACCTTTACCTATAAACGAAGACGAAACAGCAGCCCTTTTAGCCAGAACAAACGATTATGGTTATATTCCCCCAGGTTATGGATTATTAAATGGAAATTTATTAAAAGAACCCCAAAAACAACAGCAGCAACAATTAATTTTATCTTTTTATTCCCCCCAAGGAATGGATAATTCTTTATTTTCTAATGATGATCAATTAATAATACCTCAATTAAAAGAAAATATTAAAGAAGAAGAGGAGGACGGGGGAAATTCTTTATTAAATAAAAATAAAATATTAAATCGTTCGAGAAAAGAACAATTAGCTTTAAAAATAGATAGATATTCTGCACTTTTATTTCCTGCTTTATTTGCTCTTTTTAATGTTTTTTATTGGTAAGAATTATTTTTAAATAAATTTTTTTAAATTAATTTTTTTAGGTATCATTATATGACTGAATAAATTGTGGAAAATAAAGTTTAGATTTATTTTATTGTTTTTAATATTTTTTTAAATAAAATTGAATTTTTTTTAGTTTTTTTGAAAGTTTTTTTAAAATAATTAAAAAATATTTTTAATTTAACAAAAATAAAAAAATTATATTTAAAAAATGGGTTTTAATGGATGGAATTTTCAAATAATTTTTTGGAATGAAGTTAAAAGAGAAATATTTTCTAATAATCCTATATATAATTTTAGATTTAATGTATGTCTGTCTGTCTGTCTGTCCGTCCGGGGGGTCATTTCGGCGCAACAATGTATTAGGGCGCAACAAAAGCAAAATAAAAGAAAGGGGCGTGTCGTTTATTAAAAAAGCAGTAAAACTAAAAAAACAGAACGAATTTGCATAAACGAACAAAACAAAAAATTATTTTAGAAGAAAGGGGCGTGTGTCTTTCTAAAAATAGCAAAAAAACTTAAAAACTAAAATGTGTATGAATAAACAAAACAAAAAACGGATTTTTAAGGTCAACAATGAAAAGTCAATTACATATAAAAATTAAATAATTTTTTAACTTGCAAATGCAAAATATATTTTGTTTAAACATTATTTTTTACTTTTCACTAATTATGAGATTTGAAATAGACATAATTTTTCTTTGAAATCTTATTTAATGAGAAAGGGCTGTTCCAACACAGAGTAGTTAAGAGTTCTGGTCATGGGTAGACAAGAGACCAGACAAGGGGTAGCCAACATTTAGACAATGTTTTGATAAAAGCTAAGACTCTGGGTAGATAAGAGTTCAAACACTTGGTAGATAAGAGGTTAAACAATTCGTAGATAAGAGATTTGGCAATGGGTAAAAAAATCATTTCGGAGCAACAATGTAGATAAAAGTTTTGACACTGGGTAGGTAAGAGTTCCATCAATTGAGTAGATGTGAGTTATGACAGATAAAAGTTATGTATGGGTGGATAAGAGTTCAGTTTTTTATGGGTAGATAAGAGTTTTGCGACTGGCTAAATAATATTCGACCAGTGTTTAGATAAAATTTCAGACACTGTCGATAAAATCCAGACAATGTTTAGATAAAAGTGTCGACACTGGGTAGACAAGAGTTCTGGTCCTGGGCAGATAGAGTCCAGAAAATGGTTAGATAAAATGTAGACAATGTATAGATAAAAGCGCAGGGTATGGGTAGATAAGAGTTTAAACACTGGGTAGATAAGTTTTAAGACAATGTGTAGATAAAAATTTTGTTTACCGGTAGCTAAGAGTTCACTCAGTGGATAGATAAGAGTTTTGTCAATATGTATATAAAAGCTTAGATTGTGGGTAAGTAAGAGTTCAAACACTGGGTAGATAAGAGTTTTGCCATTGGGTAAATAATATCCAAAAAATGTTCAGATAAAAGTTACGACACTAGGTAGATAAGAGTTCTGCCCATGTGTAGATAAGAGTCCAGACACTGGGTAGCAAAATCTAGACAATGTGTAGGTAAAAGCTCTGACTCTGGGTAGATAAGAGTTCGAACAATGGGTAGATAAGTGTTTTGCCAATGGGTAGATAAAATATAAACAATGCGTAGATAAAAGCTCAGACTGGATAGCTAAGATTTCAAACACTGTGTAGATAAGAGATCAGACAATGGCCAGATACGAGTTTTGTCAATGGAGAGCTATGAGTTTAGTCTTTGGATAGATAAGATCCAGACAATGTGTAGATAAAAGCATAAACACTTGGTAGATATGAGTTCAAACACTGGATAAATAAGAGTTCAAGCATCGGGTAGATAAGAGTTAAGAAAAGTGGGAAGATAAGATTCGTAAGGCAGACATTGTGTGGATAAAACTTCAGATAATGAGTAAATAATAGTTCATACACTGGGTAGATAAGCGTCTAGACAATGGGTACCGAAGATCTAGCCAATAGGCAGATAAAAGCACAGACAGCAGATAAAAGCTCAAATACTTGGTAGATGAGAGTTCAAACAATGGGTAGCTAAGAGTTGCGTCAATGAGTAGATAAGATACAGACAATGTGTCTATAAAAGTTCAGATACTGAATAGATAAGTGTTCACGCAAATGGGTAGATAAAAATGTGTTGATAATGATTAGTTCTTGAAATCGTTAGAGTATAATGCTTAGGCAATAGATAAATAGACGGAAAAAACAAGCAAAAGTTTTATAGTTTTAGGCTAGCGAAGAGACTCGCCCGAAGGGCGAGTCTCTTCGCTAGTTTACTATAAAATTAAAAAGAAATTATAGGAGCCCTGAGTCTTTTCTTAAAATCAAAAAACAATTTGTAATTATTTTTCAATCGTATTCATCATCTCTAGTTTTGAATTTATTTGCTAACCAAGCCTGGAATTTATTTAAATTAAAAAGAAAATATTTTCTATTTAAATTAATTACTTACAACTTTATTAACAACTTCTTCTTGTGCTAAATTAAAGCACATAGCCAATAAAGCCATTCCGGCAAGTAAATATATTGAGGTAATTACTAATTTTTCTTGTGCTTCTTTATTGCTACCAACAGACCCTCCAGGGAATTTATCTCCAAAACCGATTGTTGTTAAAGAAACATAACAAAAATAAAAACTGTCTAAGAAAGTCCATTCTTCCCATAAACAAAAAAGAATTGAACCAGTCACCAAATAAGCTAACATTGTTAATAAAACGAGTGAAAGAGGAACCTTTAAAATTGAAAAAAAGGAATGTACAGAATGAGGCAAATTAGTGACGGGGGGGGGGGGTTGTTTTTAGAATAACTTTGCTCGAACCTTATAATTTTTTGCAGCACTTACGGAAAACTATTGATACTAAATAACAGAAATAACATGGATAACTAAAATAGCTAGAGCTGTGAGTAATTAATTAGGTTATATATTTTGGGTTCAAAAAGTTTATAGGATTAATTTTAGATTTGGTGTGGTAACTAAAAAAGGAAAATTTAAGACTAAGGAATTGAAAAATAAAATTATAATAGTTTAAAAATAAAAAGTTTACAGAAATTCGTTGTAATTGTGCTTCGACATTTTCTTTAATTTCTAATTGATCTAAATGTGCTCTAGCAGCCAAAAGCTTTAAAATCAAAAAATTATTTTTATTTTTCTAAATTAATTACTTCATTAACATCTACAGCAGCTAAATGTACAGCATTACCGTTTGGAGGTCCGGATGTTGGTGGTCCTCCTATAGATTCTAATGAACAATCATCTCTTTGATGTTGTTGTAAACGTAGATGATTTATATCTGTTAAGGAAAAATCTCTGGATATTAATAAGTATAGATTAAAATTAATTTAAAACATCTAAATTTCGTAAATAAGTTTTCATTATTGAAGTTTCTATTCCATTAATATACCTGCCGTATATGCTCGAATAATTATCCTGGATAAATATTGTTTCAAATTCTTGCTGGATGGGGGGGGGGGTAATTATTGAGAGAAAGTCATTGTTTAAGCATATACGGTAATTATATTTTATATTTTCCCAAACTTTTTCTAAAATTTAACTAAAAAATCTTTTCGTTTAAAACAATTTAATTAAAATAAACAACAAACAAGGTTGATTAGCTCTAGTTAGTCTAGCAACCAAAGAATTTGCTCTTCGAATTTTTGCAGCTCTTCTACGTTTATGCCATAAAATTAAATTATATTTTAACCGAATTGAACGAGCATATAAAAATCTTTTTTTTAATAATTAATTAATTATTCTAATTTTAATTCAAAAAAGCACCTAAATATTTTAGCCATAACATCCCCAATATTTGTAAGAAATAAAAGCATTAAAGGAATTCCAATTATAGCAAAAAGTATTGTTAATGTTTTGCCAAAATATGTTTTGGCTGATGTATTTCCGTATCCAATTGTTGTTATTACCTTTATTTTTATTTTAACTAATAAAGAAGGAAAGGAAAGAGATTGCCGGAACCATAAGTTCAATTTAAAAATTAGTGAGTGAATAACAGTCAAAATTTTAAAAAATTCTAAACTGTTAAAGAATAAAGAAAAGATCCAGTAAATGTCCATTGTGCAGCTAATCCAAATTCTTTTCCATCATATCCACGTCGAATTGACCACATACAACGACGTTGAAATTGTTTTGTTTGGGCATAAACTGTATCCTCCCATTTACGTTTATCTAATTTATTTACTCGAAATGTTGCTTCTAATTTAAATTTTTTTAATTAAAAAGTGAATAATTTTTATTTTCTACCCCAAGCAACTTGAACGGCTTTATTCCTTGCAGTTGTAACCTCGTTTTGAATATAACGCTGATTAAAAAAATAAAGAGGAAAGTTTCTTTTTTTAATTACCTCATGGGGTCCTTCAATTGCACGAAAGACTACAGCACCTAAAAGTGCGTAGCCAATCACCTTAAAAATAAATTATTTGGCCTCTAATTTTTTTGCTTTCCTGTTTATATTAGGTAGGAAATTAATTTAAGAGTTTTGAATTTAAATTAATTATCAATTTATTTTTTTATCAAGCTCGATACGTAATCTCCCCAAGCAACTTGAAACTTTGTTTCCCGTTTACCGGTGCGGTAAACGGGAAGACAAAGTGGTAGGTTTAACTACTGTTTATTATTTTGTCCCACTTTTTAAAAGTTTAATAAGTCAAAAAAGAAGATTATAATTAAGGTTTATTTTTAAATAAATATAAACCAAAGCACATAATCCAACATGTGAAAAAAGAAAGGCAATAATTCGTTTGAGCAAATTAATAACATGTTGAACATTTGAACGTCTATGTCTTCGTCCTACCATTACTAGAAATGTTGACAAGAATTGAGACACAAAAATAAAGGGAAAAGCATTGAGAGACAAAAATAATTTTTAAAACAAAAAAATATATAATTTATTTCAAAAAATATCTTGAAAATAAATTTATTTTTATTTTTTAAAAAAAGGAAAAGGAATGTCTAAAATAGTAACAATTAAAAAACAAAATTCCAATTTAGCTAATAATTCTTAATAGGGTTGGACACTACTGTTAATTTCTTGCCAAAAATTAACAGTCTTTATGAAATTAAAAAAAAGAAAACCCAAAATTTTTGAAAATGAGGCTCATTTTTTAAAAAATTCTCCCAATAAAACCAGAATTTAAATAGAACTCAAAGCCGATGCTATGCAAATTATTAAATTAAACAAAAATTGTTTTAATTATTTTTTAATTAAAATATTTTTGAATTGTCTCAATTTTTAGACAAAAACAATTGGTATAGTCTAGCAAATTTAAGGAAAAAGAAAAGGGAATGGAAAAAAAAAGAAAAAACCCTTAACCGCCCCCCAGATAATGTCAAATCCATAAAATGTCAAATAATACTATAAACCCACAAAATGTCAAAAAAGACATTAAACCCACAAAATGTCAAATAATACTATAAACACACAAAATGTCAAATCCATATAATGTCAAACCCATAAAATGTCAAAAAGGCCAAAAACCCACATAATGGCGATAAAATCCTTATTTGTTGTTTTTATTTGTTTTGTTTGTTTCCTTTGATTGTTTTTGACAATTAAAAGTTATTAATTGTTTCCCATCTTGTATTTGTTATAATAATTTTTCTAAGATGGTTAATTTAATCTTTTAGATGAATATCAGGCTTAAATTCATTGAGTTATAGAAGTCAAGAAAACGGCGATTTCCGATCGGTGAATCGTCAGAATTTAATCAAGAACAGCGACAATCCAAGCCTTATTGTACTACCTCAGAGATATGTGAGACGAGGATTTGGTTTGGTGGTCAATTCTTCGCCAGGCGTTCTGTCAACATTTCTCGCCATTTTGCGTCAACGTATGTGGGTCTTAGTCAAATTGAATTGCATTTGGAATCAGAAGCTTTTCAAAGAGGGGTCCAAGTACATTCAATACAAGAAGTTGTTGAAAATATTTATAATTTTTCAGGTTTTTTGTTTTGTTTTTGGTGATTTTTAAAGTATTATTCGGTAATTGTATTGATTTAATTACTTATCCTGTTTTATCAATGTTTTTACGAATAAAATTGTTTTATTTTTCCAGTTTAATTTTGCTCAATACAATTTTGAGAACAGCGTTGCTCTTTTTAGGTTTTTACGTTTATTATCAATTTTTTAAAATTTCGCCTTTTTGACATTTTGTGGGTTTATAGCCTTATTTGACATTTTATGGATTCGCCATTATATGGGATTTGACATTTTGTGGGTTTTTGGCCGTCTCGCCATTTTTTGGGTTCGCCATTTTATGGATTTGACATTTTATGGGGGAGCCACCCTTAAAATATCTCTTCCTTTTAAGTTTTCATGTAATCTTTTCTTACAAATTTTGTGTCGTTTATACATCCAAAAATCCATAAAAGGCGGATTTATATTTTATTTTTATTCTTCAACGTGGACAGGAAAGAGATACAAAACATCTTTGGCGTAAAAGGAAAAAACCGAAAAAATGTCAAGAAAAATCTCTGATTCTTTCCGTTGGTGCAACAGAAAGTAGAAGAGGCCCTTTGGGGATTTTTTAAAAGAAAAAAAAGATCCAAATGGTGTTCAGCCATCAGGGGCCTATTCCACCAAACGACTTTTACTGTCACTGTCGAGGAAAAATGTCAACACAAACTAGCGCCAACGATGGTTAGAGATAATAAGGAAAAGAAGACAAAGAAAACTCAATGTCGGGCAGAGTGGATAAAAAGAGGAAAAAATTATGACAGCGCTTTTAAGTTGTGTCATAATAGTGGGCACATTTTATCGACACTGACATTATCTACTCTGCCTCTATCGTCTGCTCCCTATTATCTCTAACCACTTTTTTCAATAATTTGTGTTGACATTTCTCTGTCGACAGTGACAGTAAAAGTCGTTTGGTGGAATAGGCCCCAGGTGTTCCTCCGCCTTTGCATTTGGCTGCAATGACTGGAAATGCGGAGGTTAAAGAAGAGAAAACTTTCTTAAATTTCTACAAATTATTTCAATTTTTCAATAAAATTCACAAAAAATCCCTCCTTCAATATTTTATTTATTTATGTAGTATAACGAACACCAAAATCCCTTTCTATATTTAGTTAATTGAAATCCTCGTTTCTCATGGTGCTGACCTAAAGGCTTATGATTTTGTTCGTTATACAGCTTTACATTGTGCTGCATATTTTGGTCATGAAATGGCTGTTAAAGAATTGATAGCTGTAAAAGATTATTTTTTTTAAATAATTTTTAATTAAATTAAAAAAGGCTGGAGCCGATCCAAATGCTTGTGGAAGTGTGCATGACAGACCAGTTAATAAATAATTAAAAAATAATATTTATTAATTAATCCCTAGATTCATATTTCGGCTGGAAAGGCAAATCCCTGCATATTGAAGGTGAACAATATTTCCGGGATATTTTTAGATTTAGTCAGGACATCGAGGAAATTAATCAAAGGAATTATTAAATAAAAATCTACGGAGATAATACAATTTTTCCAATTCATTTTAAGGCATTCCTAGCTGTTGGAGCCGATCCAACACTTGAAGATGATGAAGGGAATACTTCCCTCCATTTTGCTGCCAAAACAGGCCATAGTTCTTCAATTGGTCTTTTATTATCAAAAGCAGGGGAAAGAGAAGAAATTAAAAGACAATTTGCTCTTAAAACAAATATTTACGGGGACACCGCTTTACATTCTGCTTGTTATATGGGTAGAACAGATGCAGCCAAACAATTATTAAATACAATTGGAAGTGAAGTCCTTAGCATGGTAAAATTATTTGAATTAATTAAATTGAATTTTGTGAAGGAAAATTTGTTTTCTGAAACACCCTTAATGGCTGCATGCACAGCTGGAAGGTTTGAATTAGTTTGTTTTTTAATGCGTCAACCAGAAGTGGACCCAAATCATCAGGCACAAGACGGACATACTGGTAGGAAAATTGAGAAATTTTTGGGAAAATTGTTCATAGAGTCAAGTGAAGGAGAGAAATTCTCTTTACGGAGAATTTATTAGAGGAGAGGAGTTTATAGCTCCATGAAATGAATTGGAACAATGACCAAAGAATGAAAATTTTTCGCTTGCAGCAATTAAAAATCCAAAAAAATTTGCTGTCGGCGCTACTTAAGTCAATATTTCACATTTTCGGCGCAACGAAATTTTATTTTAAATTAAATAATTAAAGCAATATTTAAAAACAATAGAAAAATCACCGATCTAATCAACAGAAAAAAGATTTGTAAATAAAATCTAAACATTTTTTGGTAAACATCAAATGGGCACGTAATCCTTTAAGTATTTCCATCATTTTTGTATATTCTTTATTGACAATAAGGCATTCAAAAAAACTTTGGTGTATAAGTTGGTGATCGTCTAAATAAAAAATAAATATTTTTTCAAAATAATTTTGGGATTGAAAGAGTTAGAGATTGTAATTTTGAGAAAAAATTAAAACTAAAACAGGAAATCGAAAATTCATGATCAAAGTCTAGCAGGGTGACCCTTTTGCCTCATTTAGGAAATCCCCTCAAACCATCAAAAAAAGAAAAGAAAAAAAATTGATACATTCGGATTATATTAAGAAGAAAAAATGTCTACTCATAATAAAATTGATCGGGACTCTGCAAATGCAATTACAAATGCACTTTCATTTTTTGAAACTCCAAACACAAATGTCAGCGTTACTAGCTCTTCAGTAATTGAGCTTCTTACTCTTAACCCAATTAATATTACACCATATCATTTTAAAATCCACGCAAGCACTAATTATGTTGACCTAGCAAAATGTTATGTTTTAACCGAGTTAAGAATTCGGAAAGAAGATGAAAATGGACGTCTCATCAATTTGGCGGCTGCAGACAACAACGTTTCCTGCTGCCAACTTATTGGACATACAATTTGGAAAAATTGTCGTATTAGTATCAATGGAACTCAAATCTTTGAAGGAAATTCACTTATGGCATACAAAAGTATTTTCGACTATGAGCTTACTTATCCACAGACAGTAAAAAATTCTTACCTATCCGCCGCGGGATATTACGACGATGGTGATATGGGACTTAATGGTGTTGGTTTCGAGAATAGAAGACTTTTATTTGCACCATCAGCTGATGGCACACAAAGATCGGCACAATTTATGGCAAAATTAGACGTGGACATTTGCAATCAACCCCGATATATAGTTAATCAATGTGAAGTGGATATTGAACTTTTGCCCCATGATTCAAATTTCCTCATTGTTGCTCCAGGAGCAACTAATCATAAATATCATTTAGAAGTACTTGCATGCAAATTATATATTAAGAAAATTGAACTTATGGACAGTCTTGCCTTCGATATAGCAAAGAAATTAGAATTGAAACCAGCACGATATCCGATGAGAAAAACTTCACTAAAATCACTATTCATAAGTGAGAACCGAGCAGAATTTAATGCTAATCTATGGATGGATCAAGTACCGAGGAGGGTGGTCCTTGGAATGGTTAAGAATTCCGATTTTGTTGGATCTCAAAAGACACAGCCTTTTAATTTTCAACATTTTAATTTAAGAGATATATCAATTAATGCCGGAGGGGTGAATTATCCAACTTCCCCTTATTCTCTTGATTTCCCAAACGGCAAGTATGTGCGAATATATCATGATATGCAAGAGGCTATAGGCTATGCGGGGACTTTAGATAGCAATGGAATTTCAATGCAACGTTTTTCAACTGGTGGATTTTGTCTATTAGTATTTAATCTTACTAATAGCCAGGAAGATAATGGCCCAGAGACTTTTGATTTAATAAAGAATGGAACAACAAGTGTAAAAATGTCTTTTAATGAACCGATTCCACAGGGAGGGGTTGTTTTAATAGCTATGGGTGAAGTTGATTCGCTATTGATGTTAGACAGAAACAGAACAATAACCAGTGATATTTCAGTATAAAAAGAAAAACCTTATTAATTTACAAATCATTTATAAATTTTTTTAGAAAAATGTCAAAAATTATTTGTTTGTCTTTTATTTTGTTAATAAATATATTATTATTATTATTTTTGAATTATTGTGAAACAAAACCCATACCCTGTATGTATGATGCAGATGAATATCCCGAATACAGAGATTATTTACGTTTAAAATTTGGTCCTAACCCTTCTACAGACGAACTTCCAGAATACAAAGAATATTTGAAAAATCTACAGAAATCAACACAACCTCCTTGCGAAGCAAGACAATATGACCAAAAATTTGATATTTTAGATCACATGAACCGAGAAGTTCATCTACCAATCCCTTGTTCAGATATAAAAGACAATTCTGGAAACTACAATTTTTATTGCATTGCACTGATACTTTTATGGTTTATAGTTATAGTTTCAGCCATACTTTATCAATTCCGATCAATTATTAACATAAAAAGCAAAATTACAAGAATACCGAGTGGAGAAACGTCAAATCGAGGCGAAAACGATGAATACAATTCAAATTGAAAAAATTTTATATGAGAGCCGAATTACAAGAAGATATTTTATAGGATGTTTTGCAGCTGATAAGATCCCAAAAGAAATACAAAAATTTCCATGTTCGATGGTAGTCAATCTCGATAGAGCAAAAAATGATGGATCACATTGGATTGCAATTTATATAAGGAATCAGACGACAGTTTATATTTTTGATTCACTACTAATCCCAATCTTGCCTGTACCAATCAAAACTTTTTTATCACAATTTCCAAAACAAATTAAAAACAAATTTCCCGTACAAAACCCATTATCCAAAGAATGTGGGCAGCATTGTATTGTATTTTTATATTTCATTTCCCTAGGATATACATATGAAAAATATTTACTAATCCTAAATAATTGTCCAAACCCCGATGAATTTGTAAAATCATTTGTAAATAAACTAATTTAATAAATTTTATTTTGATAAAAATTAATGAAAACAAGACAAATTTTTTAAAATATTAAGCAAAAGAATATATCATTTTTAGGGGTAAAAGTGCAAAATTAAGGAAAAGAAGATTAAATTTATAAAAAATTAATGATTGTAAAATGAAATTTTTATTTTACTTTGAAGAATATAGTGTAATTTCGTGTTTTTCCCAAAGTTTCTTGTCATCCACATATAGCCAAAGAATTCCCCGACGGGTGTGATCTATCACCTTGTGTGATGTTTCAGCCAAATTTTCAATATTTGAATTTGTTGAACTTTTATCAAATGTTCCTGTCGATTCTGAAGATGATGACGCCTTTGTGCGCAAATTTTTCATTATTATTGGTGAATCAGAGTCTGTTTCTGTTTCCTCCATGTCTGAGTATAATTCAAGAAGTTCCAATGGATAGTACAAATTTTTATATTGAATGCATTGTTGATATGGGTATTTTAGCAAAATTCGATGTCTAGCATAGAAATAAGCACTAACACAAATATTAAAAGGCGATCGGAGATTTCCAAAAGCCATTAGCTGGTGAGAACAATGAGTAGTAATTCCATCACAATAAATTATTTGCTTTGATCCGTTCCGATCAAGATAATTAGTTTTCAAAGCTTTTCCTCTAATCTCACCGAGGACGCGGTCTCTGTCTGATTTATTATTAAGACGATAACGAACATTTTCAGGAGTACAATCCAGAATTTTTGAAATTTTGTCCAAGAGAGTTGACATTTTTTTTGCAATAAATATTTATTTTTAAATGAATGAATAATGAATGGAAATACTTTGCCTTTATATACGCCGATAAAAAGTGTAATGATAGCAAAAAAGATAGATAAGCCCCGCCCCCTTTTTTGAGTATAAATACTCGAGTTTCTGAACCAGAAATTCATTCTTTCATTTTTTAAAGCAAAATTAAAATCATGTCTACACCAACTTCCCCAAACTTGGCTAAGGTTGAAGAGGCAAAGCCTGATATAATTGAAATTGTTGAAGAAAAGAAAGCAAATGTTGAAAATAATGATAATGGGGAAAAGGACCTTTGGTTAAGCAAGAAAGCAGCAATTAAGAAAGTGATTGCAAAAAGTACTTCGAACAATAAAATGTTATGGAAACTAACAAGAATGAAATACATTCCTCGACTTGAGTTCCGCCTTTGCCGAACTTGCTCAAACATTTTATTCCATAGCACTGGAAGAGTTGGAATACGAAAATACTGGTGGAGTCAAAATCTCCTTTGATTTGTGCAAACAATGTGTTGATCTAAACATGTACGTGAAGGACGTTCTATGCGATTGGACAATCAAGAAGAAACAAGAAGATCAAGAAAACACTTCAAATTCCAATTAAAATCAAAATTGTACATTTAAGATTCAATTCAAATATTTTTTTTAATTTTAAATAAATTTTTTCCATTTTTCTTTTGCTTTTTCTGGGATTTGGATAGATAATAGGGACTTTTACTTTAAACTTTATTTTACTTTCCCTTTTCCCGTCTGAGTTAAATTTACTGAGAAAACTTAAGGCAAAACTTAAACATTTTCCCTTCCTTTTGCTTTTCTAGGATTTGTTTAAATAAATAGGGACTTTTAGTTTAAACTTTACTTTCCCTTTCCCCTCTGCCACTAAATTTATTGAAAAAACTTAAATATTTTCCCATCCTTTTGCTTTTTCTAGGATTTGTTTAAATAAATAGGGACTTTTAGTTTAAACTTTACTTTCCCTTTCCCCTCTGCCACTAAATTTATTGAAAAAACTTAAATATTTTCCCATCCTTTTGCTTTTTCTAGGATTTGATTAAATAAATAGGGACTTTTAGTTTAAACTTTATTTTCTTTTTTCCCCGTCTGACTTTAGATTTATTGAGAAAACATAGAGCGGCACTTTTTTTGAAAGACAAAAAGTTGTGGTTGTAATATATTTGTCGTGATAAATGTTTTAGGCGGCATTAGAGAAATCAAAGGGGGATTTAGTTAGAAAAAATGTGATGTAATTTTCTTGTTGTAATTTTCTTCGTCGGTTGGCAATATATTTATTACACTAAAAGACTTAGCGGTATTTCTTTGAAGAAAGGGAGAGTCTTATCGTTGTAATATTTCATCATTCAATTCAAATATTTTGATTGAGGCAAATAAAAAAGATAAGGTTTAGTTAGGTAAGGCTGATATACCTGGCACGAGTCAAGCATTGTTAAATTATGCTGATACAACCTGGCACGAGTCAAGCCACGCCCCTTTTTACTTTAGTATAAAAGCTCCTATTTCAATATCATTATTCCCCTTTAAATAAAAAATTTCAATTTTCTTCAAAAAATTCTCATCAAAAAATGTCAAGTCCTCCCAAAAGAGCTCGTTTTTCTATTGATGATATCTTGGATCTTAATGAAAGACCAAGACAAACCGAGCAACGAAATCGACCCAGCTTTTTTATTGAAAATTTATTATTAAATGATACACAAGAGCAGCAACAGCAAACTGGAGCCGGTGGAATTAATCATTGCTTTGAAAAAATCAATTCTCAAAAATCATTTTGCAAAAAATTTAAACTTTTAAAATTAGTTTCTAAATTCCTAATCAAATCACTTCCCCAAAATCCTGAAGAAGTTCTGAGGCGAGTTCTCGATAATTGTATTAAACAATCAATTGCTGATGCGAAAGAAAATGGTATTATTGTCGATCAATTGGGAGCTACCATTTCCTCAACATTGTTAGACAGTGATATATGGATCCCCATTCGTACTTTACACGACGACACAATAGAAAATATTTTGCAGCGCTTTCTTCTTGTTTCTCAATCGAAAGCTGAACGCGGTTCTCTTTTGGGAGAACCGTTTACAGTCACAATCCATTCATTAGATGTTTCCTCATTGCCCAAAGAAACATCTATTGGTGGAAAGGGGCCATCAAATCAATCAACACATATTCCCAGTTGGCTCATCAAAGTCTGGAACAACAATAATTATTGCTTATTTTATGCGTTGGAACTTACTAGAAAACATGTTACAAAAGAATTGGGAACTAAAGAATACTTTAGAAGGTACCATCTTGAACGACATCAAAGACAACAGTCAGATGTAATTAACTTAATGAAAAATATTGGCATTCCATTAAACGAAGAAAAATATGAGGCCCAAATTTATGTACCGAAAGTTGTCGATTACTGGAACAACATTTATGAAAAGAATGGTTACAGATTCAAAGTGTTTATATTTGGCGAAAGATGTGAAGAAAAATTAATATACAAATATGGATCTGATACTTTTAATACAGCAATTCCAATCTACCATTCTGGTGATCATTTTGATGGTATACGCACAGTTGGAGCTCAATTTGGCAGTCATTGGCAGTATTGTTATACATGTGAGAAGAAATACAGAAAACCGAGAGAGCACGATAATAAATGCAAATCACGATGCAGACTTTGTGGAAGAGTAGGAGTTGGAAAACCTTGTCCTGTCAGCCATAACTTTAATAAGGAATGTATTGACTGTAAAAAAATATTTCTGGATAAAGATTGTTTTAATCATCATAAATCAAGTAATCACTGCAACAGATCAAAACAATGTGAAAAATGTGGAATAATCTGGGACATCAGATCTTATCGCAAGGAAAAACACATATGTGGACATAAATGGTGTGCAAACTGTTTACAGTTCCATAGTCGAGAAAGGGGATGTTTTATCAAGCCATTAGAACAAAAGAAGCAAAAACCTTATCGTCTTGTTACATTTGATTTTGAAGCAACACAGGATACAATGGATCAAGAAAACCAAAATAATCGACTACACTCCGTAAATTTTATTGCAGCAACAATTACATGCACAATTTGTATGGAAAATAAGCAATTATGGGGAACTTTTCTGAGAAAAAATGGCAAAGTATGCACAATTTGTGGTCCTAATAGATCAATAACATTCTCACACCGGCCTTTTTACAACACGCATGTAGATGAGCAGCGGGTTACAGTTAATCCTCTTCATGATTTCGTCAACTGGTTATTATTCGAATTGGATGGGAGATTCGTTTCAATGGCATTTTCTCATTTTGGTGGAAGATATGACATGATCATGACATTTCGCGAGATATTTACAGCAGGTATTGTTCCAACAATGATAAGAAGAGGCAATAAACTCTATGAACTAAAGGTTCCAAAAACACACAAATGTAATGAAGTCATATTTCGCGATTCGTACAACATTTGCCCTGTTGCTTTAGGACAATTAGTCGGTGCATTTGATCTACAAATTCAAGAGAAACAATTCTTTCCACATATGGCAAACAACTACAACAATTATGATATTACTCTTCCCGAACTTCCACAAAAGACAGAATATTTATATGGAGGAATGACACCAGAGAAACAGAAAAAATTTGATCAATGGTATGAACAAGAAAAATGCAACACATTTTGTTTAAATGAAGCCCTTGCTGAGTACTGCCTTAATGATGTACAGATACTCACCGAGGCTCTTTTAGCCTTTCGAGACAAATTCATGGATATAAGTCGACCAAAGGAGATACAAGGAGCTTTCGGCATTGATATTCTGAGGGATGCAATGACGATTGCATCCGCTTGCATGAAGCATTTCAGGCTAAATCATCTTAAACCTGAACACCTAGCAATTGTTCCAGAGAAAGGTTATGACACATGCGACACTCAAAGTGCATTGGCAATGAAATATATGGATTGGTATTCAGAAAAATACAATATTGAAATACAAACTGCACACTCAGAGAATGGAGAATATCAAGTTGCGGGAAGATTTAAGGTGGATGGATATATTAAAGAAGAGGATAGAGCAATAGAAGTGCATGGATGCGTGTGGCATGCGTGTCCAAGACATTATGGAGATAGACCAGACTTTTTAATGCCAAATGGTAAGACGGTGGAGGTTATTCAAAAAGAAAATGAAGAAAGATTAAGAATTTTGAAACAACATATTAGTCATGTAGATGTAGTTTGGGAATGTGAAATAAGGAAAATGCTTCAACGAAATAAACAAATGAGAAAAGTTTTAAACATTATCTGGATAAGGGACCAATAAAATTACGTGATTGCTTCTTTGGCGGCCGGACTGGACCATTATGTCTTCATTATAAGGCAGATGAACAACATAAAATTTCTTATCTGGACTTTAATTCGCTTTATCCATCAACAATTGCAACAACATCATTTCCTGTGGGCCACCCAAAAGTAATAATAATACCTAAAAAAGATCAAACTGTCAATTGGTACAGCAGCAGTCAAATTCCAGTTAATGGGATTCTCAAAGTTTTTCTAATTCCGCCAGATCAAACAGACGTTCCAGTTATGCCCGTAAAATTTGATGAGAGGTTGCTATTTCCACTTTGCCGAAAATGCTCAATGGATTATCCCCGCGGCGCAACATTAAAAGAATACAAATGCACACATGAAGAACAAGAAAGAGGCTGGGTGTCAACATGCACGTCAATAGAGCTCGCAGAAGCATTAAATAGTGGATACAAAGTCACAAAATATTTTAGAGCACTTCATTATGAAAAATGGGATAAAGAATTGTTTAAAGGATATGTTGCTGAATTCATGTCGATGAAAATCCATGCAAGTGGATTTCCCAAGGAAATAAATACTGAAGAAAAAGAAGAACAATTCATAAAAGAATGTGAAGAAAGATTTGGAATTAGATTGGAAAAAGAAAAAATGTTACCAGATAAAGCAATGAGATACATCTCGAAATTAATGCTCAACTCTTTATGGGGAAGATTCAGTCTTCGAAATACACTTTCAAAAACTTTTCTCACCGATTCACCAGCTGAACTGAAGAAATTCATGGAAAATAAATCAATAGAAGTAAATACTATTGACAAGCTTACTCAAGACACTATTCTCATCACTTATGATAGGAAGAATGAATTCATAGAGGAACATCAGACATCAAACATAGTTATATCGCTCTGGACCACTTCAATGGCAAGGATTCATTTGTTAAAAGCAATGCAAAAAATTGTAGGAGCTCCTGGCTGTTCGTTATTATATGGGGATACAGATAGTGTCCTTTTCTCTTACCCAAAGGGACAAGGATGCCCGCTTTCAGCTGGTCCACATCTTGGAGATTTAGCACCAGAATATGACGACTGTGACATCAAAGAATATGTAGGCGCTGCGTGTAAGGCATATGGACTTTCAATGAAAGAAAAGAAGACTGGAAAAGAAGTGACGACATTAAAAGTACGAGGAATCACCCTGAATAGCGAAGTGTGCAAGAAACTTCACTACGAAAGTTTCAAAGAAAGCGTAATGGAATTTGGAAAACGCTTTGAAGATGAAATAGAAGATGAAGAAGAAAATAATCAAGAAAATGAAGTAATTTTAGTAGAATATCCACACTTTCTCAAACCCAATTTAAAGAAAGGTACAGTTGTTACAACTAAACTTTCTAAAAAATTTCAACCCATAATTTTAAAAGGTATTGTTGTCCCCAAAAATAAAATTGTTAATTTTGGCTTTAAATTTTAATTATGTAATTTAATTTTTATTTGTATTATTTTTATTTTTTAATATATTTTCTTTAATTATATAAAAAATTTTAATTTTTTTCTTTAAATTACTTTTCTTTCTCAAATTATATATAGGATTTTTAATATTTTAAATACATTTCTACATTAAATTATAATTATTTTTCCCACCTTCAAATTATATATAGGATTGTAAAATATTTTATTATTTTTTAAAACTAGATTGGCAAAGCACAATCCCGAGTGGACTAGCACACTCGTTACCTAAAAGTCGCAAAGCAGACTTTCTTAACTATTTGTGGCAAAGCACACAACTCACTTAGATTGGCAAAGCACAATCCCGAGTGGACTAGCACACTCGTCACCTAAAAGTCGCAAAGCTGACTTTATTAACTAAATTATTATTATAAGTTAAAATTTTTATTTTAAAATTAAATTTTTAATGTGTTCATGTTGTGGAAAAATTCATTGGATGAGAGATTGAATAGAACTCATGGAGAAGGGCCAATCCAGAACACAACCAATGTACCACCCACCCCGAATATTGATTAATTTTATTCATTTATATTTTTTGCAAAAAAATCCTTTTTCCAAATAAATTCCAAAAAAATTAGTGTAAAAAAGTAAAAAATTAGTGTAAAAAATGAAAAAATGGAACAAAGGAGAACAACTAGTTATATTTGTGATCAGGTTTTGAAAAATTTGTGATCGGGTTTTGAAAATTTTCTTTGGATTAGGTTTCGGGTCTAAAAACTATTTGGCGATATCAGTAATATGGGGGATTATGAGTGATATTGAGAGATAAGGATTTTTGTGGCTCAAGATCAATGCCTGCCCGGGGGTAAACCTTTATTAAATAAATTAAAACTTAAAGTAATTAAACTATACAAGAATTAAATAGTAAATCTCATGAAATAAAAATATGAATAAATTTACAAAATTAAAGAAAAAAATTTTTTCGGGGCCAATGAAAGAAATGATTGCCAAGGATATCAAGAGAAAAATTTAAAAACTGGAAAAGGAAAAATCAAAAGAGAAAAATAAAATTATTACTTCCTCCTCCCTCTCCTCATCCACTATATCCTCCAGCAATTTCAATTCCCCTTCCATTATTTTCAAATAGTGTAAAAGAATTAAATAAATAGCTTGAAAAACTTTTTTCGAATAAGCTGCTGTTTGCTTTTTTGAATTTTTCACCCCAAAAAATCTGGACCTCATGAGTTAATGAAAGACGAAAAAAAGATAAATTTTAAACAAAAAAGAAAATATATAATATGCAATACATCCTTAAATCGATATGTTATTCTTGCAATATAAAAGGGGACACGTCCATAACGGCGCAAAGCCATAATTAGTTGGAAAATTTCTGACCCAATCAATTTTGGCTCAATGAGCGGAATAATTTAATACTAATTTTGGTAAAATTGAAGATCTTTAAGCAAGTTATGGCTTTGCGCATTATGGCAGCGCGTCCTTTTTTTGCTTTCCCCATTTTAAAAATGAACAGATTTTATACACTCTTTGTTTTTCTCTTTGCCAAATTTTAATGCTCTCCTAATTTCAACAAACTACAGCCAAAGTAGCGTCTATACATTAATCGGCTGTAAACAAAAAAAGAGAAAGAGAAAAACAAAGAGAAAATAAAAAAGTAAATGCTTTGGGATTTATTACAATCACATTTTGGAGGAAAGAAATGTGAGGAAAAGAGGAAAAGAAAAGAGAAGAAAAAAAGGATAAAAAAGGAATAAAAGAGAAAAAAAGACCGAAGATTATTAAACTAAAAATTTTATAAAGTGTAAAAAAGTTGTCAATAATGTGTTTTTCCTTTATTTCAGACACAACCCCTCAATTTAAAATACACCCCATTATAAATTACTCCCTCAATTAAATACACCCCATTATAAGATACTCCCTTAATTAAATACACCCCATTATAAGATGCTCCCTTAATTAAATACACCCCATTATAAATTACTCTCTTAATTAAATACACCCCATTATAAGATACCTCAATGTAAGTTACACCTCATAATACACCCAATTAAATGCATAGATCTATTTCTTATATTTCCTTTAATTTTTCCGATATTATCATCAAATTTGTAAGCTGGGGCAGGGTGAAAATTAAGCTCAACAGTGGGACCTGGAAAAGCCCTACACCTTTAGAATTGCCTTTTAAATTACCGCACTTCTCATTAATATAAATTTTAAATGTCATCAAATGTCACAAACATCAATATTTCGATACCAGTAAAACTCCCGCAAAATATTTGTCAAAAGGTAATTAATCATTCATGATTAATTACCCTAATTAATCATGATTAATTACCTTTTATGCGGCATAATCAAAAGAAAAGTGCCCTATAGGCAGACAAATTACCTCTAAATCACACACAAAACCCCCCTATAGGTGTGAGTTTGATTGACAGGTGTCACTTTTGGTGTCACTTTTGGGGTGCATTAACTACTATTATTTTCACCTCATAAAAATAATCAGTGCTGGGTATTGGGCATTTTGTGGCTCCGGCTCCGGGGTTTTAAAATCTTAGCTCCGAGCTCCGGAGCCGGCCATTCTCGGAGCTGCTCCATAGTGGCTCCTGGCTCCGGGAAGTAGATTTGTTTTATTTTGGAAGGCCAAGTAGCAACCCACTAGATTTCTTCCATTTTCTGTGCCGCAGGCGAAAATTTTGGAAAATTCATGACTAAATTAAAATTTTTAATGTTTTTCAAGTTTAAAATATCAAAAAAATCTCTTTGATACTCATTTTTCTATTTATATAAGTGAAATCGAAAGAAAATAATTTTTTTTAGTCTTCTACTCCTCTTTTTCTTTAAATTTCATCATTTTTACATTTTTTTATTGACAAAATGAATAAAATTTGGCCAAATGTCACAAATCTTCAAAAATGAGGCGCAAAATGAGGCAAAAGTTGAAAATGAGGAAAAAATGAGGCGAAAAGGTCAAAAATGAGGCAAATGCCTCCTAAATGAGGCAAAAGGGTCACCCTGCTAGACTTTGATCATGAATTTTCGATTTCCTGTTTTAGTTTTAATTTTTTCTCAAAATTACAATCTCTAACTCTTTCAATCCCAAAATTATTTTGAAAAAATATTTATTTTTTATTTAGACGATCACCAACTTATACACCAAAGTTTTTTTGAATGCCTTATTGTCAATAAAGAATATACAAAAATGATGGAAATACTTAAAGGATTACGTGCCCATTTGATGTTTACCAAAAAATGTTTAGATTTTATTTACAAATCTTTTTTCTGTTGATTAGATCGGTGATTTTTCTATTGTTTTTAAATATTGCTTTAATTATTTAATTTAAAATAAAATTTCGTTGCGCCGAAAATGTGAAATATTGACTTAAGTAGCGCCGACAGCAAATTTTTTTGGATTTTTAATTGCTGCAAGCGAAAAATTTTCATTCTTTGGTCATTGTTCCAATTCATTTCATGGAGCTATAAACTCCTCTCCTCTAATAAATTCTCCGTAAAGAGAATTTCTCTCCTTCACTTGACTCTATGAACAATTTTCCCAAAAATTTCTCAATTTTCCTACCAGTATGTCCGTCTTGTGCCTGATGATTTGGGTCCACTTCTGGTTGACGCATTAAAAAACAAACTAATTCAAACCTTCCAGCTGTGCATGCAGCCATTAAGGGTGTTTCAGAAAACAAATTTTCCTTCACAAAATTCAATTTAATTAATTCAAATAATTTTACCATGCTAAGGACTTCACTTCCAATTGTATTTAATAATTGTTTGGCTGCATCTGTTCTACCCATATAACAAGCAGAATGTAAAGCGGTGTCCCCGTAAATATTTGTTTTAAGAGCAAATTGTCTTTTAATTTCTTCTCTTTCCCCTGCTTTTGATAATAAAAGACCAATTGAAGAACTATGGCCTGTTTTGGCAGCAAAATGGAGGGAAGTATTCCCTTCATCGTCTTCAAGTGTTGGATCGGCTCCAACAGCTAGGAATGCCTTAAAATGAATTGGAAAAATTGTATTATCTCCGTAGATTTTTATTTAATAATTCCTTTGATTAATTTCCTCGATGTCCTGACTAAATCTAAAAATATCCCGGAAATATTGTTCACCTTCAATATGCAGGGATTTGCCTTTCCAGCCGAAATATGAATCTAGGGATTAATTAATAAATATTATTTTTTAATTATTTATTAACTGGTCTGTCATGCACACTTCCACAAGCATTTGGATCGGCTCCAGCCTTTTTTAATTTAATTAAAAATTATTTAAAAAAAATAATCTTTTACAGCTATCAATTCTTTAACAGCCATTTCATGACCAAAATATGCAGCACAATGTAAAGCTGTATAACGAACAAAATCATAAGCCTTTAGGTCAGCACCATGAGAAACGAGGATTTCAATTAACTAAATATAGAAAGGGATTTTGGTGTTCGTTATACTACATAAATAAATAAAATATTGAAGGAGGGATTTTTTGTGAATTTTATTGAAAAATTGAAATAATTTGTAGAAATTTAAGAAAGTTTTCTCTTCTTTAACCTCCGCATTTCCAGTCATTGCAGCCAAATGCAAAGGCGGAGGAACACCTGATGGCTGAACACCATTTGGATCAGCTCCAGAAGCTAATAAACTAATTGCGGCTTCTTTTTCTCCTTTATAAATAGCTATATGTAAAGGAGTATAACCATTTTTTGTTCGTTGTTCAAGAAATGATTTTCTTCTTTTATTTGTTTTTTGATTGACTGAATTATTTGTTGTTATTATCTCATTATTATTAAAACGCTCAACAAGAATACGAATTTTTTCTGACTGTTAAATAATTATTTTCTTTCTAATTTTCTCTTACCTGTTCACAAGCACCAATACAAATTAAATGTAATTTTTTTTTAAAATTAAATGTAATTTTTTCAAATTAAATGTTAAATGTCTCCTCAAGCCGCGGGGGTGTTAGAGGGAGAGGAACTCGAGGACAAAGTAGAGGAACGAGCCGTGGAAGGGGCTTGAGAGGAGGTAGAGGGAATTAATAGCCGCAAATAACTATAGAATCTAGTTTATTGTTTTTTTATTTTCCATATTGAATAAATTTAAAGTTTTGAATAGCACGCATAATTTATTTTTTAATAACTTTGAAAGTGAAAACAATGCAAAAAATGACGCAAATTAAAAAAATACGTTAACTTGAATTTGTAGTCGGCACAAAATTAGGGAATATCAGATCAAAAACTTGGTCATAGTGATCAACGAAATGAATTTCAACGTCTTTCTTGATAAAATCTGCCAAATCTTCATAATCCTTTTTGTTTTCCTCTGGGAGCACAACACAATTAACACCCGCCCTTTTTGCAGCAATTATCTTCTCTTTGATTCCACCAACAGGTAGTACTTTTCCAGTCAGAGAAATCTCTCCTGTCATTGAAATGCCTTGAACTGCGGGCTTTCCAGTTGCCAAAGAGAGAAGTGCACTAGTAATTGTACAACCAGCAGAAGGACCGTCTTTCGGTACTGCACCCTAAACGAAAAAATTCAGCATGTACAAATGTGGCAAAACAAACCTCAGGAACGTGAACATGAATATGAGCCTGTTCTAAGAACTCATTGTTTGGATCTCTCCTTCCCAAAACATTCTTTGCTACCGTGTATGCTGTTCGCATTGATTCTTTCATAACGTCACCCAAATGTCCAGTTGCTTCCAAACTACCTTGAGGTGGTGATGATGGGGAATTTGTTGTCACGTTAGTGTTGACAATTTGATGAGCATCCCATGGACGGAGTTTTCTCGCCAAAGAGGCTTCAATATAAAGTGCAGAACCACCTTAAATTTTAATTTAGAATAATAAAAACAAAAACAAACCCATAGCTGTCCAAGCTAACCCCATAATAACTCCTGGTGGTGTAACATCATAAAGTCGTTCACTCGTGAATTTCTCCCGTCCAACAAATTCTTTAAGATTAGAATTGTCAACAATAATTTTCTCATTTTTATTTTCCTCATTGCTAACAATACGGAATGCCGCTTTTCGGAAAATCTTTTAAAAAAATAATTAAATTTAAAAAAATAAAGCAAACCTTTTCCAAATGTTTCTCCAAATTTCGAACTCCAGACTCGCGGCAATATGAACGAATCAATGTATTTATAGCTTCATTAGTTATAATTAAATTTTCTTCAGTCAGAGCACTTTAAAGTAAATATTTTAAATAATTTTTTAAACACAAAATTAACCATTTCTCCCGACATTTTGGCACAAGAAAATTCTTTGCAATTTCTATTTTTTCTTCTGCAACATAACCAGAAACTTCAATCATTTCCATCCTATCTTTAACTGGGCCAGGTATTCTATCTGTTTCATTTGCCGTACAAATAAATAAAACTTTGGAAAGGTCAACTGGAACATCAATAAAATGATCGAGAAAATTAGAATTTTGTTCAGGGTCTAAAACTTCAAGTAAAGCTGAAGCTGGATCTCCATGATAACCTTTAAGATTATTAAAATTATTTTCTTTTTAAAAAAGAATTATTACCTGCTCCTCCAATTTTATCAATTTCGTCAATTAAAATAAGTGGATTTTCTGCCTGTACTTTTTTAAAACATTGAATTGTTTTTCCAGGCATTGCCCCAATATAAGTACGTCTATGGCCTTTAATTTCTGCAACATCAGTCATCCCACCAACAGAAAATCGGTAATATTCTCTATTTAATGCTCTGGCGATTGATTTTGCAATACTTGTTTTTCCAACACCTGGAGGGCCATAAAAACACAAAATCTTTCCATTTGTTTGTTTCTTTAAAATTCCAACAGCTATAAATTCCAATATTCTTTCTTTGATATCTTTCATTCCATAATGATCTTCTTCCAAAATTTTTTGAGCTCGATTAACATCAGTTACTTCTTCAGAAGTTTTACCCCAAGGAATTGATGTTAACCAGTCCAGATAATTTCTATAAAAATATTTGAAAGTAAAAAATAAATTTTTAAGAGTAAATATCCTTAAATTTATTGTGGTTAAATGTTAATACTAGAAAAAAATAAATAAATACCTTGAAATACTAAATTCACTGCTATGTGGATCCAAAAAAGAAAGTTTTGTTTGTTCCTCTTTTATTACTTTCATTGCATATTCAGGAACATTTAAATTAGCCAAACGTTCATCTAATCTTTCAAGAACTGCTTGTTTATCTTCTTTTTCAATTCCCAATTCTCTTTTTATTGCTTTTAACTTAAAAATAATTTTACAAAAAATTTTTTTAAATTCCAAAAAAAAACCTGTTCATTAAGTAAATATTTATGATTTTGTTCTTGAACTTTTTTCTCAACAGATTCTCTTATACTTTTTAACATTTTTACTCTTGCCCTTTCCTTTTCTAACAATTCCAATGCCAAATCAAGTCTTCTCATTATCTAAAATTTTAATTTTAAATTTTAACAAAAATTTAACTTTTATACATTAATTTCTTCCATAACTGCCTGCAATTCTTCTGTTTCAGCATTTTGAGCAATTGTACCAACAAAGTCGCACAAATAAACAGGATTGTCTACAATGCTATGCTCTGGCTGTAAAAGTAAAGCAACATGCTGTGCCATCATATTATTGTCACGAATAATTTCTCGAATAATGGAAACAATTGCCTGCATTTTTACCTTGAAAAGAAGAGATTTAAAAGTTATTTTATTGGAAAGAGTTGAATGTTTGTACTTTTAAATTCGATTTCAAAATAAAAAAATCTGTATTAAAGTTAGGAAGAAGACAAAAATTTGTGTCATATTACATCTAGTATTTAATTTCATTTTTTTAGCTCCCAAAGTTTTATCCCCCTATCAACTCTCAAATATATATTTTGATTTAAAATAATTTTAATTTATAACCGTAATTTCAATAGATATTTGTGTAGGAACATTATCCACAATATTTTCTGTACGTGCATAAATTATTAACTTTTCTTCTGGCGGTTGATCTATTTGTTGCTCTTGTGGCTGTTCTTCAGGTTGTATTTCTTCTTTTTTTGTTTTTAAATTAGCTTTTCTATTTCCACTTAATTTTCGTCTTCCATTTCCCTTTGGAAAGTCAATTGTAGGTTCAAGTGGTTGAAGTATTCGAATTCTTCTATGTGAATTTAATATCATTTCCAGCATTCGACCTTCGTGGTCACGCATTTCAAAAATATGAGCAAAAGTTCCGACAGTATATAAATGGCTTATTGAAGGAACGGCTTCAGATTTATCACTAAAATTATTTTAAAAAATAAATTTGTTCGTCTACCGCTATAATTTCTGTGGGATGTTGAAAAGAAAGAAATTTTAAAAGATAAAATGATCGGTAAGACAAAACAATAAAATCTAAAAATTATTAACTCACTCTGGATTTTTCTTAACAAATAAACCAACATAAGGTAACTTCTGTCTAGCCTTAGATTTAATCAAATTCATCAAAGCCTCATTTTGTTTCAACTAAATTAGAAAAAAATACATTTATTTAAAAAATTATTAACATACATCCACTTTTTTAATAAATCCAGGAAAGAAAGGATATCGATTAATTGCAATAATTGGCACGTCTGGCAAATTTTCAGGAACTTTAAACTGCATCGGCTAAAAATTCGAACCTTTTTCTGCTATTGATGCCACAAAAGAACTTACAGAAGAATCAGTAAATAATGTGAGTTCATTGGCCTCCAAATCAGGTGAAGGCTGTTCTTCGTCTAAGTCTTTGTTTGTCTGATCATCATTGTTGTCATTACTTAAATTTATTTATAAAATTTTTAAAATTAAAAAAATAAACGGTGCTGAAGAACTGCAAAAACGAGAATTTAAATAATTCTCGAAAGGAAAAGGTCCAAAATAAAACAAATCTACTTCCCGGAGCCAGGAGCCACTATGGAGCAGCTCCGAGAATGGCCGGCTCCGGAGCTCGGAGCCGGAGCTAAGATTTTAAAACCCCGGAGCCGGAGCCACAAAATGCCCAATACCCAGCACTGATTATTTTTATGAGGTGAAAATAATGCCTCATTTTTTGCCTCATTTTTGACTTTTTTTGCCCCATTTTTGAGAGGCCGCGCCTCATTTTGGTGTTTTGGAAAGGGTCACCCTGAAGTCTAGTCCTAGTATTTCCAAGGAAATCCGTAAATAAGAATCATATGCGAACCTCATTACGGTTTATAATTTGAATATTTAAATCCTTTAAAATAACTTTAAACAAAACCTCGTGTCAGCTGGTAAACCCAAAAGTGCAGGAGTGTTTGGAATAAAAGAAGGCCCTCCAGCCACAACCTCTTCCATCGCTCTTTGCTGTGACAAAAAATCGAATTCCCCAGCAGTTCCAGCATTTCCACCCACATTATTCCTCCTTCTATTGTCAAGACAACCAGCAGCAATATTCGCAAACTAAATTAAAATTTTTATTTAAAACCCTAAATTGTTTTTACGTCATTTGGAGTGCTTGTTGTACATCCAAAGAAAGAAACTCTGGATAGCGGTGTGTTTCCATTCAAACTTGGATAACCTGCTCGACCTGTATTTATTTATTGACAATTTAATTAACAAAAAAATAACCTTTTAAATGCGGACTGGTTCTTTTGACAAAACTTGGACTTTTTCGTTTAAGACGATGAATTTCCTGATCACGATCTGCCAAAACTTTTTCCAATTGCCTGACGTAATACTTTGTGCTATCCAATTCCATCCTTACTTGATTTCTCTCAGCCAAAAGATTCTTTTCGCGTTCAACACGTTTGGTGATTTCCACATGAGCAGCTTTTGCTATTTTTGCCGCTTTGTTGTGCTTAAATTCTTTTAAAAACTGAAAAAAATTAATTTTAAACCTTTTCACGAATATGCTTAAAGAAACGTTGACGATGGGCATTTTGAAATTCCACTGTCGTCTTAATTTTTGAAGTAAATTCAATTAAAAGATCTTTTGGTGGTCGAAAAAGATGAATTAAATCTGGCTTCATATTTTTGTTAACCATCATAATTGAAGTTTCTTGTTTTGAACAAACAACACAAATCCCTTTTTGCCCAAGCAATAAATTCCCTTAAATTTGGAAATTTAAAAAGAAAAACTTTTTGTTAATTACCATTCTTCTTGCACTCTGCACAAATTATGTGCCCACAGGATGTAAACCAAAATTGAGAATCATTGGTGCCAACTAAGAAACATTTATTACAATGAAACCATTCATTCATTTTAATTATTAAAAATTACTTTAAATATAAAAAATAACTAAAAAATAAATGAAACTTAAAGCAAAAAAAAACAAAAGCTTTAAAACAGGGTAAAAAAAATTTTTTACAAGCAAATTCGTGGCTCCCCGACTTTTCGTCAAAGGACCTTCCGTCAATGGACCTTACGTCAACGGACTTTTCATTAATAAATGAATGGTTTTAAAGGCTGCGCCTCAAAATGTCCTACCCTCAAAATGTCCTCCCTTGAAATGTCCTACCCTCAAAATGTCCTAATGAATAAAAACCCTCAAAATGTCCTAATGAATAAAAACCCTTAAAATGTCCTCCCTCAAAATGTCATATTGAACAAAAACCCTCAAAATGTCCGATTAGTTAAAAACTTTGGCTGTACCCTTCCACAAGGTCTACGCGGAAAATAGTTTTTGCCGCTGCGGAGGAAGCCGGGCATGTCGAGCGGAACGACGGCCGCCGCTTCGCTACGGTCGCCGCGAGCGAAGCGAGCACGACCGCAGCGAAGCACGGCCATCGCGGGGAGTCAACGGTCGCTGGGTTCTACACCAGTAATATAAACCTATTTCTTTTTACCGATTTTCAGCCTTGAAAAGCCTACCTATCCTCCGTAGCAACACAAAAATAAGTTTGCCCAGCGAAAATTCAGTTGCTCATAACTTTGTTCAGCATTATGAAATCAGTCTGATTTTCAATCTGACACAATTTTACCAAGAGTTTTACTCTTTTACAAAAAAAAAGGAATAAAAAAAAGGAATAAAGGAAAAAAAAGGAAAAAAAAAGGAATAAAGGAAAAAAAGGAAAAAAAAAGGAAAAGAAAAGGAATATTCCTTTCAAGCTACAACTACAATTCAATGTGATTTGTAGTCGGCGAATTTTTTCTTAATTTATTTTAAATAATTTAATTTATATTTAAATAAATTTTCCAAAGTTTTAATATTTATTAAAAATATTTACTTAAATGATTAATAGAGAAGAAGCCGATTAAAGGGTAAAGCAATAGGCTTTTATATAAAACAAAGAATATGATTGTGGGAGGGAATAAATAAATAAAAAGCTCTGAAATAAGAGCGAAATACAACGGAAGTGAAAAGAGAGAGGAACAGTTTGTTGTTGTAACCTATGGGAAATTACAACAATGGACTTTGAATGGAAAAATATATTGGAAATTAACTAAAAAATTAAATAAAAATAATTAAAATAATTATTAATTTAATTTAACTTCTGAATTGATTCTTAATCCTCTCAATTCAGAACACTGCCCGCAGCGCCGACGATTCTTCCATCGACTCGAGTTTTCCATTTCTTCTTTTCCTCTTCCGTCAGCAGGTCAGGTTGGCACAGCCTAAGGGCGCTGCTTCCTCCCCGATTTGACTCCATCCTGCCTCTGAATGTTGAGGCTAGTATATGGTTTGGCGCACGAGTGGTTCTAAAAGAGCCAGCCGTAGTTACTGTCGCCATGCTCAGGCTGTTCACTTCTTTACTGAGAAGGAACAGGATGGACAGAAAGCTAAAAACCCATGCCCATGCTTCTCCCACACTTATCCTTGCTACATCTCTAGTGGGAACTGCTAAAACTCCCAAAGTTGCCAGCAAAAGAATCCCCAGAACAGCTAAAAATCTGGTCCGGGTTTCGAAGTCAGTGGGAATATCCTTTTTTCTGATGCATCTTTTTGCTCCAGAATTTTTCCTGTAGTTTGTTGTTGCCTTCTTTTTCAGGCAGTACAACTTTTCTCTTTTCCCAATTAATTCTACTTTGATTAAAGGGGATTTTATGTTCAAATACTTCCGCTTTTTAATTTGCGGTTGTATTTTTCCTTCACCTCTGTCGTTCTCACAGATTGATGAATTTTCGAGCCGTACTCCACGGGAATGGTGTGGACCCGGCGACTTCGCTTTTCCTATTCGAAGCTTCTCTTTTCTATATTTAATTTCCTTCCTCACTTTCGCACAGTCAAAGTTTAGTTTTCTTTCCTGCGCAATTTGAGGAGTTAGTTGCTTCAAGCGTTGAGTTGAACGCTCTTTTCCTGATAAGCCGGTATACGCTTTTTGACGTACTTGTTGGCGTCCAATATTATTTGGTTTTTCTCGCCCTTTTTTGATTTCGGGTGGGTAGAGCTGTTGATGAGCTTGTTTCCCAATTTTTTCCGATTCCGCATTTTCTTTTCTAGCGGTACCTTCATTATATTTTTTAATTCGCCCCTTTCGCTTAAAGCTCTGGGGCGCATCTTCGTCCGCTAAAGGGACGACGCTCCCACCACAAGGCCGAAGATTTAACCAATTATTTTTGGTCGCGCCTTGTTTTTGGGCTACAATCCATTCTTTATTTGATTTCTGGATTGCCTTTCCATGGCTTCTCTTAACTTTTACCTTTCTAATGTGAAGGCAATTGTTTCTTGCTTCGATTTTAGGACAAAGACAATTTAGTTCCGGCAATTGTGAAACAATTGTGAAACAATTGCCGAAGCAATTAGTTCTCCCTCGCTATCCAGCAGTGGACCTAAAATTGATTTGGAAAGCCAGAATCCGCTGGGAAGTTGGCGGATCTTTGCTATTTCCAATTCATTCAAATATTTTGCCCCAATTAGTACATCGGGGTTTTCTATTTTGTGCTTCGCCTCCAATGGGTTGGTTTCCAAAATTGTTTTATCTTGGTCGCCGATTTGAACTGTTACCATCGGAGGGAGGTGTTCACTTGGAACGACTAGAAGTTCCAAATTCATTGGTCCTTTACTAGTTTCAAGTCCAACTTTTACCATCTTCGAATAAGACGAAGTGGCAAGATCTCGTGGGCCTACACCTCTCAATTCTAATTTTTCGAATGAGTGAGGCTTCAGCATTAATTTTTTTGCAAGTCGCTCAGAAATCATGCTACTTTGGCTTCCAGAATCAATAAAAATTGTTCCGGATACTTTTTTATTCCTCCCAAATGTTGGGTTGAACATTTTTGCTTGTACACATTTTAACAAGCAGTATTTGAAACCTCTTGACTGAGTTTCCGGCGCTGTTGCTCTTATGGAGTCCATTTTCCATTTTTTCGGAGTCCATTGGTTCGGAGTCCATTTTTTCTGATAATGGCTTTGTTTCCTATCATCAGCTGATTGTTTGATTTTTTCTTGGGTCCATTTTTTCTTAAACCCGTTTTGTTTTACAACGCCAGCCGATTGTTTAAACTTCGGCTGTTGTGGAATTTTCTGGTTCGGACACAACGCCAACGGATGTGCCCTTGAGCATCCCAAACATTTCGATGGGTGCTGACAGTCTGCTGCCTCGTGTCCGAATCTGCAACAACGAATACAGCGCTTTTCTTTTTTAATACGCTCTTTTCGCGCCTGAAGTGTTGAGTATTTTCTACACTCATTAGACCAGTGTTTTTTCTGGCAAAAATAACAGTAGAGAGATCTTTTTTCTTTATTCTCTCTTACCGTTTCCTTTCGATTTGTTTTTCCAACAGTCGGACAAGCGACTGTCGGAGGAGGTGAATCATCCTCTTCCCTTGGACTCATCCTTTTTTCATTGCCTGTCCTTTTCGGCGTGTGATGTTCGTCCTTTGGCTTGGAAAATTGTTTTTTCTCCTCGCCTTTCTTTTCATCGCCCATCTTTTTTAAGATCGACAAGATTTCCATTTCAGACTCTAATAGCCTCTTTAGCTCGAGTCTAAATTTGCCGGTTGTCCAACTATCTCCAGCTTCCTTTTTGACGGCCAAAATTTCTCTTAACATTGGTCGCGTCAATTTGGTTTCCAGCAGGCTGTAATAAAGATCCGAATCTGTGTCATTTCCAAGACCCGCCAATTGGCGACAGATTCGTTCCAAATTCAGATAGAATTTTCTTACATCTTCCAAAGTGTTGCAATTTGGAAGAGTTAGGAGCTGCTGCTGCAGGTTTCTAATTCTTCTATCTTTATTTTCATAATTTTGTTTAAGCAAATCGATTGCTTGAACGTATTCGCTTGGTTGAAACCCGTCGATCAAAAGACCGGCAGGACTCTCCTGTGGAATGAACGACCGAAGATAAAGAAATTTTCTTTCGGTCGATAACCCACTATCTTCATGTATTGACATGAAGAGCTCCCACCAATCAGGCCAAAGGTCTGGATCGGTGCCGTAGAATTTGCCTATACTTAACGCCTCGTGCCTTACTTCAAAATGAACTGGCGTGGCTGGAGCTACTTTTGGCGCTTGCTCAATCTGAGCATTTTCTCTTAAATTAAGCTTCTTTAGTCGCAATTTGCGACTTAATTTTGATTTTGACATTCTCAAGGATGTCAATTTCTTCTCTGCTTCGGCCGCATATTGGCTTGGCCTATGCTTTAATTCGAACGCTTTAAAAGAAGCGTCGAATTCTGGCCTTTCTGCTGATGTAGCCTTTTTATTTAATTCAGCCCAATCATCAAAGACCGAATTTATTTCATCTTTTGCCGCGCAGAGGCCTCTTATTAGATTGTCCAAATCTTCTATTGAACTCTCTAATTCTATTATTTCTTCTTCTAAAGGCATTTCCAAGACCCGATCCGAATTAAATTCAGTTAGGTCTACCTTTAAAAAATCAACAATCTTTACGATTGTGATTTGTAGCCGCTGTTCTAGAGGGCTACTCATCTTTGACTTGTCTTCTGCTGAGCTGCTGAATGTATTTCTACCTTTAAAAATTTTACCACGATTCCCAGATAACAAGTTACAGGCTGTTAACAATAATTGTTAACAGTCTACTTAGAAAAAGACTAAGTCTGTAATTCTAAGTTTTTAAGGGAAATTTAAAAATTTTTTCCCCAATTAAAAATTTAAATTTTTTCTAAAAAATTTAAACTTGCCTTTTTTTCTTTAAAAAGCGCTGAGCCCCCACTGAAAAGAAAAGGAATATTCCTTTCAAGCTACAACTACAATTCAATGTGATTTGTAGTCGGCGAATTTTTTCTTAATTTATTTTAAATAATTTAATTTATATTTAAATAAATTTTCCAAAGTTTTAATATTTATTAAAAATATTTACTTAAATGATTAATAGAGAAGAAGCCGATTAAAGGGTAAAGCAATAGGCTTTTATATAAAACAAAGAATATGATTGTGGGAGGGAATAAATAAATAAAAAGCTCTGAAATAAGAGCGAAATACAACGGAAGTGAAAAGAGAGAGGAACAGTTTGTTGTTGTAACCTATGGGAAATTACAACAATGGACTTTGAATGGAAAAATATATTGGAAATTAACTAAAAAATTAAATAAAAATAATTAAAATAATTATTAATTTAATTTAACTTCTGAATTGATTCTTAATCCTCTCAATTCAGAACATACATGTTAGAGCTAGGAACGGGTCCGGGACCCGGACCCGTTTCCCGGTTTCCGGGTCCTTTTTCCCGGTTTTTTTGAAGCGACCGGGTTGAAACCGGGAACGGGTTTTCCCGGTTTCCCGGACCCGGTTCCCGCCCGGTCAACTTTCAGAACCCGTTTCCCGGACCCGGTCCCGGCCATTTTTATACCGGGAAACCGGGAAAAATATTTAGTGTATTAAATCTGAAAAACTCTCAAAATTTTCGCCTGCGGCGCTGGAAAAGTAAGAAATCTGGCCTCTTGGTCTTCAAAATTCGCAAAATTTTCGCCTGCGGCGCTGGAGAAGGGAGAATTCTGGCTTCTTTGCCTACGGACACGAGTTGAATTTTTTGTATACGGGTTGAATTTGTGTATAAAGGATGCTTTTAGAAAAGAGAATCGGCCTTCCATCCCATAAACTGTTTCAAGTAAGCAGTGTTTATAAATTTCAGATAGTTTATAAATTTCTTACTCGTACTTGTGAAAAAAAGCAAAGAATCTAAGATTTTTATGATTTTTTGGAGTTCAGGACACTAGTTTTAAATTTAAAGCGTCGTATGCAATAATTTTTTAATCTTGGAAAGCTTTGAAGCACATCAACCTACTTAAAAACTTTTTGCGCCGTAGGCGAAAATTTTGAGAATTTTGGAAGCCCGTAAGACAAATTACTTACTTTTTCAGCGCCGCAGGCGAAAATTTTGAAAATTTCAACGCTAAAAAGTTCACTTCTTAGTGGTCAAAGGAAAATTTTTTAAAGAATTTTAAATCATAACCACTCGGCCACCCTCTCTCTCTTAATCCCCAAATATCCTCTGGTATCCCTCCAATCCCCCAATACACAATATCACTCGTACTGCCTTTACACCGGTATCCTTAATCGTCTAAAATCCTTTTATTCCTCGATATCCTGCCAAATCCTCTTCCATATTCACTTAATCCCGCAATATCATTTCAAATCCTATAATATCCCTTTAAATACCAGTATATCCCACTTAATCCCACTTAATCTGCTGATATCTGTTCAAATAAAAAATCAAGAATCAAAGCCTGGATCCAAGCAAAAATAATCCTTGATTTTTCCTTGACTCAAGGCCAGGATTCTGGTCAAGGTACCTAACCGAAATCAAGGTCAAGGTTTTTTGAAAATCACGAATATCCTCTGGTATCATTTACCTACTTTAATAGAGGTTATTTAGAATAAGTATAGAGGGATAGATGAAAAATACAGCCCCATGTGGAAAAATACAGCCCCATTTCAACAAATTGAGAATTTCCCGGTTTCCCGGCCGGGACCCGCCCATTTCTAGACCGGGTTGAAACCGGGAACGGGTTTTCCCGGTTTCCCGGACCCGGTTCCCGCCCGGTCCATTTTTCAGAACCCGTTTCCCGGACCCGGTCCCGGTTTTTTCAAAATTCCTAGCTCTAATACATGTATCGGGACACGCCCAAGTAGGCGCGCGGCCAGGTAGGCGCAAAGCCATAACTACCTGCAAAATTTCTGGACCTTAATAATTTTGGTACCATTCTCTTTAGCTCGATGAGAGGAATCGTTTAACATTAAATTTGACAAGATTCGGGAATCTTGAAGCAAGTTATGGCTTTGCGCCTACTTGGCCGCGCGCCTACTTGGGCTGTACCCACATGTATCATCTTTTCTTTCTCTTAAAGTTAAAAAAACACCCATCCATTGACGAAAAGTCCGTTGACGGAAAGTCCATTGACGAAAAGTATTGACGGGAAGTCCATTGACGGAAAGTCCTTTGACGAAAAGTCGTGCCACCAAATTCGTTTTGATTTTTGACAAAAATAAAATTGTTTGGCATTTTGTTTTAATTTATTTTAAAAACATACAGTACTTCCTCCTTTTCCTTATCGTACTTTATTTCTATTCTACCGTATATTTCAATCCTAAATAATTACAAGTGTGTTGCTTTTATTTTAAAATTGTTCTTATTGTTCAATATTCTTTATTTAAGCTCTTCATAGTGCTTGTTATCATGGACATATACGAGTGGTTCAGTATCTTCTCGACAATGGTGCTGATCAATCGTTAACAGCACGTGCTTCTGATAATTTACTTATTGCAAAATTTGGTAAGTATTATTTACTTACTATATTTTAATTACTTCTTTATAAAAAAAAGGTAATTCTGCTATTCTCCCTTCAATAAATGGTTCTTTGTCGTCAAAGATTTCTTCTCTTATTCGTTCTGATTCAACTCATTCACAAGATTTTAAGCCTTTATTAGACATTCAGAAAGATAATGATAAATTTGTTGATGGACAATTCCAACCACAAACACCTATATTATGGGCATATGAAAAAGGACATGATCAAGTCCAAAAAAATATTTTTATTTAAATTTAAAGTTAAAAAACTAAAGGTTGTTCACATGCTTAAAGTATATGCAAATAAAAGGCCAGATTCTGATGCTTGTTCTGAATATAGGTAAATTTGTAGAAGAATTTAGAGATTAATATTTCCAAAACTTTAAGTTCTGGCAGTAGTTCATATACTCCTTTACCTAGCCCCCTTGGAAGACTTCGTTCAATGACCAAAGAAAAAGCAGAAATCTTGCAATTAAGAGCTGAATTACGTTCTACCCACCATCTTTCATTATTAAATATTGACCTTAAAGAACCAATAGGAAATGGTTCTTTTGGTAAAGTTTATAGAGGTATTTATAGAGGAAAGTCTGTGGCTGTTAAACGTTATAAAGTTGTTGCTTTTGGAGCAAAAACTGAAGTAAAAAGGAGAATTTTCTTTTCAAATTTAATTTTAATTTTATTTTGTAGGTTGATATGTTTTGTAGAGAAGTTAGTATTGTTTCTCATTTAAAACATCCAAATGTAGTGGCATTTGTTGGGGCTTGCATGGAGGTTTTTTGACATTTTTTCTTGAAAATAAATTCTTTTTTAGGATCCAAGTGTAAGTTTTTTTTGATTAATTTTTGTTGAAAAAATTATTTTTAATTTTAATTTAAGCAATTTGCTATAATTACAGAGGTATGTAAATTTTAATAAAATATTATTTAAATTTGTTTAGTTTGTCTCAGCAGGCTCACTTTTCTCATTATTACATGTACAAAAAAGGTAATAAATTAACAAAAATTTTAATTTATTTTTAGAATTTTTGAAATGAATTTACGTTTTGGTGTTGGAGTTGACATTGCTCGAGGAATGCATTATTTACATGAATTAATAGAAAAATCTGTCATTCACAGGGATTTGGTTTGATTTTTTTATTAAAATCATTTTCGAAATAAAGTTTAGAATTCTCATAATATTCTTCTTCACAATAATGGACGAGCTGTGGTTTGTTTTTTATTCAACTACATACTATAAGACAAACTACTAATATTTTGTTTCAATTTTAAAAAAAAACTTTATACTTAAATAAAATTTATAGGTCGCCGATTTTGGAGAGTCACGTTTTGCTGCTGAACACCACGAGGACAGCATGACAAAGCAGCCAGGAGTCTGTTCTATTTACATATCCGTAGATAATTATTTATAGAACCTTCGTTGGATGGCCCCAGAAGTTTTTACACAGAGTTGTCGTTATGACCATAAAGTAGATGTGTTCAGCTTTGCTTTAGTTTTATGGGAGATTCACACAGCTGAATTACCTTTTTCTCATTTAAAACCGGCAGCTGCAGCAGCAGAGATGGCATACAAAAGAAGTTGATTGAATAATAAATTTAAATTAAAAAATAATTAAATTTTAGATCGCCCTCTTCTTCCATCTGAACCTAATGCTCAATTTCCAAAGCACATTATTGAAATACTCAATCAAGCTTGGCAACCAGGCATTCTCTTTTTAATTAAAAAAATATTTTTGAATTTCAGACCCAATAGCACGTCCTGAATTTTCACAAATTTTACCTGAGCTTGAGAGGTTTTTTTTAATTTTTATTTTAAATTAATTTTACCCTTTCCCAGGCATTTAATTCTCGATGAGAATATTAATAAATTTTGCATTGGTCCTCCATCAATTGACCCTGAGTCAACAATTTGTGAAGAATCAGAAGATAATTTCGATATAGATGAGGATTCACTTATTTCTGATGATTCTATTCGGGGAACGACTGTTTCTAAATTAAAGGACCGTTGGGAACAATTATCAGAAGGTGGAATTGAAACTTTAAAAATATTTCTTTTTATACTTTTAGCTTCTCAAAATCAAAAAATTGGCCGATCAAGAATAGACAAACTTTCACAACGTGTAGACCAAAATGGTTATGTTTCACAAGCAGCCCGGGCTATTTTATCCGCTAAAGATGCTACACAATTACGAGATAGTATTGTTATTGCTAGATCTGCAAATGTTGCACAAAGACAGAATGCACTAATCAGAAAGGCTGGGGCTGATAATGACGAGAAATATCAAATTCCACCTTTATCACCCGACTTAGTAAAAATGTGAAAATGTTCGGATTTTATATTTATAAATTTAAATTTCACTAAAATATTACAATTATTCGGAACTAATTTAAGCTTGTAACGTTATGACTTTTCTCAAATTAATTATAGTTGGGTGAGGGGCAAAACCAGGAATTCCAAAACACGGAACAGACAGAACACGGAACGACAAAACACGGTCTTACCAAAACACGGAACGACCAAAATACGGACCATACCAAAACGAGGAATAGATAGAACACGGACTTGCCAAAACACGGAACGGCCAAAAGGCGGAACGACCAAAATACGGTCCAGGGAAATAATAATTCTTTATTATTATCTTGATTTAAAAAAATATTTGATTTTAAAATTTTGATTTTAAAAAATATTCTGATTTAAAAAAAATTCTGATCTTTAAAAAATTCCGATTGAAAGAAATATTCTGAATATTCTGATTTAAAAATTCTGATTTAAAGAAATATTTTGATTTTAAAAAAATTCTGATTTTAAGAATCTTTCTGATTTAAAACCCGATTATTTTAAATATTCTTTTGATAATATTTAAAATATTTTAAAATTATAAAATTATTACCGTTTTTAAATCAAAATTCTTTAAAAATCAGAAATATTCTGAAAATCAGAACATAAATAATTCTGAAAATTCTGATTTCTAAAAACATTTTGATTTAAATTTTTTTATCATTTTTGAATAATCATTTTTTGATAGTATTTAAAATATTTTAAAATCATAAAAAATTATTTCTCTGGACCGTGTTTTGGTCGTTCCGTATTTTGGCCGTTCCGTGTTTTGGTAAGTCCGTGTTCTGTCTATTCCTCATTTTGGTATGGTCCGTATTTTGGTCGTTCCGTGTTTTGGTAAGACCGTGTTTTGTCGTTCCGTGTTCTGTCGTTCCGTGTTTTGTCCGTTCCGTGTTTTAGCCTGACACGATTATAGTTAATTTTTGGAGTAGGATTCTAGAATTACAAATTACAGAATGTAATGCTTATTGGATTCAAAAGATTTGAGAAAAGTATAAAAATAATGACTTTAATTATTCTTTATTACCCTTATTATAGTAATATTATTGTATAAAAATTTATACTTTTCTGATCTGCGTGATTTTATCTTTAATTGTAGTGATCGTTACAATATTTTGGGTAGGTAACAATTCAGAATAGGCCGATCCAGTTGTAAAAGGGCGGAATCCGAAATCCTCAGAAAAATGATTAAAAGGAGTTTTAAAACGAAAACTTGAATAACTAAAAAGCGCTAAAAACAAATGTAAATTTGTAAAAATATTTTATCTTTTCTTTCATTAAAAAATTATTTAACTTTTTTTACGTTTAAGTATTTTAAATAAAAAATTTAATGGGAGTTCCAGGTTTGTTGCCTTACATGAAAAAAGCTTGTCAAGAGGTAATGAAAATATTTTTATTTAATTTCACACACACATTTTAGGGTAACATATCTCAATTTGAGGGAAAATCTTTACTTGTAGATGCTAGTTGTTTATTACATCGTGGTCTTATTGGGTGTGCAGAGAAAATAGCAATGAGACAAGAAACTGATTTGTAAATGAAATTTTTATATTAAAAAAAATTTTTTTTTCAAGTTATGTTGGCTATGTTTGGAAATATGTTAAACTTTTATTAGCTCGGAAATGTCATGTTATTTTAGTTTTTGATGGCCGTCCTTTACCTGCTAAAAAGACAACAAATGATTCAAGAAGAGAATCTAGAGAAAAATACCAAATTTTAGGAGAACAATTAATGAGCCAAGGATTGAAAGGAGAAGCATTCCAAGCATTTTGTCGCGGCGCGGAATTAACTAGGGATATTGTGGAGAAAACTATAAGGGGTTTTTTCTTGTAAATTTGTTTTTGTAAAATATAATTTTTCAAGTCATTCAAAAATGTCAATAATGTTGATGTTATTGTGGCGCCGTATGAGGCTGATGCTCAAATTGCTTATATGGTTCAAAAAGGATGTGCACATGCAGTCATTACTGAAGACTCAGATCTCATTGTTTTTGGTTGTGATAAGGTTTAATACATTTAATTTGTAGAAAATAATTTGAAAAGAGTAGTTTTCTATGGGAAACATTTCCCTCAAAATTATAGCTTAAAGATTTTTGATTTTAACAAGATTGTTTCCCCTCCAAAAATCTCCGAGTAACTGGCCTCAAAATAATTCTGATAATAAAATTTACAGAAATAATATCTAAAAATTTTTTTAAAGATTATTTTCAAAATGAATCCAACAGACGGTTCTTGTGTTATTTACGAAAAAGAAAAAATGCCAAATTGTTTATGTCCCATTTTACGACGTAAATTTCAATTTCCAACATTTCGACGTATTTGTATTTTGGCTGGTTGTGATTATTTACAAGGAGGTCTTCAAGGTGTTGGATTGAAAGGAGCTGAAGAAATCTTTGCAAAAACAAATCAACCTGAATTAAAAACAGTTTTTTTTAATTTGTAGAAAAATATTTTATTAATTTTTAGCTTTTACCTCGTTTGCCGCTTTATCTAAACAAAAGAATGAGAGCAAAATTGGATAAAAATTTTGTGAATGATTTTATTAAAGCTGAAAATACTTTTCTTTATCAAGTTGTATATGATCCAAAGTTTTCTTAAATTACATTTTTAGATTAATTTTTATTCAATTTTTAGTCTGAGACAACAAGTCCCGCTGAATGCCTATCCAGTAGACGAAGAAGAAAAGGTTTTTCTTTTAATTCAGAAATATTTGGGGAGATTGACCTCACAGCCCAAAACCATTCTTTCATGACTTGATCGATTTTTATAAAAAAAAGTATGAATCCACAAAATATACCTAACATGATTTTTCATGATTCTTCCAAAAATTGTCGGAATTGTTTTAAAAATTTTGGTCCAGAAATTGCTTCTGCACTAAAATCAATAAAAAAAATATTTTTAGGAAAATTCAATGTCACCAAAAGAATCTGTAAAATATCCATATGCTGGAGAGGTTTCTTTTTTTTTAATTTTATTAAAAAAATTTATTTTTTAAAGGTTTTCTCTCCTCGAAAAGCAACTCGTCTCGCACTTGGAAATCCTGAAAATAAATTACATCTGCCAACAATAGCAGATGAATTTGTATTTCCAAATAAAATTCCGGAATGGTCAATTTGGAATTTAAATTATAAAAATATTTTAGAAAGAAAAGAGGAAGATGAAGAATTAATTTTAGAAGAAAGATTTGGGGCTTTTAAGGTTTTTAATTATTTTTATTTTACGGAAATTTTTATTTTGTAGCCACCAAAATCTCCAATAATAAAGAAAAGGCGTGCTGCTGAATTAATTGGAATTCCTTTATCTGAAGGCGAAGCTGAAGAAATTGGAAAAACTTTAGAAGAGAAAAATAAAAAACGGCGATTTTCGGAAGTTGAAACGGTTAGATTTTAAAATATTTTTTCTTTTAAAAAATTAATTTAAAGGGTCTTTCAACCCCAAAAAATGGTATTTACTCTCGAATGAGTTGTGACGATTGGATGAGAAAATATGGAATGGATAAGAGTAATTAAAATGAAAAAAACGGAGAAAATATTTTCTGATTCTTTTTTTGTAACAAACATATTCGAGTCCGTAACCGGGAATAGGAAAAGGGGGGGGGGTACTCCTTGAAAACAAAAAACTGAAAGAAGTATTCTTAAAAACAATTTTAACAAAATGGAATAATCCGTTGGATTCGTTCAATAATCCAACTTTAAAATGTAGGAGTTTAAATCTTACAAGCAGAATTTCTAAAATCCTTATTTTTTCAAAAATATTTTCTGGCTTCAGGTTACGACCAATTATTAACACTTTCAAATATAAAAATCCCAAAAATTTATAACTTTATTTTTTTTTGAATTTATTTTATGATATTTTTCAAATTTTTACAATAAATTGATTGTCTTTTAATGATGATTTTCAAGTCCTTTGAGATTATAATATGCCACAAGTGATTGAACATTTGCTTCAAAATTTCCAATTAATTCATCTATATGGTTTATACATTCCTTTTCTAATCCATCATTTCCATAAGCTAAAGCTTTTAATAAAGTCTTTCTAGAAGGGGCAGCATGGATTACAACCTTCAAAAATTTTTATTTAAAAAATTATTTTTTATTAAAGAAAACCTTAAATAATTGTTTAGAAATAAAATTGTGATGCTTCTTTAAAGTATTTTCATATGAATTTCGTAAATTTGGAGTTAAATTTTCTGATTTAGACAAATCTCCATTTAAAATTCCATTTCGATAATCTTTAACTAATTGTTTAAGTAAAAGAAGCATAAATTGTAATCCTCTAAAAATTAGATTTTAAGGAAAATTTTTTTTATGAAAAAACCTTTTTAACCACAATAATCCTTCTGTTGCTATTCCAATTTTTCCATTATTTTCAGAAATATCTTCATCAATTAAATCTTGAAGAAAATACATTTTCTTTTTGTCTGTTTCAAATAATTTGGAGATTTTGTGAACATTTCCACTAATATCATTTTTAACAGGAATAAATGCAGTACCAAGAAAACCTTTGAAAAATAAAAATTCTTTTAAAAAAATATAAATAAAACAAACCAACAAAATCAGCAATTCCTTGACAGGCTAATAAAAATTGATTTGTAGGAATTTTTCCATTTTGAAGTTCTGGGAAGATTCTCTCTTTATGTGAAAAATAAGTTTCTTTTCCATTTTCTGTGATTTCCATATATTTTTGGGTAAAAATCCTAAAAAATCTTTTTTTATTTTAAAGGAGGTAAATTATAATTCTGTCTCAATTATTGATATAAAATACTGGAAAGCTCTAAATGTTAGGATTATTATTCATAGAAGGGTAGATTTGATGATCAAATTAAAGCTACCTAATCGTAAGAATATCGATTGATTGCGATTACTCGGCTATAACAGTTCTGAGATAAACTGGTCAGATAAAACAATGATAATCTGTAAACTCAGTCAGATTTTCCGATCAAATTTATTGAAATCAAGAAAGAATTCGAAAGTTGACCTCCAAAATATTGCCTGGGACTGAAACGTCCCATATAAATACAAAATGCCAGAAAAAATTATTTTAGTTAGTTTCAAACGACATCTACAGTAATTCCCCATAATTTATGTTAACTTAAATTTTTCGACAATTATCTTCCACACAAATATTCTTTACATATTAAAATATAAAATATTGTGTGTAGTTTTCTATTATTTATTTTTGTTTCTGTTACTTTGATTGCGTATATTCGCGAACAACTTTTTCTTCCATTTTAGGAAAAGCTGTTAATGCACACAAGTTTTTGGCCCTCTTCCTTGTTTTATTCATCATTATTTATATTTGTACTAGTTTGTGATGAAAAAGAGAAAGAAAGAGAAAACAATTCCGGGACCTTAAAAAAGGGAAAATTATTAAAAAAGAAGAAGAAGATGAATAAAAATAAAATAAAAAAAAACTTGTAACAAAACGGATGAAAAGTGCGCGAAAATTGCGCTATCTTCTTCATGGTGGTGTTGTGATTGAAGAGGAGGAGGGCTTTTCTCTTTCATTAAAAATTAAATAATAATGAATGAAAAGCCCATTTTTGGACAAATTAAAAAAAGAAAAATCTTGAAAATAAAAATAAAAGTATTTTTTAGAAAAACAAAAATTAGCTCATTCATAAACAGCCAATAAAACAAATTAAATATTTATAAATTAAGTAAAGATATGTCTAATATTTCTCAACAAGTTTTTATTTAGTTAAAAACTGAAAGCAAAAACAAGATAATAATTTATTTTTAATTAATTTTGTTTTTTTATTAAAAAGAAAATAATTTTACATAAAGTAGTTTTATTGTAAATTGTATTTTAAATACAAAATAGGTCCTAGGGTCACCGAATGATTACAGTTGTTTCTGTCCCAAGGAGAGAATTGACTGTATAAGACTTTTATATTTAAAATCCTAGTAATTATCATTACCTTCCATTTCCTTTTGTTTATTAAATTTCTAAATGCCTTCCTCTACACGAAAATTTTTTTTTGAATTTTTACTTAAAATTTTCTTTTAGATTTTTAATTATTTTGTAATTTATTTAAATTTTAATATAATCCAATCTACATACTGCGAGAATTTTTTTATTTAATGTATAAATTAAATATTTTTTTAAATATTTCCCCTCAAAACATTAATTGGGTAAAGAATATTTGTATTTATTTATCTATTAAATGTTTTTTGTGTGGTCCTTTGCATGACATTGACCCGTTGGCCTCGAAGAGAATAAAATAAATAAAAAGCAAAAAAATTTTTTGGGTGGCCGAATCTGTCGTTTTTTAGCAAAAAATGGCCTTTAAAAATTTGGCGCCATTTTTCTAACATTTGGCGGGCAATCTGCGCACAATTATTATTTATTTTAGAAGGTATTTGAACATATTTAATAAATAAAAAATATTTTTGACCCAATAATTTGGATTTTTTAAAGAAAGTTAGAGAAAAGACGTAAAAACAGAAAAACTGATTTAACTGAAAAATATTTTAATTAATTAAAAGCATTATTTAAGGGTTACTAAACATTTTTTTATTTTTTAAAAATTTATTTTTAAATAAAAAAATTAAAATATAAATTTATTTTTTTTTTAATTTTGTTGCAAACAATTTGTAACAATTTTCTTCTCCCTTTTCTCTTTTTCTTTTTTTATTTTGGAGTACATTATAAAATTTGTTCACATTTAAATGATAAAATGATCAAAAGTTTTTCTTTTTCAAAAATTTTTCTTTCCAAATAAATTAAAGTCAAATTGAATTAACGTTTAAAATGCTCTACAAAATAATTTTTTTAATTTAAATTTTAGACTCCAAAATAGAAAATAAATAAGTAAATAAATAAATATTCTTTTAATGGTTCCGTGACTTTTGCGCCGAGAACATTTGCGCCGCGACTTATGCGCCGCGACTTTTGCGCCGCGACTTATGCGCCGAGCGACTTTTGCGCCGGGGGACTTTTGCGCCGCGACTTTTGCGCCGGGCGACTTATGCGCCGCGACTTTTGCGCCGGACGACTTTTGCGCCGCCACTATCATTAATAATTATGAAAAACTACAGCCGGACCTCACTATAGAAGATGTAGGATAGTTGGAGATCTTCGGATATCAAGATCCGGATCCGATATCCGACCTAAAATTTTCGGCTATCCGGCCTTCTTCAGATCAGGATATCTGGACCCGACAACCCTTCATTATAGTGCACCCTCTTCTGGCAGAAAATCAACCTGAATATGGGTAGCAGACAAAATATCCTGATTTGAAAAAGTCAAGGGGGGGGGTCATTCCTCCAGCTCTTGGATACCTCTAGGGGGTCGGTTTATTAGAGAGGGCTATTGTACTTCCCGAAATATTGTACTTACTGAAATTCCTTCAGCTCCTGGATACCATTTTTAAAGAATACACTATAATTAGGTCCGACTATAGATATTATTTTTTTAAATTATGGCGGCGCAAATGTCGCGGCGCATAAGTCGCCCGGCGCAAAAGTCGCGGCGCACAAGTCGCCCGGCGCATAAGTCGCCCGGCGCAAAAGTCGCGGCGCACAAGTCGCCCGGCGCAAATGTTCTCGGCGCAAAAGTCGTGATACCCTTTTAATAATAAAAAAAATTAGAAAGGAAAAAACTAGCAAATACTAAAAAATTGGTAATTTAAAAAATAAAATTTTTGTAACTTTATTTAAGAAATTTTTATAAAAAATTAATTTATTTTTAATTATTTTTGTTGGTTCCTTCTTCTAAATTTTCAATCAAAAATTTCTTTCCAGAAAATTCCTTGTGTAGGGTTGAAAAAAACTTTTTGAAAACTACCAAATTTTTTGTCAGTCTTTACCCTATAAAAATGGCCTTCAAAAATAGAAATAAAAAAAGGATTGGGGGGAAATGTGTGTTTGTTGCTGCTCTTCTTTTTTTTGTTATATACTTACAAAATTTATTTATTTAGTATTTTAATCTTCCCCTATATATTTTTATTCTAAATTTGCGCAACAGAGTTAAATCGATTCAAAAATTGTTGGCAATTGTTTTGATTTAAATAATTAATTTGTTAATTATTTTTAAATATTTTTAATTTTCTTTTTTATCCAAAAGTTTTTTGTTAAAAAAGCAGAAAAAAACTTTAATTTTTATTAAACTCTTATTTAAATTTATCGTTATTTACTTATCTACCATATATTCTAAAATAATTACCCTGAGAGTAATTATTGTTTCTAAATGAGAGGGTATAAATATTGGGGGGAAAAATATTTTTTGAAATGAAGATTTAAGTAAAAAAGCTATTGTTTATCTAAATTTTTCTTTTTATTTTTATTTTGAAAGTTTTCAAAAAATCAAAATTTGGTCAAAAAACTAATATAATTTTAATTTAGAAATTATTTAATTAGATGCCCTTTAATTTTTAAACAATTTAAAAGACAAAAATTAATTAAAGTCGGGTCACAATTTAGATATATTTTTGACATAAAATAATTAAAATCAGTATATATTAATAATTTTATCTTACTAAATCCTTTCACTTTCCCTTCTCTTTCCCTGTAGATCTTCTTTTTTCTCTCTCTCCCCAGCCCTGACCTATTTATTCAATAAAGGCGGATCTCCCCTCCCCACTTGTTATTTTTTATCCCCCCCCCCCCCCCCCCCCATTATCCCCTCTCTCCCTCCCCGGACCTCTATTCCTTTCTCTTTCTCTCTCTCATTCATAACCAAATGTGAAATTACATTAAATCCCTTATATCTTCCTTCAATTAAATAGTTAGAGAGTATAGGGGATAGGGAAGAGAAGAAAAGAGAGGAAAACCTCCTTTTCTATCCAAATTTGGTCTGCGATCATTTCGTTGCCGCTGATGCCTGTTTCGCGCGCCACTTAACGTTTGCAAAGGAGGGTAAAGGCGGATTCATGTGAAAAATGGGCGGGGTTTTGATAGATTAATGAAAGGGAAGAAAGGAGAAAGAAAAGTCTCTCCGACAATGTCGACCCTTCCCCTCCACTCATTTTCCTTAAAAATTTTTTTCTATTTTCTCCTCAACTTTTTGGTATTCCGCGCATTCTTTTTTCCAAATAATCACGGAAACAGCCCAATTTTGATGGCAGAAATTGTTGAAAAATGTGGAGGGAAATGCGCAAACGTGATAGAAAATAGAATTTATAACAATTTGAAGAGGGGGAGAGGGAGAGGGTATTTTTGATTGCCCTCCTCCTCCTCTCTCTCCCTACACAAAATCCCTCTTTTCATTTTTCTTCCAATTTCTCTTAAAAATCTTTCCAAAAAACTCAAAATCAGGTTTTTCCTGAAAGTTAATCTGAATGAAACAATTTCTGATTTTGGGGCATTTCACTAAAAATTCTGTTTGCTTCGATTAATTGCCCTATTTTGATTTTTATATTGCCTGATAATTTTGTTTTTATTTGGAAATATTTATATATTTTACCTAAATATTTCTAAATAAATATTTTAATTAAAAAATTCATTTTTTTGTCTAATAATTTTTTAAATTTAAAATAATTTTTAAATAAACTTTTTTTTAAAAATTATTAAAAAAATTTTTTTTAATTTAATTTTCTTTAAATTATTAATTAAATATTTAAACATAATTTAGTTATAAATCCTTTAAAAAAATTTCCCAATTCTTTCTTTCACTCTCTTTTTGCTTATCATATGGGCAAATAATCGAGATTTGTGGTTTAAATCTTTTTAATTCATTTTGTACCTAATTTATTTTTAATTTGTGTCAATCCAGAAATGATATTTAAATTTTTTTATAAAAAATCCTCTCTTTTCCCCTTTCATATCTCCTTATTTTATTAGCATTTGTTTAAATAAAGAAGTAAATTTATAAAATTTTCTATCGAATACTTGGTCTTATTTTTTAAATTTAGAGTTTTTATTTAATTTTTATTTAATTTTTATTAAGGTTGCGATTTTTAAATTTATTTATAATTTTAGAAATTATATATTTTATTTAACCCCTCTCCACAACATTATTTTATTCTTCAAAATCTTCCAAAGATTATTTAAGATAAAATATATTTTTATTTAAATAAAAACTATAACGTCTCCGGCCTTATTTTTTACTGGACTTTTTAATAAATAGATACAGTTTAATTTGCTTAGTAGATTCCTCATTTAGTTGAGAGAGTTAAATTTAAATACCGTATTTTCTCTAAAATAGACCCCGGGGCTTATTTTTTTCGATCGACCTCTAGAGGGGGCTTATTTTAGAGGGGGGGCTTATTTTGGAGGGGGGGGGGGCTTATTTTTTTCGATGTCTAAATTTTTGAAAAACTAAAATTTATTACCAAACATTTAATAAAATTTTTTCTAAAATTCAATAAAATTCATCCCATACTAAGTCTCTTCAAGAAAAATCCTTGTCCAAAAACTCATCAAGTACTCTGTCAATTGATCCTTCAGCTTAGATATGCCTTTAAGTTGGAGATATCGGAGGATTAATGTGAATATTGAGACATTCAGATGGAGCATTTTGTGTTTTGGGAATTGGTAGGGATATCAAGGGATTTTGGAGGATTAAGAGATGTCGTGGGATAAAGATTAAAAAGCATTTTCAGAAATTAAAAGGATTATTAATGGATTTGATGGGATTTAGAGGATATAGCAAGAATTTTCCAGATATCCGTCTTTATCTTTCGAGATCCATGACTCCACTTAAACCTACAACATTCCTACAAATGGCGAATATCTCTGATATACAAAAAAATCCCCGGATATCCGTTCAAACCATCTTAATCCAATGAACTCCCTATTAATCCTTGAAATCCTTGTTAATCACCGAAATTTATTAATCTCTTAATCTACAGAAATCCCTTTTAAACCCCCGATATCCTTTCTACTCTCCATTAATCTTCACTATCCCTATATATCTAATTAAACCTACAAATTCTCCAATATCATGATTAATCGCTTCAGATCTCTCGATATCTATGTTAATCCCTTTATATAGTACCTGTTAAATCTTCCAAATACCCTCTTAATCACTTCTAATCCTTCTATATCCCTCCATGGGGACTCATCTGAGGGGACACAACGATTAATCAACAATTAAAAATTTTATGGGGGAGGGGGCTTATTTTAGGAGGGGGCTTATTTTAGAGGGGGGGCTTATTTTTTTCGATCGTCCTCCAGAGGGGGCTTATTTTAGAGGGGGGGCTTATTTTGGAGGGGGGGGGCCTATTTTAGAGAAAATACGGTATATAAGGCCGTGGACGGTATACGACGTTAAAAAACAATTATTAATTATTTAATAATAAATTAATTTTTAGTTATTTTTACAAAAAAATTTTTTGATTAAAAAATGGATTTACAACAACAGCAACAACAACAGATGTTTTTAAATGCTTGGATTAGACCAACATTATTATCTCCAACACCAACAAATACAACAACAATTACTCAACAACAACAAAATATTCTTCAAAATATTCCTGAACATTTAAGAGGAAATTCTTCTTCTTCTTCTTCTCTTATTATTAGAGTAAATAATAAAAAATTATTTTAAATTTTTTTTTATTAATTTTCAAATTATTTTTTTTATTTTTTAGCCACCTCAACCACAACAACACCAACAATTAGTTATTCGTCACGTCCCCCCTTCTATACGTGTTTTTGAACCTTCAATGTCCAGTCCATCATTAACATCTTCCTCCTCTTCTTCAATTCCTTTTTCTTCTTCCCCTTCATTAAATAATTCAAATAATTTAAATCCTCTCCTCCTCAATCTTCACCAACAACAACAATCAATTCCTTCCCCAATTTCAACAAAAATACTTCAAATACCTTCACAACAACCACAACAACAATATCCCCCTCAACAATTTGATCAATTAGTTGCTTTAGCACATTTTCAACAAATGTTGGAAAGAATAAAAGCTTCAGAAACAGCCAAAGCTTCTCAATTATTAGAGAATAATTCGGTAAAAAAATAAATTTATTTAAAAATTATTTTTTCTCTCAAATAAACTAAAATTTGAGAGAAAAAAGGGGAAATAAATTTATTTTAAAAAATATTTTTTTAAGCAAAATTTTGGTGTAATTCCAACTTCTGCTTTTAAATTAGTTAATAATTCAATACAAAATTCTGAATTAACTACAATAAACAAAACTTCCACTCCTTATTTTTTATCTGAAGAATCTGTGCTGCAACAACGTCAATTAGAGCCAAAACAACAAAAAATTGAATTAAAAGTATTTAAAATTTAAAAATATTTTTTAAATATTTTTTAGGATTTTAAAATATAAAAGAATTATTTGACAGATTTTTAAACAAAAAATTATTTAAAATTTAATTTTTAAGCACCAACAACAAACATCCCAACAACAAAAGCAACAACAACGTTCCCCTTCTTCTTCATTACAAAAGAATTTTACCCCAACCCCTTCAACAAGTGCTGATGAACTTTTAGGTCAGGCAATAATTAAATTATTACAACAACAACAACAAACAAAAGGGGAAATAACAGAAATAAATGGAAATAATAATATTCAAACAAATATTGAAGGTAATTTTTTTTTATTTTTATTTTTTTTTCTAATAATTTATGAATTTTATTTGTGTAAATATATTCTCAGGAAAAATTAATTTTTTTAAAGATTTTTATTAAATTCTGAAAATTAAACAAAAATTCGTTTAACTACTTACTTCTAAAACAGAAACTTTGAGCACTCACCAAATTTTTAATTAATTAATAATCTACTGATTCTTTAAAAATCCTTATATTAAATATTTTTTTTCTCAAATCCTAAAAATTTCCAATAATTTAAATATTTTTTTTTCAATTTTTGTAATTTTAAATGTTCAATCTCTTCCTTTTATAAAATATATGTATATACTTTCTTCATCATAATCCACAAAACCTCGTGTTGTTGTCCTTACAATGTCGCCTCTTATTTGCCTCCAGGGTTTGTTTGCTTTCTTCACTCCATTTTATTTTACAATTTTTTTTTTCGTTTTCATTCAAAAGCGTGCTAATATATATTTATAATTTGATGATCCAGAGAAGAATTCCAGTCGCAGTTTTTCCTTTCTCTTTTTTTATTTCCAACCCCCCCCCCCCCCCAACCCTCCAAAACAGCTTTTCAAACACACTTTCTCCTCTTTTCTCTTTTAATTTTCTCACCCCTCTAAAAATATTCTTTTCATTCTTTTTTTACCTAAAAATCTGGTCGGTAGGTCGATTTTTGTCTATTTCTCCCCTCATTCAATCTCCGCTTTTTTGGGGGATTGAAAAAACTGGATTTTCATTTCTCTGCGTGTGTGAGACTGTTTTTAGCAGAAGAATAAGTGTGTTTTATATGTCCGCGCAGAAATGAGACTGTCATTTTCATTTTCTACCCAATGAATACAGAACCGGAGGAGAAAATTGGAATTTTGGAGTGGGAGAAAGGGGGGGGGTGAGGGGAATTGCGAAAAAAATAAATGGGAGAAGTAGGGGAATGAATTGAAAATGGAATAAATAGAAAAAAAGAATATACATATAAGGATATATACACAAAAATTTTGGAAGAAAAATAAAAGAGAAAAAAGCTTTTTAAATCGGACCAAATAAAAATAAAATAGACTGGGGCGCGTAAGCAATTGGGAGCATTAAAGTGATGAACGTAGTCTGTATTTGAAAGAAAAAAGATTGAAAAGAGGGAAAAATATTTAAAAAAAACAAAAAATTTTATTTAAATTTTGGGTCCCATCTTTTTACATTTAAATTTTCTATTTAGAGAATTCTTAAATATTTTTGACTAGATTTTAGAGTAGTCGGAGAGAAGTTATAATTTAATTTCAAATTATTTAGACTGTCTAAATTTTTCTTTTTTTTGTTCTAAAGCTGATTTTTTGTTATAAAATTTTAAAAATTTTTATTAAAAATTTTAAATAAAAAATAATTTTTAGGAAGTAATACAAATCAGGCAAATCCGGATTATTCCACAATTATTGCTGGTGAAGAAGTGCTTTTGTGCAAAGTCTGTTCTGATCGAGCCAGCGGTTTTCACTACGGAATATTTTCTTGCGAAGGTTGTAAGGTGGGTATTTTTGAGGAATTATTACTTTCGAGTTGTTTAAAATTCCTGACACATGCACAAATATTTTTATTCATTTCTAATAACGGTAAAAGCGAATTCTGCGGAAGGCGGAAGGAAATCCAAATTTTTTCCAAAAACATCACAAAAAATATTTTTGAACTTAAAATATTTGACCAATACACAAGTCTACGTTCATCTACATACTATCCCCTTCCCTCTTTCCATTAAAGTATTAGGTCAACCATTTATTTTAAAGAAATATAGTAAAATGTTCCTTCTCAAAAATCGGGTCATTCAATATCTTCAATTATATGCCCCCAATGTGTAGACCTACTTTTACTTCTTTACTTTCTCTTCAGACAATAAATATCCAAAAGTAGGTCACATTCATTTATTTTAGTTTTTAGAAAAGAGGAAAGGAAAATTTCTTCTATAGGAGGAATAAATAAAGGGATTTCTAATAAATTTTTCAAAAAGCGGATATAACCTAAATAAATTTAAATTTAAAAAAAATTGGAGAGAGTAATGAAAATAAAAAAAAATTAATTTTTAAGGGATTCTTTCGACGTTCTTTACAAAACAAAATTGACTATAGACCTTGCACTCAAAGTCAAAAATGCCAAATTGTTCGTGCAAACCGTAATCGATGTCAAGAATGTAGGTGGAGAAAATGTATAGAGGCGGGAATGTCTAAAGACGGTAAATTTTTAAATTAAGATTTTGAGAGTTAATTAATTAATTTACACACAAAAATTTTTCCGTTCACAAATCTTTCACCTGCCAATTCTTTTTATATCCTCTTAACTCTCTATTTATATCCCTGCCTTTATTATTAAAATAGTTATGCTATGTTATATTCCAGTAATATAACAATGATTTAGACCAAATAATTTTAACCAAATATTTAAAATATTAATTTTTTATTCCAAGATTTAAAAATACAAGTTTGATATTAAAGGGGAATTTAAAGTAAGGGTGAAGAAGTTGAAAATAATGGATATAAATCAGCTTAAATAGGGCCAAAAATATAGAATTATGAATACATTTTTTTTTAGAGGGAAAAGATAAAAATTGAAAAGATGATTGGGCAAAAATATGTGAACATAAATATTTTAAAAATATAAAAACAAGGATGATTAATGGAAAAGTTTAAAAATAAATATTAAATATCTTTATAAAAATTGCGTTTCGGCGCAACACTCCGCGCACAAAAAATGTTGACTAGTTTGAAGAGTAAAAATCGTGTTAGGCAGGGAAGAAAGCAGTAGCCGATAAGGACAAAACAAAATAACGCTAATATTAAAATTAAAAGGTAGCGTGGAAAAAATAAAAATTTAAGTAGATGTGTTAAATCAATGTCCATTAAACTTTCTATTTTATTGCTATGTTTCTGAACCCATTTTGTTTCTACTATTTCTTCTGGATGATTTAAAATCCCTTTAAGTTCAAATTTTGAGTACGAAGATCCACAAAAAATTTCACATGTTTCTTCAATTTGTGAATAGCTTAAATGTACTGAAAGATTTCTAGTTTCTCCTTTAGGCACACATGTTGTAAATGTCGTTAGAGAAGGACAAACAATATTACCTAAGGAGTTTCCAAAATCAGTTTTACAAGTTAGCTCTAATTTTGCGCCGCGATTGCATTTATAACAACCGACTAATTTGGCATTTGTTACTTTACATTTATTTGCAAGAATTTCTGTTTTTAATGTTAATCCTTTAATTTGAGTTTGAATTTGAGCGGCGGAAAAATCAGGTGAGACTTTAATCGTGCCGTGATCCACATCAAGCAGTATGCCGTTATGTTCAAATGGCAATGTTAAATCCCTTTTAAAAAGCTGTCTAGTTTCTAACAATTCATAGCAAAGACATGCTACATTATGATCGGCCGAATTACAGTCACATGATAATGGGTCTAATTTACATTCATTAAATTTAATGGCTGCGGCTTTTGAAGAACATTTAAAACTTCTCAATTTATCTTCACTTTCCGATTCAAGAATTGCAACTCTGTTTTCATCTGACACGAAAAGTTGATTGAGTATGGGAAGAGGAGCAACTGTCATGCTTGTAGCGGTGATTCGAAGATCATTCCATTCTCTAGTAAATCCGGGTTTTAACGAAAGTAATTTTTCTTGTTTATCATTTTGAGTTTCAATTATAATTTTTACGTCCAATTCAAGATCCCATTTCGGACATCTAAAAATTTCAAGTATTTTTTGGTCGTTCGTTGGTACGGCAGAAAAGCGATAAAATAAACAGGCAGGGTCTACATAAAAACAACCATTCGCCCAACCGCCTTCTGTTTCCATGCATCTTGTGATACCTGGGAATTTTTGATTTTCCATATTTAATTCAATAATCGTATCATTCATTTTAATTGAACTACATTTTTGATTAATACAACTTCCCGTATGAGCACACCTCCACCCCGAAATTACTTGTATATCGTAGGAGCGTGAAAAGTATTTTATTGTTTTAACACAGGATGCTTTTAAGCGGTGTAAAATGAATTTCATGGATCCTACAAAATTGTCTTGGTAATCTTGCAATTTTATGTCTATTTCTTGGTCCGTTGGATTAAAACTTATTTCGAGAGTTTTTTCAAAGAGGCAGTTTCTAACCCCTGTTTTGTCTAGTATGCATTTTTCTTCATCGGCTGTGATAGTTGTAAGACACAAAGCTCTTTGTAGTGAGCTAACAAAAATAATTATTGCAATCGTAACTTTCATTGGTAATCGATTTTTTCTATTATTTTTTAGAATTTTAATTTTTTCTATTTTTTCCTTATTCTCTGTTTTTGTCTTTTTACAACATTTTATGAGAAATCGAATTAGTGACCATTTTCTTTTTAATATCCAAATAATGACAGAAATTAGTGCGATGGTAATTTTTCCAACAAAGTAAATTATATTTGAAAATAAATACACTGCAAGGGCTACTAAAACCATGGCGAGTTCGGGATTGCATCTAGGATTGGTTAATCGTTCAATGCATAAATTACATTTTATTAGTCCACACATATTTAATGGTTGGCATTTAATCCCTTTTTCCTTTATATTTTGACCGTTATTAAAGAATTTTATTGTTGCTTCAAACCCATTTATTAAGTCTTCCTTTGGTAATGTAATTTCTTGTGTAGTGTCGGGAAAAGGTATATAAATGCATTTTTTCAAACAAATTTCTATTCCGTTTATTTCTTTATTTATTTTTATTAAAATTCCTTCCTTGGCGCACTCTAACTCACATTCTTTACATCCCTTCTCATTTTCATTTTTAAAATCGTATACTCTTTTAGAAATTTCACCCCACGCTTTAATGACGACCTTACCATGATTTGAAACAAAATATGCCACTTCATTTTTAGAATAAAAACAAAATTTTTTCCCATTTTCAGAACATGCGTGTTTAGAACAGTATAGGGGTGATCCGGTTGTTTCCCCAACCCCAAAGCATATAAACTCGTCATTTAAATTTTCTTTCATTTCTATCTTTAATTCATTAACTAAATGTTTTGTACCATCGTATAACTCGATTTGTTTAAATTTTTTAATTTCTGAAAAGTTTTTACAATTTTCTTTATACTCAAATGAACATATTTTTGGCCTATTATGTTCTATAATATTTTTTACATCTGGGTCATTGGCTGTTGATCTTTTTATCTCTAATCCTTTATAAAATGAACACTCTATTGCCCAGTCGGGACAGACACAAGCCGGGTTACAATTTCCTTTTCCACACTCGTTTCTTTTCCAACAAAAAGTGCCACCCGCACGCTTGTGTATAGAAAAACCGTTAACTATACATTCGTCGTCAATTTGTATTCTTTTTGTTTTTTCGTGCGATTTACACGGACTTGCAGCAAGGTTTAGACACAGAGAGAAAAAGATCATTATTGTGAGTGTAATAGAGGCAGGAAGTGTATTAGGTTTTAGAATTGCTACACCTTTATTTTTGTTTTTATTATTTCCCATCGATTTATTTTTAACAAATTTTTGTCCCTTTTTAGTAACGTCTTCGTCCAAAATATTTTTTGAATAAAAATCTGCTCTGATTCTTTTAAAATCATTATTTAACCTTTCATTTTGTATTTTTAATGTTTGAATTTCTTCACTATAATTTTTTTCAAGTTCGGTTATTTTTTCATTAGCATTATTTAAAATTAATTTTGTTTCTTTTAATTCATTTTGTAAGTGTGAAATTTCTACTTTATTATTATTAATCAAATTTTCATTCGCTTTATTATCGATTTTAAGTTTAGAAATTTCATCTTTACTAATTTTTATTTCCCTTTTCAAAATTTTATTTTCATCTTCTAAAGTTCTATATTTATAATCATAAGATTTATCTCTTGGTTGCCTATCCTGTCTTTTAAATTTTTTATCGAATGATTTTTCCCTGGGTTGCCAATCATGACTTGAACCTGTTTGAAAATCACAATCGTAATCCATATGCGGGCCCCCACAAAATTTACATGGTCTCCACATTATTGGCTCATCTTCAAAATACATACAAATTTTTGCGCTTTCCATTGAATTATTTTCAACATCGATTAAAAAATTTATGTCTGCATTATCTGTTTCATCATAATTTATTCTCTTTCTTTCTCTGAGGGTCATTGGATGGGTTCTTCCCTTTTGATGTGAATCAATACTATTATTTATTTCCAATTCTTTATTTTTCTCTTCATCTTCTATTGCCAATTCTAAAGGATATAGAAGAGCGATGGCGCGAGTAATGATTTTATTTTTACACAAAACTTTCGCGGAACGATACAATCCATCTCGACTCTTGATTAAATACTGTATTTTGCCTAAACTCCAAAAATGTTTTGGGAGATTTGAATTTTGAATAAGTACCAGCTCTCCAACTTTTGGTGAATAATTTTTTCTGAATCTTTTTTGCGCGTGCCTATTTGTTCTTTCTTTAATATCATTTAAGTATTCCTTTTCAAATTTTTCCCAAAATGTATTTACTATTCTATTTGTTTCTTTCCAATTATTTATTATTTCTATCTTTTGGGAAACTTTTTCTTCAAAATTATCTGTCTCAAAATTTTCAAAATTAATTCCTTGTTTAATTCTTGTTGGGTGGACTAAATCTATTGGACGCAACACCTCAATTTCTTCCAAATCATTATACAAATAGGTAAGGGGACGAGAATTGATTACGTATTTTATTTCTGGCAATAGTGTTCTGAGCTCTTCTATATTTAACATTTTTCGGCCAACAGAATTTTTAAGAGCTTTTTTCATAATTTTTACTATCGATTCATACACGCCGCCGAACCATGGAGAAACGGCGGGTATGAATCGCCATTCAATTTTTTCACAATCCAAATTCTTTTCAATTTCATTTATAACTTTACTAGTCAGTCTATATTGGGTTCCATTGTCGCTCAAAATTAACGTAGGTTTTCCATATTCCGCTATAAACCGCCTTAAAGCTTGAACACATGTATTTGCGGAAAGATCAGTAATTAACTCTAAATGCGAAAATCTTGTTGTTAAACATGTAAATATTTCTATCCATATTTTTATTATTTTATTTTCTTGTGTTTTTACATGAAATGGGCCTGCATAATCCAATCCTGAATTTTTAAAAGGTGAACATTTTTTTATTCTTTCTTCGGGTAGTATTGGCATTTTTGGTATTTCAAAGGGTTTTAATAATTGTTTTCGACATTGAAGACATTTATTAATTGTACTCTTCATTTTTTGTCTTCCTTTTGTTATCCAAAAACATTGTCTTAATTCACACAAACTTTGTCTTAATCCACTGTGCATTGCACGTTTATGATATTCTAAACAAATTTTTTCGGAAATAGGTGAATCATATGAGACATAAACTGGTGTGGGAATTCCTGAAGATTCAACGCGGCCTGGACAGACCCAGATTCCAAATTCATTCCTTCTCATATATAACTCAAAGATTTCTTTTTCTGTAGGTTTATTTTGGTTTTGAGCTTCTTTTAGAATTAATATTTCACCAAATTTTCGAAGACCGACATTAGTTTTAGTATTTTTTAGTGCAATGAAAAATTGAGTTTTTAAATTAATATTTTTAATTATTTTCTTTAAAAATTTGCAAATTATTGTTCCAATTGTAATTGTTTTATTCCACTCACTTCGCGCATCTAAATTCATTATTTTTTCTGTTGTGACATTCATTATAAATTCTATTTTTGTCTCTTTGGGGCTAACGATTTTTTCAAATTCTATTGCTTTCGGCCATTCGTTTTTACCCTTTCGAAGGAATGTTGGACCTTGCCACCAGCTTTTCTTTTCTGTCAATTCATTACATGTTAAACCCCTAGTTGCTACGTCAGCTATATTTAATTCAGTGGGGACGTATTTCCAAACCAGATTTTTATTTTGATTTATTTCTTCTATTCTTCTTTTTATAAATCGTGGCTGTTTTTCTTTGTCACTTATTAGTATCCAATTTAACACCACTTTACTATCAGACCAAATGAATATTTTTTCTAATTCAATGTCTGACTCCTTTTGTATGAAATCACTCAATCGTTTACCTGCAATTGCGGCCATCAATTCCATTTTGGGAATAGTAAGACGTGATTTTAACGGGGCTAATCTTCCCTTGGCCATAATAATTGAGGAAAAAATTTTATTTAAATCATATTCAACTCTTATATAAGCGACAGCGGCGAAAGCGTTCTGTGACGCATCTACAAAAATATGTAGTTCATTTGGACCTTTTTCTTTTAAAAGCTGCCTTCTAAATTTAAAAGTACCATAGTCATCTTTTATTTTTTCAATTTCTTTTATATGTTCAATCGATATTTCGTCGTCCCAAGTCTTTTCTTTATCTACCCATAATTTCTGCAATAATAATTTTCTACACAAATTTGCTGGAAGAAGAACGCCCATAGGATCGAAAAGTTTTGCAATTTCTTTTAAAATCGATCGCTTTGTCCAGCGTTCGGGTGTTTTAATCTTTTTCATTTCAACAATCAATGCATCCATTTTAACATCCCAACCAACCCCTAATATTTTTGTATTATTTTCTATAGCTTTATCTCCAAAATTTTTATTAATTGTTTCGGAATTTGAAATAAATTCTTGTAATGGCATTTGTGCTTCTTTAAAAATTTCTATTACTTTTTTACATTTATTTAACCCTTCTTCAGTTGTGGTTGCAGAGAAGAAAATATTATCGGCGTATATTCCTCTTCTTAATTCTCTTCCAAATTCTCCGGCAGTTTTTTCCAAATGTAAATTTATTACTGCCGCAAGGCAGAAAGGTGCTGCAGAAATTCCAAATGGCATTTTAGTCCAACGCCAGTAATCCAAATTTAGGTTAGTAGGAGGAAGATTCCAATTTTTAGGCAATAGAAAACGCATTAAATCGCGTTGATTTTCTTTCAATCCTATCTGATGGAAAGCAGATTTAACATCCGCTGAGGTTAAAATTGGGAACGTTCTAATTCGTATTAAAAGTCCACATAAATCAGGAAGCAAGACAGGACCTCTATATATTATATCATTTAAACTTATTTTCTCTTCCGCTGTTTTACAATTAGCCGCAAAAACAATTCGCATCTTTTTCTTCTGTGGGTGATAAACATAGTGCCAGGGAATATAATGACATAAATTAGAATCATTTCTTTCGCAATTTTCGATTTGATTGTTTTTTGCTTGTTCTAAGAAACTTTCTTTCATTTTTTCCAATACACCTTCTTTGTTTCCTTTTGCCCAAGAACTTTGTAATCGTTTAATGCAAGGCGCGAAATTACTTGATATATTTATTTTCTTTTCTTTAAATGGGAATTCTATTTCGTATCTTCCTTCGGGTGTTCGGGTTACAGATTTTTTAAATAATTCTAACGCGTTTTTATCATCCTCGTTTAATGGGTTGTCAGTAATACCAAAAGATTCTAACTCCCAAAATTTTTCTACATTTTCCATCGAAAAAATTTTTGATTCATTTAAGTTTAGGCTAATTACACCTCTACCCGAAAGAACTTTTCCTAGTTTTGTTTGTATTACAGAAAATCCATTTTGAAGTCTTTCATATCCCATTATTTTATTATAAACGTTTGTGCCAATCAATATTTCGGGTGTAACTTCTTCCACAAATTCATAGGGAATTCTATTTTCATTTAATTTATCTAAGCCTATTTTTTCCACAAAAATTGTTTTTAATTTTTCAACAAAACTTTCATCGACTCCTCTTGCTCGGACCTTTATTGATTCATTATTTATACACTTAATTTCAAAATCAAATATAGGCATTCTTCTAACCATACTTTGACCAAAGACACCAGTTGCTTTGAAATTATTTATTGCTATGGGCTCTAATTTTAATTTTTCGGCTAGAGAGGTTTTTATTAAACAAATTTCTGCACCGGAATCTAAAAATACGTGAGCGTTTTGCATTAAAATTGGAATTTTTGGGTTTACTATTTTTGCTTGAGTTACTTGTAAAAAGGTTGGAAAAATTGAATTTTGCGAATTTTTTGTTAAATAATTTATTAAAATATCGTTAGAATCATTTAAATTATCATCTTGAACTTCCAAACAAATATTTGAATTTTTATTATTTTGACTAGTATTTTTAATTCCAAATCTTTTTTCTTTTATTTCTTTAACATCATTTTTTCTCTTCAACGGGTTCTCGGTGTGCGGCTTCGTCCTACAAAAAGCAGTGTTATGACTGCCTTTGCAGTTAAAACATGAATTTAATTTTAGACATTTTTCGGACCTATGATTGTTTTTTAAACATTTAAAACATAATTTAAGTTCCTTTGCTCTTTCTAATCTTTTTTCAGGAGTTATATATTTAGAGCAATTATTTTCCCAGTGATTTTCTTCACAAAATCTACAAGTATGTAAAAATTTTTTCTCAGTTATAGCGAACATTCCTGTTCCTTTGTTTCCAAAATTATTTCTTTTATTATTATAATTTATTTGAAAATTTCTTCCAGTATTTTTATATTGAAAATTATTATTATATTTTAAATTTTGCCGAAAATTGGGAAGAGTGTCTGTTTTTTCTAATTCAAAATTTTTATGAGCTCTAAAAACGTCTTCTTCTAATTTTAACGAATTATCCAAAAATTCTAGCATTTTTTGACAGACCACTCAATATTATTTCTTTTTTTCTTATAAATTTCTGTTAAAAGCCATTTCGGCAATTTTGATTCAATTTCCAAAATTAATTGCTCGTTATTTGTATATTCCCCCAAATTATTTAATTGATTAATTATAGCTTCTACTTTTCTCAATGTTTGTCGAATTTCGGGTACGTACTTTGACGCCCTAGGGATTCTTCGTAAATTTGCGTGCAAAGCACTTTTTATATTTGATTTATCCCCAAAATTTTTTTCCAAAAGTTCTAAAACTATTTTATAATTTTGTCCCTCTAGGGGATATTGTCTGGCCATTTCTTTAGGCTCTCCATTTAATGCTCCAAAAAGATATTGTAATTTTCTTTTATCTGAAATTGCTTGTTCATCTACAGCACATTTAAATTCCTCCATAAATGGCCGATACTCCTCTAATTTTCCCGAAAAAGATGGTAAACGAATTTCTGGGAGTCTAATGGTATTCGGCATTTGGAGAATTGTTTCATTTAGAGTTGCGCGATTTCTTTCGCGTGGGCCTTCAACTCTATTAAGCGTGTCATAATTTTCATACAAAATATCTAAAACGTCACGAGCTTCATCTAAAATAGTCAAAAATCCATTTGGCCCAAGAGCAAATTCTCGATATTGCTCATTTTCATTTTCTCTTGCCTCAATATCCAAATATTTAATAAAATTGGCATAATCCATATCTTTTTTATTTATTTCTTCAATTACCCCAACAATTTTCTTTTTTATATTTTCAGTTTTATTAATTAATTCTTCTATTTTTTTATTTTTAGATTCAGGATTTAATTTATTACTTACGCTGAAATCGATTTGACGAGCGGTGTCCAAATGACGCCCTAGACGATCTCGCAGCATAGTGATGCCCGCCTGCAGGACGGCCGCCATATCCTCTTCTAATAAATTGTCGACTACGAGGCCTTACTTGTTGACGTTGCTGAACCTGTTGAACAGGTTGTCGTTGAAATGTGGGACGAAAAGGTGTTGTCCCAAAAGTTGGATAAAAAGATGGTGCCGAATAAATTGTCGGCGGAAGTGTAGGTGCAAAGTAAGGTGGTCGTTGATTAAAATAAGGAAAAGGATTGTATGGATTATGAAAAACAGGTGGTTGTTGATATCCTCCTGATGCTTGATCTGAATTTGAATTTACTACCTTTACTATGACCGGGGCAGATTCTTTTTGGGGCTTTTGACGGCTTTGAGACGTTCCTTGATTTCTGTAGTTTTTAGTAAAAAAATTGCGCTGTTGAGCGCTTTGTTGTCGGAATTTATTCTCAATTTTTCTTTCCAGATTTAAATTTTCGTTTGGAGGTCTGGACGAACAAATTGTCACCTTGTCCAGTTTTTCTTGAATATTTTCCAGTTTTGCTAAAAAATTTAGCCCAAAAGATTATTTTTTAACTAAAATTATTTTTTATCCAAAAAATTTATTTTTATTGCCCTGATTTTTTATTCGTCGTGGCACCAATTTGTTATATTCCAGTAATATAACAATGATTTAGACCAAATAATTTTAACCAAATATTTAAAATATTAATTTTTTATTCCAAGATTTAAAAATACAAGTTTGATATTAAAGGGGAATTTAAAGTAAGGGTGAAGAAGTTGAAAATAATGGATATAAATCAGCTTAAATAGGGCCAAAAATATAGAATTATGAATACATTTTTTTTTAGAGGGAAAAGATAAAAATTGAAAAGATGATTGGGCAAAAATATGTGAACATAAATATTTTAAAAATATAAAAACAAGGATGATTAATGGAAAAGTTTAAAAATAAATATTAAATATCTTTATAAAAATTGCGTTTCGGCGCAACAGCTAGCTATTATAATATATCTTTGATAATAATAATCTTGCCTTTAAGAACGCTACTCTTAAAGTAATCTTTGTCCTTTTTGCTAAAATAATACCTACATATATTTATAACATAACAATCATTCTTATATCTTTATTTAAAAAATCATTGGCAATTCGACCGGCTGTTCCATCTTTTCCTCTCAATTTTGGTTGGCCTTCAATTTTCCATTTACTACTTCACACTTAAAAATTATTTTTCCTTCCTTTCCGGTTTATTTTTTAATTCTTTTTTATATCTTTTGTGATGGAAAAATGACTATGGCCTCGACAATCTTCTTCTAATAATTTTTTTCTCTTTTTAAAATCTCCTCTCTAAACGACCTACTATTTTTCTTTTTTTTGTATTTTCTATCAATCGGCCAAGGTCGTTTTATTTGGAGTTCAACGCGTCGATGCGCAGAACAGAATTTAGATGGAATTGAAGGATTGAGGACAAATGGAAATAAAAGTAGAGGGAAGTAAAAAATGAGAAAATAAAGGGAAAATATATTTAATTTTTTGAGCATAATAGGCTAAAATACTGATGTATTCAATAGGCTCCTCAGTAATATTTCGGAAATCGCCCTCCTTTTATCTCTTTTTCTTTTAACTTTTTTCTCATTTTATGATAAATTATATATCACTAAAATTGAACTTAAATAAACTTAGGACTATTTGTTTTACCCTTGCAGCGGCACAAAAAGCTTCCAGCGAGGATTAAGCACATAATTTTGTTCAGAGTCATAAAGTATAACTGGAGATGCTCTTTCGAATGATATGTAGTAAATTATATACCAAAACAAAAAAGCTTGAAATGGTTAGGGAAAAATTGAAAGGGGAGGGGGTGACCTCCGAAGTATTACTGGCTCCTCAATATATTTAAACCATCAGATTCTGCGTTGTTTTGTGGACGTTATTTTAGAAACTCGAATATTTAAAATAAATCTCTTAAAATTTTGAGTTGATTGAAGAGTTTTTTTTGTAAATTTTCTCTAAATAATAACTTAATTTTCTAGGTGTTCGTTACGGTCGTGTCCCTAAAAGAGAAAAAGAAAAGTTAAGAGAAGAAATGAGAAGAGATTCAGTTCGCTCTGTTTTTGAACATTTAAATTTTGAATTAAGTAATGAAGAACGTCTTTTAGAAAAATTAGAAAAAGGATGGAAAGAATTAGAAAATGATTTAAGAATTATTTTAAAAAGAAAAGAAGAAGAAAGTAATGTTGAAGAAGAAAAAATTATTGATAGTAATAAATTATGTTTATTGGCAAAGGCTGTTGTTCGTTTTGCCGAAAATATTGGAGGTTTCCGTTTGTTGAGGATAGATGATCAAGCACAAGTTTTAAAAGTAAAATATTTTTAAAATTAAATCTTTACTTCATTCTTTCTCTCTTAATGGTTACCGGACAATATATCAATCGTTTATATAGACCGGAGTGATCGGACTTCTGTACCTGATGGGGGGTACTCGAGGTTTTCTATGAGGATACCATTTATTGATATTCTAATATCTACAATAACCGACTAATAGTTACATTCTAGGCAGGGGGTTTAGATTTTATCTGTGGATCATTCTATGTTTTTAAATTAAGAAATGTTATTAATTTCTCTTCTCAATTCTTGGCTATCGAGATTGGAAGGTCGATAAATATCCTCTAATTTTAAAAAAACTCCAAACTTTTTTTTTTAATTTTTTCATAAAATTTTTAAATTTAAAGGAATCTTTATACCCCGTTCTTCTTCTTCGATTTTGTTCACTTCGTTTATTTCCAAATAATGATAGACTTTTTGATTTGGCTAATATTCCATTAGCTTTACTTCTTCCAACTTCTTCCTTTTCTGCCCTACGTGACTGTACAGTTGAATTAATTATTAGAATAAGGTAAATTAATTTTTAAGTTAAAATTATTCACTATTAAGTAGTAAGTAATATCTTTTTGTATTTCTTCTAAGGTTATTATCCTCAATTTTATAATCTCTTTTATTTTAATTTAACCTTTTAATATCAAAACCAATCCTCAAGAAAATTATGTTAATTATAGGCATAAATATTTTCAAATACAAATTTTATTAATTTTTAGAGCAGCTCGTAGACCAACGGATTTACCTCTATCAGATAAAGAATTAGCTATTTGTGCAGCTGTTTGTCTTTGTCGATTAGAAGGTGCAGGGGAATGTGCTTCTGGAGGGGCAACATTCCCCCCCTGCTTCTGGAGGGGAATGTGCTTCTGGAGGGGCAACTTTCGAAAGATTATTAGCGAATAAACTCATAGAGTTTCTTAGAAACAAAGACTTTTTCAGCATTGAACAATTTGGTTTCCTTAAACAGCGTTCAACTGTAACGCAACTCCTTACCATGTTAAACCAAATTTATTCTTGTGTAGATAGAGGCAATAAAGTTGATATAGTATATATTGACTTTAAAAAGGCCTTTGACACTGTCCCGATTGAACTATTGATACAAAAAGTTAAACATATTGGAATTGATGGAAAAATACTCAAATTTTTAATTAATTTTTTGAACAATAGAAAGTTCAAAGTCCGAATTGAGCAAGACTTTTCTGAAGAATATCCCATTCATTCTGGTGTTCCTCAAGGTAGTGTACTTGGCCCCTTGTTATTTGTAATATTTATTAACGATTTACCTGAACATCTGCCTAAGGGTGTTAATATTAAAATATATGCTGATGATATTAAACTGTATGTAGAACATAACAATGATAACAATAGAAATAAGCTTAAAGAATCTCTTGTAATAACTGAAAAATGGGCTAAGAATAATGGATTAAGGATTTCTATAGATAAATGCGTCTGCCTCTACATAGGTAAGAATAATGATAAGCAACAATATTTTATAGATGGACAACCAATCAAGAAAGAGAATTGTGTTCGCGATCTAGGAATATTAATAGACACAGATCTATCCTTTTCTGCACATATAACTAAAATTACAAAACAAGCCTATTCAATGATATATCAAATATTTAGAATATTTAAATCCAAGGATCTTGATAATTTAGTTTTTGTATTTAAAACATATTTGCGTCCTCTCTTAGAGTATGCGACTGAAATTTGGAGTCCCTCAAGAAAAGATCACTTAATTTCCCTTGAAAAAATTCAAAAAATCTTTACCAAAAGAGCCTTTAAACAATGCGGGTTAGTTGATAAACCTTATGAAATTAGACTACAAATTTGTAAATTAAAAAAATTAGAGGAAAGAAGAGTACTTGCCGATCTTTGCATGACTTATAAAATACTTAATAATTTCACACATTTGGAACAAGAAAAATACTTTACTCTAACTAAAAGGGCCAAAAGAAGAATTCATCTTTTACAAAATAAAAGATTCACTAGCAAGTCAAAAAATAACTTCTTTGCTCGCATAGTCTCCTTATGGAACAAATTACCTAGGGAAATTGTTGAGATTAGAGATTTAAAAAAATTCAGGGAATATACCAAAAGAATTGATTTACTTAGTCTGTCTGGTACCTAGTGTTCTAAATTTTTTTTTTATATATACAAAATATTCATTTTTATCATTTAACTTAATTTTTTCATTTATTGTATTCGTAATTTACACATATTTTTTTATCTTAATTTACAATCATTGTCAGTGTACTTTTATTTGTACCTGTGATTGCTGAATAAATAAATTAAAAAAAAAAAATTTAATGGAATGACAGCAAATACTTTTATAAATGCTTGGGATGAACAATCTGACCAATTGGGACAAGCTGTCTGTAGACGAATTAGAGAAAAATTTTCGAGCTTATTAAATTATTCTTTACATGTTTCTGGACTACAACAACAACGAATACCTTTTGGGCCTACTTCATTGAGAACTGATTTATTGGTAAAAAATAATTCTTTTTTAATTTGAGTATAAAATCAAAAATTCTTTCGCCTTCGACGCCAGATCATTAATACATATTACAATATACCTATATAAAGAGATAGTTAATATGTAGTCCCTAACCATGGAATAATAATCAAAAACTTGTCCTTTGTGACTCAATAAATTTTATTGAGTTTTGGAGTGTTTTCTGTTTTGGATAGTTTAAATAAAAAAATTTTCTTAAAAAAACTTTTACTCATTTCTTCAAATAAATAATTTTTTTTCTTAGGATCGACAAAATTTAGCATCATTATTTGAAAGTCTCAAAATGTGTAAAGAACTTTATTCGCATTTTTTAAAAGCCAATATTTGCAAAAATATTCCTTTCGAACTTTTTTCTCCAAAAATAAATTTAATTGAAAATAATAGAAAAAGGAAAATATTAGAAAATGAAGAAGAAAATAATAAATTAAAAAATAAAATATTACCACCAGAAATTAACAAAAAAGAGGAAGAAATTATTAAAATTAATAATAATCAACAACAACAAATAAATAAAAAATTGGGTAAAAAATAAATAATTTTTAAAAAATTAATTAATTAAAAATTATTTAAGATATGCCAATACTTCGACAAGTTTTAGAACAACAACAACAGACAATACCTCCAACAATTAATAATAATTTAAATAATGGATTAACTTTAAGAGAAAGACATAAAGAAATGGCTTTATTACTTGAAAGGCCTCCATTAATTTCAATTTTAGATGAAAAGGAAGAAGAAGAAGAGGAAGAGGAAAAGGAGGATTTAGTAATTGTTGTGGAAGAAGAAGAAAAAAATAAAGATAATGTTGAAGATGATGATGAAGAAGAACAACCATTAAATTTGTGTTTGCGTGATGGGGCTAATTAATTTTTAAAAATACTATTCTTTCTTCCTTTAAAAAAGAGAAAAGAAATATGTAAATATTTATTTCAATTAATTTCAATTAAAGTCACAAAAAGCAATATTTATTTATTTTTTAAATATTTTTTCTTTATTTAATTAAACTTTATTTATCCCCAATTTTTCCACAAATTTAATTCCCCTTTTACCTGGCAAAAAAAGTAATTAAACTGCCCGTTGATAATTTTATTTATTTTTAAATTTGACTATTAATTTGTTCATTTTAGAAATATTTTTAGTAATTTTCACCTAAAAAATATTTTTTATTCAATTTTTGCTGTTGCTATTTTTGATAATTTCTTTTTTTTTAATTTTACTAAATTTTTATTCCTTTTTTTAAATTTAATTTATTAAATGTATTTACATAAATATAATTTTTTTCTAATTGATATTATAAAATTTTATAACAAAAATATTTTTATAAATTATTTTTCATTTATTTGAATACTAAATTTTAACCCCAAAAAAATCAAAACCATGTTTGAATTTAAGATCGAGATCAAAAAACCTTAGAAAGTCTTCACAAGGTAGCTCACGATCAAAAGTTTAAGCAATATATTTATTTTAAATTAATGTTTAAAATTAAAATTCATCTGGCAACATTTAAAATACTTTAGGCTGAGTTAAAGATCTGTAAGAGATAGAAGAGAAAGCAAAGTTTTCTTTTCGGAAACTTTGTTAGTAGAGCATCCGTAATTGAAGCTTAGCAATCATTATCATTAAACTCGGAAGGTTTAATTTCTTCTTGCTTGCTAGACTCTTCTTTTTAAAGCATTTGTGCAGCAGATGATTGTGAAAGTGCTGTACATCTTCTAGATAAAGGTATATGATGCCTTTGTACATTTGCCGGTGAAAAAGATGAAGGCCTTCTAAATGCCATCATTGACTCTTTTCTATTTAAAGACTCCTTTCTTTGTTCTCCACAACAACAGGCACGACGAAATTCTTTTCGAAATTTTTCTTTAAAAAAATTTTTTTTTCAATAAAAAAATTAATTAAATTAAATTACCACTCATAAAATTATAAGTAATTGGGTTAATTACAGAAGAAGAATAACTCATTACTCGAGGAATAAATTTTCTTAAAGCTATTAATATCAATGATGGTTGTTGTTCATCTTCATCACTTCCCCAACGGTCAAATTGAAAGGCTCTAGAAATTAAAAAAAACTTTTTTTTGATTTAAAAATTTAGTTTATCCAATTTAGTTTATCCTATTTTTTATTTAAATAAATACACAATCTAATAATTAGAGCTTGACATTTTAGGCCCGAAAATTGGGAAATAGGTTCCTATTTTAGGTTTTTTAAGTGCCAAAATAGGTTCAAAAATCGCGAAAGAATCGAGAGAAATTTTAAAAATCTTTTAATAATTTTAATTAAAAAAATTATAATTACGCGGCAATATTGTGTAAATGAACAGGCATATAAGAAATAGCAAAGACAAGAACAACAGCAATAAGCATTCTCATTGCTCTTTGCCTTTCACGTAGATGGCGAGATCCAATCTGCTGTTTATTTTTAAATTATAAATAAAATATTAAAAATAAAAAAATATTTTTTTAATTATAGAGAGGAATTTATTTGGTTTAAATTCCCCTTCCTCCTCCTCCTCAATCTATTATATTAGCAACTTTAAAAAATCGGCTTAGTTAGTTTATTTGAAATAGCTCTGAGTTATGAATAATAAAAGAGAGGGAGGGGTAGGTCTGGTATGATTTTCGCGGTAGCCGTAGTTATGCTCGATTTTTTAAGATTTATATATTTATTATCCGAACAAGCTAATATTTATATAAAATAATAAATAAACGTTGGCTGAGGAGAACTTAAAATTAATGGAATTTTTAACTAGAAATTAGAAAATATTTATTTGTATTTTTTTTACCTGAAGAGCTTTTTGCCTTAAAACAATATTCATATGTACACATAATGCTGATATAACAAGTAAAGGAGCAATAAAAAGAACTAATGTTTGTATTAATTGATATTTTTGTTGAAAACTTGGTGACCAACTTTCTTTACAACGAGTACCCCACTAAAAATAAAATAAATATTTTTTTTTTCAATTTTAAAAGTTTATTTTTTACTTTTGTATTTAAATTTTTTCTTGCATATTCTGCAGAAAATGTTTTTAAAGTAAAAGGTTCTGGAAGTGAAAGAAAAGCAGCAAATAACCAAATAAATAAAATAAATTGGCAAGTTGTTTTTGAAGGTAAAGCAATGCTTAGAGGCTTTGATATTGCTTTCCAACGTTCTAATGATATTGCTACTAATGTTAGGACTGAGACATAAACTGATGTATTCTTTAAATATTTGTTTTATTTTAATTTTAAATAATTTATTTGAAAAAAGAGGGGGGGGATTTTTTTGTAATCCGGATTAGGTATATTTGTAAATTTTAATTAAATGTCCAAAAAACATTTTTAACTCTTGTCTCGAAATTCTTTTTTTTATCATTTCCATCCCTTCATTTTTTAATTATTCAATATTTCCGTATATTTTAATTAAATATTTAAAAGAATTTCCGGTAATTATTTAATAATAAAAATCTTTCTCTTTTAACTGAAATACATCATTAATATTCTTTTCTGTCCTTTGCACATATAAAATTATGTGACATATTTACAAATAATGTACTCTAATAATAAAATAATTCCAAAAATAGAAAATATGTTAATTTAAAAATATTTACCTGTACAAAAAGCATTGCTTTACAAAACCCTTCAGATAACCAAAATGTTTTTGTAATATCATTTAAAACTGTTGGAGGTAAACAAAAAACCTTAAAAATTAATTAAATTGGAAGGAGGGCGAGAAATATTTAAAAAAAAACTAACAAGAACAAGTAAATCAGACAAAGCTAAATTTGTTAAAAAAAGATTCATTGATGTCCACTAAAATATAATTTAAATAATTAATTTAAAATTCTAAAACCCAACCATATGTTTATTCCTTAAATAAAAAAATAATTAAAAATTAAAATTTCTCTAAAAAACCTAGAAACAACATAAACAACCAAACAATTTCCACAAATACCAACAACCATTAAAATAAAAAAGAGAACAACAAAAACCCATTCTATTGGTGTTGGCTTTAAAAAATCTGCTACAAAATCTATATATTCCTCGTCCGTCAATCTTTAATAAATTTTAATTAAATAAATTGAAAAAAAATGTTTAGCAAATATTTCTAAAAGCAATGCTGGGAGTTCTAATAATTTTATTCAATGTGCCACATATCCTTAAGCTTCTAAATAGGGTTGAGGACCCCAAAAGAGAACGGAATGCATAACTTTTTAATGGTCGGCCCCTTCGGGGGGAGGGGGATGGGGGAGAAGGGGGGGAGGAGGAGAGGGAAAGTCGCGAGGTCAAATCATTTTTGGTCGAATATATATCCCTCTAATTAATCAACAACATACTCATTTAAATAACTATCATCATCTTCTACTCCATAATCAACCACCAAAATATCCTCTTGTTTATTTAAATAATTATTTGTTTGATTATTAAATAATAATTGTTTGGCTGTAGTTAATTTATCCATTTAAAAGTCTAAATAAATAATTGAAAATAAATCTTTAAATATTTTCTTTAAAAAATATTTTCTTTTTAGCTAATGAACAAGAAAAAAAAAAGAAAATATAAATAAATATAATCATCACGAAATGGAGACTAAACAAAAATAATTTTAGGAGAAAAAAAAGAAGAATTTTTTTTTAAATCCGGAAAGAGACAAAGTTAAATCATTTTTGGGCTTTTGGGAGTTAAATAAAAAGAAAAAAAATTTAAAAAAAAATTTCGTTCCTCTCAGAAAATTTTTTTTCCTTTTTAATTTTTAAACATTTATTTAGTTAAAAAAAGAAATTTTTTTGTTAAGGAATTTAAATCACGCTAAAATGCCAAAAATCGGGCTTTTGATATTTCTTTTTATTAAAGATTACTCTTAAAATAAGGGGAAAAAGAAATTAAATTCTAGAATTGCAAATTAAATATTTAATTAAAATAAAAGAATAAAAAAATATTAAAATCCGGAGATTTAAAACAATAAAATATATCTAATATAAAAAATAAATTTAAATTAAAAAAAGGAAAAAGAATTAATTACAAATAATTTATTTATTTAATTTAAAAAGTGTATATAGATTATTTAAATATTTTGTAGTTTTTTTTATTTCAATAAAATTAATTTTAAAAATATTAATTTAAAAAATAATATAAATAACTCCTCTATATGTATGTGAAAAGCTTATTTATTTAAATTTCTTCTTTAATTTTTATTTAATTTCTGAAATATATTTAGAATAAAAATATAACTTTATAAAACTTGACTTCTTAAAACTTTTATTTTTTAAATATAGGTAAGTGCAAAACAAAATTAGACAAAAATTTTATTAAAAATTTTATAAAACTTTTATGAATAAATATAATTTTTATTTAAAAAACAAAAAAAATACCTCCTTTTCCCCTCTTAAAAAATATTTTTTAATTAATTAAATATTTAATTTAATTCAAATAAAAAAAGAAAATAATTAAAATAAATTTAAAATAAGTGTAGGTGGTGTAAAAAAAATTTTTTTCTACTGAGAGAGGAGAGAGATCTTTCAATTTAAATATAATACTAATTAAAAATTAAATATACATAAAAAGGATATATGTATAATTATTAAACTTTAAAAAATGTAAAAAACTTTTCAAGCGGAAATTAAAATTATAAATAAATAAATATAGATTTTAAAAGAAATAAATAATGATGTTAAATTAATAAAAAAAAGAAAATCTCTTAAAAAAGCAGATTTACCAAAATAATTAAGTAAATAAAAGAAAAAAATGTTTAAGCAAAAAGGAATTGACGTAAAAATATAAGGGAGCTAATTTTAACAATTGAAGTAAAAAAAGAGTGAATAAAATAAAATTAATAATAATAATTATTAACGGGAAGGAGAAATATTATAATATATTAAAATAATTTTGGAGGAGGGGGATTTAGAAGGGGGGAGTGTATCTTTTTAATTTAATTAGATTTTTTGTTTCTCGATTTAAAATTAATTTATAAAAACAAAAATACTTTTCCCCCCTTCAAAAAATATTTTTTTAATAATTTAAATAAATATTTAATTTGAATAAATTAAAATTATTATTCAAAGAACCTCCTCTTTTTTATCATTTTATTTAAATATTTTAACAAAATTAAGCCTCTTAAAGTTAATTAACTTTTGTTACATTAATAAATATAATGATATTTTAAAATAAAAAAATAATTTAAATAAGAAATATTATTTTGGGAAAAAGAAAGAAAGATTTTTTTAGAAAATTAAAATTACATTCAAGAAAAAAAAGAAAAAATAATAATTTTTAATATATTTTTAGAATATTTTTTTAAAAATAAATAATTTAAATATAAATTATTTGAAAATCCAAAGAATAATGTTGCAACAAACATTTCACACGGATATAAATTACAAAAAAAAATAATTTTTTCATAAAAAACAAAAAAAATTTCCATTTTCGAAATTTTCAGAATAATTTAAAATATATTTAGAAATTCTTTAGATATTGGAAGATGTCAAGACCGATAAAGCTGATATAATATATAAAAAACAAAAACAATCACAACTTAATTAAAAAATATTTTTTTCTTTTTTATTTGCAAAAATTAGCAGAAAAATTACTATTAGCTTAAAATAATATTGTGATGAAATAATTTTAATGATTAAAATAATTAAAAACAAATAAATATATTTTCATCTTTAAATAATGTCAAAAACAGAATCAGAAAATTCATTCAACAAAAATTAAAATTTATTTTTCAAAAGAACCCCAGAAAAGGCAATAATTACAGGAAAGAGGGCAAAGACTTTTTATTAACAAAAAAAAAAGAATTTAAAAAAAAACTAAATATTATTTTAAGCTAAAAATAGAAAAAAAATTAAAAAGAAGAGAAAGTTGAAAAAAAAAGAATTTTGGGGAGATTTTTGTTTAGATTGAAGTAAAAAATTTAGAAAAGAAAAAAGAAAGGCTATAAACAAAATATATATTTATTATTTAACAAAGCTAATTTAGTGTAGTTGGGAAAGAAGTTAAAATAAAATAATTTTTATTTCCAAAAATTTTTTTAACTTTTGCATATGTACACATTCATTTTTTAATATTTATTTAGTTAATTGATTATTTAAATTAAGAAATAAAATTGGGAGATTAAAATTAAAAAAGAGAAAAAATCATTAAATCCAAAAAACTGAGGATTAAAAGGATCTTTAGGAAATATAGTTTTTGGGAAAAAGTTAAATAGAAATATTCAAAAACTTTTTTTTTAAATATTTTTAAAAATATTTTTAAAAGTATTCAATACATTTTTAAATAATTTTTGAAAACACAATTAATTCCTAAAAAGGAAAAAAACCATTAAAATCAAATGAATTTTGTTTGAACTTTGGAAAACTTTTAATTTTTCTTCATAAATATTTAAATAATTTAGAGAAAAATTTTTAAAGAAATTTAGTAGTTAACTCTCAAAACTTAAAATTTAAAGTAAACATTTTTTACATATGTTGCATATTCTTTAAAGTTTTCACTTGAGTTTTACTTTATTTTGAGGGACAGATAAAAGACAGTATTTATCGTTATTTTAGTTGACAATAATTTTAACTAACAATTTATTTAATTTAAAAAATTTAAAAACAAATATAAATTTATAAAAAAAACATATTTTTTTTATTTTAAATAATTTTTTCTTTTTCTTTTTCATTTTGAAGAGCCATTGTTGGTGTTAATGGTGGCCATTCTAATTCAACAGACAAAACATCCAATCTTAAAATATCCACAGTGCCCAACTCTAAATCCATTAATTCAGCTAAAGATGGCCGTGTTCTTCCAAAATCGCTATGTACAAATTCTTTTACATAAGTACCTGCTTGAGTCTGTTTAAAAAATATTTTTTTTTAGAAATTTTCTTTTAAACTGCCAAGAAAATCCTTCAAGATTTAATCAAAATTTAAAAAAATGTAAAGAAAATTTCCTCAAAAAACATGGAAAACTTTTTATTAATTAATGTTTAAGGACTGAACTATCGACTCTAAAGTCGAAATTTTGTACCTACAAAAACCCCTCAAAGTACCCGCGAGACTTCTAGGACAGGAACCGAGAATTCAATGAGGGATTTTCAATTGAATTTTAGAAATATTTTACATTTTTTGTAATAATATATTTTATTTAAATTAATTACTAATTTACCTGTAATCTCAACTGAAAATGAAAAGAATCCAATTTTTGTGCTTTCATCCAAAAAATTGTTCTTTGGCGATCAAGCAAAGGACGCCTTTTAAGTACTCGAATTGCTGTTTTTTGTAAAATTTCGACTGGACATTTTAAAGAAAGTTTTTCAATAAAATCATCTTTTAATGGAATTTTAGAATAACAAAGAGCCGAATAAACTTTTCTTTTTTCTTTTAAAAATTTTAAAACTTTTTATTAAAAATTAAATTAAAAACCTTCTAAACCAACATTCAATATTAAAGCTTGTTTTGCATTAACTTGAGCAAGTGAATTAACAACAACTTCTTTTCTTGGATCTGAATTGATTTCATTTGCTAATTCTTGCTAAAAAATAAAAAATATTTTTTGATAAAGAAAAATTTTAGTCATTTATAAATAACTAAAAAAATTTATTTTTACTGCCAAATTTTCCGTGAATACATATAAAACTCTTTAAATAATGCTTCAAATTTTCAAAAACAATTTATTACCAAAAGGAAGATTCATCAAAACCAAAAAATTATTTTTAATCCTACCCCCAAATTCCCCCATTCTTTTCTAAATTATTTAAAAAATCTAACCAATTTTTCTGTAGAATTTTTATAATTTAAACAAGAAGTTCTTCTAGCATTTAATAATTGTACAACAAAAGGTCTTCCAGTTCCTAACATTCTAACATCAACATCCTCCCTTCCAGAAGGCGTAAACCGACTAGAATTTGCTCCAAAATGTTTAACCAAAACATTACAAATCCGTTCACCAACCTTTAAAAAATAAACAAAAAAATTTAAAATTTTTAAAAATGTTTACAGATCCTCCATTTTGTTCATTTTCCCCATCAAATCCCCAAGCAGATTGAGGCAGATTTCTTGAAAATTTGCAATAACGGCCAGCTATGAAAATTGGATCACGTTCAATAGAAATAGTAAATTTGCAACGGTTAGATGGTGAAAGCATTTTGTAGTTCCAAAAAAAATAAAAAAGAATTATTCACAAAATTAATAATAAATTAGGGACAATAATTTTTAAGTTAGGAGAAAAAGAAAATGCGAAATAAGGATTCGGAAAAAAATTTTTTCTAAAAAGATATGAGGAAAAGTATGTGAGAAATATGGTGCAAGAAACCTGCGGCGCAAAAATAAAAATTTTTGGCATCTGAGGCGGAAAAATTCGGCGTGTAAACGATTTTCCCCGTTGCCCCCCCCCCCCCCGAAAAAAATCATGGTTATAGGCCTGAATGGAGGTAAGAAAGTTAATCCAATCAGTTAAATATTTATATTTAATTACTCAAAAAGTAATTTTTAATTAAAAGATATTTACCGTGCAATCTCGTTAGTCATTGACAATGAACGAACTTTCACTTTAGTTAATAATTGAGTAAGATCAGAATTAGCATTTATATGATTTTTGTCTGTATTATTTTCATTCTTTAATTTTCTTCTTTTTTTATTTGTAGAATTAGTAAATTCATTCGGAAAATTTAGTAAAGCAAAATTAAAATCAGTTTCCATAAATTCATCATTTTCAAAAGAAACAGTCAAAATTAAATCAGAATTAAGTGTTGGACGAAGTTTTGTTTTCTAAAATTTAAGAGGGGGTAAATTTTATTTTTACTCTTAATTAGGTAAAAATTAAAAAAAACCTCAGCTATTTTTCCCATTAACTAAAGTAAATTTTAATGAATTTTTAGAAAATTAAAACTCTGAAAAATAACACAAAAATTTGATATGTAATAAAAGTTAAATAATGCCATAATAAGTTATGAAAAATCAACAAAAAAAATTTTTAAAGGGTGACTTTATCATAAGTACATAAATATGAAATAACCTTATTACGGCCAAAATACTACAACAAAAAACCCCTCTCTTAATTAGGTAAAAATTAAAAAAAAACCTCAGCTATTTTTCCCATTAAACAACATGAAAGTAATTCTTTTGGAGACATTGAACCAGGTGCCCATCTTCCATAATCAAATAATTTTTGTAAAATTGTTTCACGAAAAATTTGAGTAATTGGCATATTTATAGCCAAAATAAAAGTATTTCCATCAAATTTTTCCAACAAAAATTTTTTCAAAGATCCATCAGCTATTTGTTCGTGTAATTCTTCATCACATAATAAACCAAAACAAAAAGCACAATTATCTGAAGAAGATTCTAATAAATTTATTTTATTTGTTGTGCCATTTGATGACATTAATTCAATAATATTTGCTTGACAAATTTTGCAAAGATTAACGTTTTCCATAATTCTAAAAAAAATAAAATTTAGAAAATTTAGCGACAAAGAAATTATAAAATAATTTATTTTTGATATATTTAGTCAAAGATTAAAATGTAACCAAGGGAATTTTAATTTTTTTCAATAGGTGGAAGGCAGAGGTGGGTCGGAATTCCGATAATTTTTTTTCCGACTTTTGAGCCGTTTCCGATTTCCGGCACCTTTGTCATTTCCGACCCAACTCTAGTGGAAGACATAAAAATAAAATATAGGTATATGTATTCTAAATATAAAATCAATATTTAAAGTGAAAACAATTTGTTGTAACAAATATAAATAAAAATCTATAATCAATTCCAAAAAAAAAAAATCTAAAAGTAATTTTCGGAATCAAAAAGTATTAAATAAAAATATCTCAAAATTATTTTAACATAAGTCCATAGGCATTTCTCCACCCGCAATTCCAGAAATATTGTCAACTGTTTCTTGTTCTTTCTTTATTTCCTTTCCCTCTTTGATAACAATTTTATTTTCTTTTGAAGAGTTTTCACTAAAAATTTAAATATTTTAAAATAATTTATTATTTTAGAGTAGCACCCCGAGCCTTCGGGGCGGGATCGTCGGGTATCGGAGTTTGCCGGGGTAGAACCTTCGGGGTTCTGGTCGGGTTTTTGCCTAAAAATTCGTCGGGGTTTCTGGGGACTACCCTAATTTATTTATAAATTTACATATTTATTTGTTCATCCTCTTCCATTGGCTCCTCAGGCGATGAGAAATACATTTGTAAAGACATCGCAAGTGCATCACCTCCATAACTAATATCCATTGGCAAAGTTTCATGCAAAATTTCGGTTGGCTCATTTTTGATATTGACCTAACAATAAATATATAATTTTAATAAAAATTTAATTTGAGGAATTTGTCATTTAAGGGTTCCAATAAATTGCTGCTTTTCCGAAAAAGGAATCCCTCAAAATTTAATTTTTTATTAAAAATACTTAATACCTCAACAGACCCTTTCTTAATTTTAATATCTTTATCAACTTTTTCTTCAACAATTTCTTCAACTTTCACATTTCCATTTTTCTTTTCAAAAATTTCTTTAGAAGAAGAAATAGAAGGAGGAGGAGGAGGTTGTTGTGATTCAGTTAAACGTTTAGACAATCTCGGATCTCTAATTAAATTATCTGATTGTTGTTTTTGTTGAGTCTTTTGTTGTTCTAATGAAGTTTGAGAAATTTTTGAAGAAGATGTCCCTCCTTCACTCTTAAAAGGTTTAAAAAACATTTAAAAAAGGATTTGTCATTATTAGACAGACCAAAGAAGTCTTTCCAATACTTCGAATTTGTTCAAAAGCATTTGCAATCATTGCCTTATTTTTTTGTCTATGTTCCAAAGTTGAAGAAGAAATAATTTTATTTTTATCAGTAATTATTGGAGGAGAAATATCCTCAGATTCAGGTGGAGGTGGGGGAGGAGGAGGAGGTGGTGGGGGAGGAGGGGGCATAAGAAGCATTGAAAGAAAATTAGAAGAATTAGTAGATGTTGTAGGTGGATGTTGTTGTTGTTGTTGAGTATAAGGATGGAATTGTTGTTGCTGTTGACTTGAAGGAAAGTATTGCTTTGAAGGTCTACTATTCGAAGAATTAAAATTTGGAGAAGCAGAAGGAAAACGTCGATTAACTGATGATTGTTGTGGATATTTAGTAGAAGAAGGTGTTGGAATATAAGGAGTTACAGGTTTTCCTCCAGGAGGACGTTGATTAGGTGTAAATATAGATTCTAATTGTTTTGGTTGTAATAATTTGGCATTTATTGGCACTTTACTTTCCTTATGGTAATTGTTCAATTCAGATATAATTTTTGGATCATTGCCATCAAATTTGTCAATTGAAGAAGGATGGAGAGGAATACTAAAAAAAGAATAAAAATTAAATTAAAAATCTTTACTTTTCAAAATTATATAATTCAAATTTGCTTTTAAGTTCTTTAAAATTGGAAATAAAAAGGCAATGTAATAAAGGACCATCGCGAGCAGGGATGTCAAGTTTTGTAGAGAGAGGGCCACTTGGAAAGAGAAAAAGAAGAGAAGAATTGCTGAGGAGACCAAAGGCTACCTGAAATTTTTAAATAAAATTTTTTTACAAAATTTATTTAAATCTAACCAATTCTTTTTCGACCATTTCTTTGCAAATTCTGGCAAAAAGAGGCGAAAATGTATTAATTAAATAAAGATAAGAGATGCGGACAGGAATTGTTGTTGTTTTTTGTTGTTCAGAAGAAGAACAAATAATTATTGAACGTTTTTTGAGAAGAGGAGATTTCTCGTTGTTATTACGAGTAATTTCTTTTATTAATTCCTGTATCGGCCAATAATTAACAAAATCTTTACATTTTGTTAATTGCTGCATTTCCAAACATGATGAACTTTAAAAATAAATTTAAAATTAATTTTAAACAAAATAATCTAACAATCCCAAAGGTTTCGAACATCCACGAATTGCTGGGTGAAGGTCTGCTGATTCGACTACTTGCTCTCCAAAATGTAAAGATCCAGTCCAGATTGAACTATGTCGATGATGACGGGAAGATGATGTTGCTTTGCTTTGAGCTGATAAAATAATCGAAATTTAATTAATAAAATATTTTGAGGAAAAAATTTGGTGCCGTTTCCAGTTCCCCTTTTTTCCTCACTAAAATTTTTCCTATAATTTGTACAAAATGGGAAAAGACTTTCTTCTTCCATCACAATTGCCTTACTATATTTTGTCTAAAAATCAAAAATGATTATTTTTTATTCAGTTCTTTAGAAAGAAAGGAAGGCAAATGTAACGGAAGGAGGAAAAGTCTGTCCATTCCGTACAAATTATAGGAAAAAAATGGTGCGGAAAAGAGAGGGACTGGAAACAAAACATTATTACGAAAAATTAAAATATTTAAAAATAATCAAAAAAATTTACATTCAGTCTTTCCATTACTCGAAGAGAAAGGTGTTGTCGAATTTATTTTTATTGTATTGTCATTAATTTTTGGCATTTTTGGAATAATAAAATTTCCATCTTTTTCGTGTCTTTTCATTTTTGTAGAGATTCTAAATTTAAATAAATAAAAAAATTAAAATTGCCAAAATAATTAATTTAAAATAAGTCAAAAATTCAATAAAAAATGAAAAAAAGAAAAGAATAAGTAATTTATAGGAGAAATAAATAAATTAATAAATAAATGTTCTATTTTGCTAATTCTGTCTTTTATTAAAAAAGGAAAAGTAAAAGAAAGAACGGGCCAAATGAGTATATGCATTTTTATCGTCCTTTAAATCGTGTCCGGAAATTTGGGGAGTGGACATTTGGGGAGTAGACATTTGGGGAGTGGATAAATGGGGAGTAAGCGGGCAATTGGGCAGTGTATAATTGGGGAGTGAATTATAATTAAAAAATAATTTAAAAATAAAATTTCTGGACAAATAAAAATAATTTATACGTTCTCGACTGTGTCTTTGTGTAGTTTCCTGCACTAATGGGATCTTCAAGGTCAGCAATGCATATAAATTTCAGTTAATAAAGTTTCTGTGATGTTAAATGAAGCTCCAGTGAATCCCGATTTAATGACTTAACTTGAAATTAGTTGCAAATTTCTTGCAAATAATGATATATGGGATAGAAATTATGAGGGATATATCTCTTTAATCCTCCCAAATCTAATCCACTATATCCTCGTAAATCCTGTCTAAACTCTCAAATCTCTCAGAATCAATAATTATTCTAAGCTCAATGAATTGCTAAATTATTCGTAAAACAATAAGATCCGAATCCCACCTACATGAAATCCCACTAGCTACAGGTTCATAAACTAAGATGTTACAGACATCAAAATATCAATAAAATCTGTAAAACTACGCAAAGACACAGTCGAGAACGTATAAATTATTTTTATTTGTCCAGAAATTTTATTTTTAAATTATTTTTTAATTATAATTCACTCCCCAATTATCCACTGCCCAATTGCCCGCTTACTCCCCAAATTTCCACTCCCCAATTGTCCACTATCCAATTGTCCACTCCCCAAATGTCCGGGAGCCCTTTAAATCTTTTGTCTGCACTTTTTAAACATCTTTTAAAAATCTTTTTTTAAGAAATTTTTTAAAAGTTGATGTCAAAAAAATCTTTTTGGAATAATTTTTGTTTCTTTCCTTTCTTAATTTATTTTATACTAAAATTGAATGAGAATTAACATTTTTATTTCATTCTTTGTTTTTTATTTACAATACTCATTTTTCTTAAAACGCAATCTCGAATTTTTAAATCAAAGCCACTCAGTTAATTGGGGTTTTATAGGGCACCTCTGGTCACGCTCATTGTCAGTTGGCTCGCTCTGAATTAGCTCGGCCAAATGAGTGAGTATATTCACTTACAGTTTACCCACTACATATTTAGTAATCCACTAAATTCCTCAATTTATGATGTCTTTTTAAACGTCTTCTCTTAAATTAAAGCACCACCCCTCTTTTAATGAGAGACGAATAATCCATTTTTCAGACCTTTATATTTGCTTTAGGTTCAATAAAAGCATAAGTATTTGCTAATTTAAAGTTTTTTATTTGAGTAAGAAATAAAAGTACCGATTTTCTCTCCTTTTCACAAAAAATATTTTCCCTTTCACGGTTTTGAGTATTTCCAAGTTTGTTGACCCTATTTATAAAAAGGGATTTGAGAAGATGCTCTTGGGATTGAACGTATACAAAAATGGGAATAGTTTATAAAAATGAATAAAAAGAAACCTCTAATTTTTATGCATCTATGTACATATATCAGGGATCCTACTATCCGGAATTCCTGACTTATTTTCTGAATCCGCTTTTAATACCTCTTAATCCTTCCTTAATCTCACCTCCATATCCTCTTAAGCTCCGATATCCCTTAATCTCCCAAATCTCCCGGTATCTCTAGTCAATGTGAACCCCCCAATTACCCCCTAAATCACTTCTAACCCCTCGTACATTTATGCTTAATTTACATTAACTCTGCTTGAATGTTTAGATAATAGTAGCATCCTTTCTTGTTTATCTCTAACGTTGCTCACGCCAGGACTAGGGTTGTACCCGTCCCCGAAAGTCGGGGAATTTGACACTTTTTACTTGAAAATTTTTCGATTCCCCGAAATTCCCCGAATTTTAATTTTTATTTTATGCCGTTACGACTGTCTTTAAATAAAAGTTTGTTTTAATTTCTCACGATTTTGGCATTGCTAAAATTGTCTCCTCTTCATTGAATTCTCATTTCATTGTTTTTCATCTCGCTCATTGCCCCAGTTGTTTTAGTGATTTGATGGTTTTTACAAAAAAATAACCGCGTAGTTCATAAAACAATTGAATAAAAATGCGGGAACTGAATAAGTATAGAGATAGATTGTTTGGTTGTGGGAAAAATTTATTACTGACATAATGTCTGAATGATGGCAGAAAAAGCAACTATTTGAGCAGCATTTCAATTTTGCGTCAAAATTCAATTTATACTAACAAAATCGAAACTTTGATTTGTACATTAATTGAAATTATCTTGATCTTCAAGATTCTTTATACATATGTATATTTTGAATTCCTTTTATTTTCATAACCGATTTAAATATATTTAAATTAATTTCCCCAATTACCTCAAGGGAAATTTACTGTTAACTTTAATTATAGACAAATCTAAAAAGAGTTGTTGATTTAGTTGTAATCGTTGTGTAGAAGATATTTCATAATCTTTCTATTGAAGACATCTTTCACTTCTCTATAATGTATCAGTGATGGCAGTGATGGGCCGGGTGGAGGTCAAAATTATCTTAGGATCAGGTTTCAGATAAAAAGACACATCCCTTTTATAATTTCTAATCGACATATTTAATTTCATTCAAATTATTTTAAAAATTTATTTAATTTCTTTCTAGAAAAATTAAAAATTTTAAATCCTCCTTCATTTTCTTAATGAGAGAAAAATATTTTTTCCCTTTAAAACCTTCAAGACTACTGTCAATTCATTTAAACACATTTATTTTCTTTATTTATAATTGCCAAAATGTTTATAATAAAATAGATGAAAATTTATTATTGGCAGATTCCCTTTCTTCACCAATACAAAAAGTTTTTAAATTTATTCGTCAAAATGAAAAGCTTTGTAAGTTTATTATTAAAAAAAAGATTTTTTTGATAATAAGAATTCTTGCTTTACCATCAATTCTCTTAATATTAAAATTAAAAAAAACAAATATTAATAAAAAGAACTTAACTTGAAAAAATTACGAAAATTTAAAAATTTTTCCATATTTCTCAAGCACGAGAAAGTACGAGGCACGAGGCCAAAAATCGGGCAAGTATGAGTACGAGCAAATCTCAAAATTCAAACACTGATAATAAGAGAAAATCTACCTAAAAATCCCTGAAAATATTATTTTCTTTGACTCTTATAAAATCAAAAATAAAAATATTTCCTTTGTTTAGGTGGAAATATTTATATTAACTCTACTATATGGTTACCTGCTTATCAAAATTGCCAGTTAAAATGTCGTATCGATTCAGAAATTTGTCAAATGAGTGGACCAACAGTCCATATACGAAGACAACGGTGTTATGAACGTATTTTAAATATTTATGAAAAATTTTAGAAAAATTATTTATTTTTTCAAAAAGTTCCATTAGAATGTCGCCGTCATTTAAAAAAACTTGTTGGAGGAGCAGAATTATTTACAAAACCAAATCATCGAATATGGGGGAATCTTTCTTCAAAAAATGATAAAAGAACCAAAGAAAATAAAAAACAAAAAAATACAAAAAAAGAAAATACAAATTTATTAAAAACAACTAATTTGCCGTTAAATTATGGCGAAGGAGAATTTTTATTACCTTTAAGTCAAGACAAAGATGTTTTAATACCTCCTGATTTACTTACAACAACAACAATAACTAATATTAAAACACCAAAACAAACAAAAAAGAATAAAAAACAAAATAAAAAAGTAAAAAAAATATTTAAATATTTCCTTTAATAATTACCCTGGTTAATTATTTTTTCAAGTGGGGGTAATCACTAGTAGGGGTAATTAACCGCGAGTGTTAAGTATTGGAGGAAGGGTAATTAATCGTTGAAATAAGGCATTTAAATATAGAAAAGAGAAAGATGGATTTAATTGAATTATTAATTATTCATCTTTTACCGATTTTTTAGTCCAGGTTAATTTTCTTTAATTGTTTGACCGTATCCTTTAGAGCGGCCCTTTGTGAAGTTTTATTCTAGAAAATACATTAAATTTTAATAGAAATATTTGGACATTTTATTTTTTAAAGTTAACAACCTCAACAAAATTTATCCCAATTTCAACAAAATCACCACAATTTATTTCATCTACAAAACCCCCCACAACAACAAAAATAATAAACGATTTAAAATCTACAACAAAATTTGACAACACCTTACAAGTTGATTTTGAGATGTTCTATGCAGAAAAACAAATTTTGGATAAAGATAAACTAAAAAATAATAATTCTTCTTTAAAATCGCCAAAAAATCTTCAAAAAATAGAAATATTTGGTCCACCCATTAGAGGTCCAATACCGTAGGTTTTAGCAAGTCATTACAAAATAGAATTTGAGTCGAGGATTATCTGATTATAATTTGAGATTCAGAGCTAAAATTCGAGAACAAGTAATTAACAAGTACGCGACATTTAATCAATCACAAGTCCAAACAATTCCAGTATTTAAGATTTATCAATCCTTTTGATCAATATTTTATCAAGTTGACGAATTTTTGAATAAATACACTTGATAATTATTTTTTCAAACTTTTTCCGGAGAGTGTAATTAATCGGAGAGTAATTATTTGAGGAATGGTAATTATTCGAGAAATTATTTAGTACAATCGGTCAAATTGCTGTTCAATTAGAATAAACTTAATTTTAAGAATTAATATACTTATCTAATCAAAAAATAGCCGTCCCTCAGCTCCGGAGGATGCTTTTATACTTAATCACTCAACGCAAAAACAAAATATAAATGAAGCCAAAGAAAATATTTTTGACAATAATAACTCAAAACCTCCAAAAATACTTCCATGGTGGACATGGAAAAAGATGGCTGTTGAAAATGAAAATGGGAAAAAATCCCTTGTAGAGGACTTAACTAACCAATGCTGTCAATGGGCATTAGATGGATTATGTGATCGAAGTTGGCAAAGAATAAGGGAACTTTGGTTGGGGTTTTTTAATTATATTTTTCATAATAAGAAAGGAATTTACAAAAGGGTTGTTTAGGGGGTTTTCCATTGTATTATGATATCAGACTATTGGATGGGAAGATCCATTAATTGATATCCTCAACTTGACTTGTACTATAATTTTTCATCTCAAAGGTCAAGTAAAATCGAAATCCGGCTTATATAAATTAATTTTAAAATAATCCAATTTAGTCCAAAATCCTGTGGAACTGTTCTTTGTTCTTGTAAGTATTTAAAATATTAAAAAAATGTCGACAAAAATAATTAACATATTTTTTTTAAATAAAGCGTTCGAAGGAACTCTTTCTTGCAGTAGAGTGCTTGACGTAGATGTTATTGGTTGCTACGAACACCAAAAACAAAATTCTTTTATTCCAATAAATTCTAACTTGGGGCAGTCTACTTCAACAAAATTTACAAAAGGAAAAGATGAAATTATAAATGAGAGGAAAATAGTATATGGAAATGATAATTTTATTGAAGAATTTAAACAAAAAAGTTTTGTAAATTTGAAAAGGAAATGAAAAATTTTTTTTATTAGATTTATATAGACTTGAATAATATTAAACATATGTACATATATGTATTGTAAGACTTGGCAAAATTGTTTGTTTTTTGTGGATATTTGGAAATTTTTAAAGTTAATAAGAAGGGCATCTTTGGTAGAATAAAGCTAATCGGGGCTAACTACTTCCCTTTCAGTTAGTGCTAAAGGTCAACAAACAAACAAAATTTACAAAAGGATTTAATTTGATATCCTCAACTTGAAATTAGCCAGTATCTTCAATTGATCGGGATGATTGTTATCTACCCATTACACCACACTGATTAATGCATAGCCTTAGGAATTAAAAAGATCTAATGTTAACTTGTATTTTTTTATAATCAGATAAAGACTATGTGAAAGTCGATGAGCTAACTTTTGGAGGCTGGGGCTCCTAAATATTTTTTTTTGATTTTGCCGTTCTGTTAAATTTTCTTTGGCTTTTGTTCCGATCTAACCAATAAATCAGAAATAATTTCTATTTATTTATCATTTCCATTTTAAAGTTTGCAACATAATTTTTCATTTTTGACGCTAGAAATCTCGGTCCTAGATGAAATGGCAAAATGAGAGGATGAGGCATTAAATAAAATAGCCCTCTTAATTGTAGCGCCTGCGCTCAAAATTTCTCCACATAAAAATCCATTTATTGATAGAAAATTTTTTATTTAAATCATACATATATACACATATATAAATTTATTTATAATAAATGCATAAAAATTTATATAAATATGTACAAATTTTTCAGCTACCAAACTTTAATAACTTGAAACTCAATATTTTTTATTTGATTTTAACAGTAGCCTAGAGACAAAATAAAAAAAAATCTAAAAATAGTAAATACTAACTAAAAATCAATCTCAAGACCCCGTATATCGAACCCCTATATTTAAGAGACGGATTGTCTTCCACGCCCGCCTTCTGCAGAATTCCGCTTTTTCGACACTTCGTTTAACCCCCCCCCCCTTAAAAATAATGTAAATTTTTGGCTCTACTGAAGTTATGAGTCAAAGAAAAGTTTACGAGTCGAATCAAAGTTATATGTTATTTTTTTGTTATGTATTTTTTTTTCAATTTTCAAATACTTTTTATGCTACTACATACGGGGGGATGTATGGCATTTCAACGCTGAAAATCGGTAAAAGGAATAGATTTTAGTCCCCTTTTTCCTTAATCCCTGACCATTGCGAGCTTTTTTGTTTGATCTATATTTTATTATATATTATTTGAAAGAGTTCTTTGAGTTGGGGCGAAGGATACCATAATCGTTAGATTTGGGGAGTCTAAACAAAATTATGAAGCTGGATGCTCACTGGGAAAGCTTTTTGTGCCACTGAAGGCGATTAAAAAACAAAAATCTCAAAATTTCGCCCGCCTGTCCTCAATTCCACTAATATTCAATTTTGGCACTGGTCCTTTTTTTTAGAAATCCCGCCTTTTTAATAATGACTTACCGAATTCCGCCTTTTTAGACCCCTCCGCGTTCTAATGCCTTCGCCTATCTCCTTGAACTTTTCTCAGTTGTCTTTTTATAGAGTAGTAGATATATAATGGAAGTTGTCTGTTTATTGCACAAAAACTTAAACAGCTTTAAGTTGTTTACTTATGTTTTTTTTAAATTTGTCACAATTTGGCAATTATTTTTTTATTTGGCAGACTGCTTCTCTCCATTGTTTTTTCTTTCTTTTCTTCTCAACTCAATTCATCTCTCATTTTTTGCTTTATCTAACTTACGAACACCAATGAATCTCGCCATGACGCTCGCGTAAAAATATATACACGCACTCATTTCCCCTTCATCGCCCGCCTGTCCTCATTCCATTCTCCACTCTCCAGCTTCTCTCTTCGTCGCACAATCAATTTCTTATTCGTCTTTTCACTTTTGAAAACTCCAAATAGTTATTTTATTTGTTTTTTTACCTTAAATAATAAATTATTAAATAAGATTTGTTTAATTTATGGCCAACTTTTAAGATTTTTAACTGGCTAAATTATTGGCGTTTTTAGGGGAATTTGGTTTTTTGGTATTTTAAAATTGGGGATTTTCTTTCGTAAATGAAAGAAAAAAGAATTAAGTTTTCCTTTAAGCGTCATCATTTTTCCAACTTGTTTTTGTCACCTTTTATTGGCGGCAAACCATAATTATTAATTCATCAATTAAAATTCAAATAATAAATTTGGCCTATTTTCTTGAATTAGTTTTTATTTAAGAATGATGTTAAAACAATCCTAAAAAATGTTTGGGTATTTTTTCCTTAATTTTGTGCCCAAAATTTAAGGAATTTAAGTGACTCACTCATATGAAGTTGTATATTGAATTTTATGTATGTGTTTAAAGGTTTGGTGGTGAAATTGAATCTCTTATCCCTTTCCTTCTATATTTTTGTGTCCTTTAATTTTGTTCTCTTAATTTTGTGTCCAAAATTTAAGGAATTCTGTGACTCGTATGAAGTTGTAAGAACGGTATCAGACTTAAATGTGTTACAGACAACTCTATGGCCCAGCCCTGCTTTTTAGACCTCTGGTCCGGTATTGTGCGTGTGTACAAGAACTCAGTCCTATTTTTCGATGTCTAAATTTTTAAAACCAAAATTTATTACCAATTTTGAATAACAATTTTCTGAAATTCAATAAAATTCATTCCATTTTTGCTCAAAATCTATAGCAGTTTGATGGGACTCATCCTTTAGTTTATATTAATTTTTGGCAGATAATGACTTATCTGATAAAAACTAATACAAATAAGTTAATCTATGGTCAAAGTCACATAAAAATTTTGAATAACCAAAATAAAATCCATTAAAGAGTCCAAACTCAAGTTTTAAGACCAAAGGAATTCCACTAATATACAATTTTGGCACTTGTCTAGTTTATGATTTGTATGAAACTTTATGCGTCCAATCAACAAGATTTTCTTGGTATTGCAAAGTTAAAGTATGGTTCCAAAACATTTCCACATCTTCAGGACCTACGCCCACTGGGTCCGGGACCATTCCTTACCCTATTACTCGAAATTTCTAAAGTTATGGCAAATTTTTAAAAATTTCAGAACGATTTTAACTTTCAGAAATTACGAGGGATAGGGTAAGAAATGGTCCCAGACAGGAAAGTTTTGGAACCATACTTTAACTTTGCAATACCTAGAAAATCTTGTTGATTGGACGCATAAAAGTTTCATTCGAATCATAAACTAGACCAGTGCTACAATTTTCTATTTGCCTCAAACTCGGCGATATTCACCCTAAATTTATCAGATAATTGACGGTATTAATATCTATGTAATGGTATAAACGGTATAACTAATTCAACTAAAGTAAAGTAAAGAACTCCTCTAATTTCAAAAATTATAGTTCACACTCATCTGACATTTTTGGGACTAAAACCATTCGACTTAGCTTAATCGAATAATTATTTATTTTTACCCACTAATTCAATTGATATTCGCGGGTATATCAGAAAGGGAAGTACCAATCAAATACATATTTGAGAGAGAAAATGGCATGTAAATAAAGGTGATAGAGGTAGAAATCCCGATGTAAATCAGGACTTCAATCGGGAAAATTTTAAGTGTAAATAAAAAATTTTTAATTTGGAATAAGTACGCTACAAAATTACAATTTAAAATTTATTCTCGCTCATGTCTCTTATCGCAAAGACTCTCACAAATGAGTCGTTGAGCCCCGCTAGCGAAAATTTTTGAGAATTTTATGGTTAAATTTAATTTTTTAACCAAAAAGTCCATTTATAGGTACGTATTTACAAATAAGTAAATTCTCAATTTTGGAAGTACGAAGGTCGGTTTGTAAGTACTGTATTTCCATTTTAAGTGCGGATTGGAGTCCTGATGTAAATTTCTGTTGGTTGGTTACAGTAGTTCAAAAATTTTCAAAAGATTTCTGTAAAATTTTGGAAAATCCCCATTTAGGTTATCTGTATTATAGTATTACACAATTGAGTTCCACCGTAACCGACTAAACTTTATAAAATTTTGGCAATCCAAACGGTACTAGTTCGGATTATTTCCCCCTTTTTCCTGAATCCCTTTGCAGCATTAGTTCTCTTTTTATGTAGATTATACATCATTCTAAAGAGCTCTTCGAGCCCCAGACTAATTCTTTTTCTACGGCTTTTCAATTTTTGATTTATCTTTTCTTTCCAGCCAAATCCCGACCAATTTTGCTAACCCTAATTTCGAAACAGTTATATTGAAGGGCCCTGATTGAGAACTGTCAGGATTGTAACCATAATTTAAACTAAATTAAATAAAAATGTTTAGCTAAATATGTAAAATAAATTGGATGAAAGATTATTTTATTGGTTTTATTTCTCTCGTAAATTAATTCTATTTTGAAGTTAATTTGCAGGTATTGTTTTTAATTTTTTTAATTTATTCAACGTTAAAAAGCGTTAAATTTAAGGCTTAATTTATTTAAGAATTATTTAAATTAAATATATTTTTCTCTACTTTTTCTTCTTCTCTAAAATCTAATCAAAAATTTATTTCTTTTTTCCTTTCTTTTATTTAAACATACAAACTGTCCATTACTTTTCTTTTATTTAAACATACAAACTGTCCATTACTTTTATTTTTTTGTGATAAATAGTGTTAGTGTTTAAATCACTTTAGAATACATATCTCTTACATAGTAAATAAAATTAATTTCTAATTTAAAAATAAAAACTTCTTATCCTTAAAGATATTTTTAAATAATTGGATCTTTCTTACAAGTGCCGGAATTTACCTAATCTTTACCTAATCTTTACAACTGTCGGAATTTAAATTGTTTTGGTTTTTAAATTTTATCAATTACTAAATGAACTTTAATTAATAATCTTTTTATTTTATTTTCTCTATTAAATTTAAATTAATCGGACAATTGCGGTATTAGAAAAATAAGATAAACAATAAAGGCTCCCTGGTATTTTACGGAATAAACTTGTTTGAGATGTTAGTATCTGAGTCCTCTTTAAATATTGGCAATTTTATATTTTTTAAATTTTTATTTTGTGATAAAATAAAAATATTTCAAAAAATTAAAAAAAAATTTTTAATAAACAAACAATTCATTTATTGATTATACATAAAAAGAGTTTTAATTCTTTTAATAAAAAAATTTTAAACAAAATTATATAGTAAATTATTACATATTTAAAAAATTCAATTAATTAAAATTTTTTATAAAAATTTTTTATTTTTATTTGACTTCCTCTTTCCATTCCAACTAAAATAAATTTTTAAAAATCAAAAAAGGGTCAAAAACAAATTTAAAAAACCCCCCAATTTAATAAATACTTTTTTTTCAAACAATTTTAGATTAAATTAAATATTTCTAAAAAATATTTTATTTTAAAAAATGAAAAGATTAGACAACGGCATTATTGGAAATTTTGTTATTCCTAAAAAGCCTAAAATTGAGGATGATAAAATAAAGAAAACAACAATTACATCACAAAGTTCTAGTAATGGAAAAATTGGTGGATGTAAGTTAATTAGAAATTAATTTTTAAATTTTTTAATTACGAAATGACTAAATAAAATAATTAAAATTCTTTAGGATAAAAATTTTTAAAATGCACAAAATATGTACTAAGTATTTATTCATCTCTTGACATTGTATATTAGGTCAAATTTTATTTAAGTTCGTCCAAAGTAAAAATATACCTATTTCTGATATTATTGCCGATAGGTGTGACAAGTTTTTTTCTACAAACCCATTTGATATTAAACTTTAAATTTATTTAAAGTCTATTTTAAATTATTTTGTAGCTATTCTTAAAAATCCGTCTTTGGAAACGTCCACGTCAACTTCTCGTATTATTCACAATCCAGCAAACAGTTCTATTTGGACGGGATCATTACGTTTTGGAGAACAAATTGTCGAATCTATTGACCTTTACCCGCCAATGCGGGAATGCTCTAAACCTTCGGGATTGTAAGTTTTTTACTTCTCAAGAATCTTTGGATATTTTCTATTTTAAATTTATTTTTAAAGTTCATCATGTTTGGAAATGCAGCAATTAACAAAATGTAAAGATTTTGTTAATTATTGGCCGATACAAGAATTAATAAAAGAAATTACTCGTAATAACAACGAGAAATCTCCTCTTCTCAAAAAACGTTCAATAATTATTTGTTCTTCTTCTGAACAACAAAAAACAACAATTCCTGTCCGCATCTCTTATCTTTATTTAATTAATACATTTTCGCCTCTTTTTGCCAGAATTTGCAAGGAAATGGTGGAAAAGGAATTGGTTAGATTTTTAAAAATTTTACTGTTGATCTTACATGTGTCCAATACGTAATACCTATAAACATATACCCCTTCAATTTAAAATAACTTTTTTTTTAAATTTTACTTACCACTTCCCACAGCTGCCTAAACGATACTCCCAATAATGGATAAATCTCGATACTCCGTACAATTCTTAGCCCCTAACTAAAAAAATTTTCGAAATAAATCAGAATTTTCTTTAGATAGCTTTCGGCATTCTCAGTGATTATTCCCTTCTTTTTCTTATTCCCAATGGTCAATTGTCAACGCAACTTGGAATTCCTAGTCGTGACGGTCCTGTTCTTCATTGTTTATTTATTTCAAATATTTCTGGAATTAAAAACAAATTTGAACTTTACAATTTGGATACGTAAGTATTTTATATTTGTATTTTTGATTTATCTCTTCCAATTTTTAAGAATTCCTCGCAGTCCTTCTGTTAACGATAAAATAAGTGGAATTGATCCAAAAATGTTTGCTAAATTAGAATCTTACCAAAAAGAAAGTCTTTTGCCTGTAAACAGTTTAAATACTCAAAGAAGTAGTTCTTTAGCAGCAACACAACCAAAACAATTAGAATCTATATTTACACCTAATCAACGTCCTCCTGGAGGAAAACCTGTAACTCCTTATATTCCAACACCTTCTACTACTAAATATCCACAACAATCATCAATTAATCGACGTTTTCCTTCTGCTTCTCCAAATTTTAATTCTTCGAATATTAGACCTTCAAAGCAATACTTTCCTTCAAGTCAACAGCAACAACAATTCCATCCTTATACTCAACAACAACAACAACATCCACCTACAACATCTACTAATTCTTCTAATTTTCTTTCAATGCTTCTTATGCCCCCTCCTCCCCCACCACCTCCTCCTCCTCCCCCACCTCCACCTGAATCTGAGGATATTTCTCCTCCAATAATTAGCGATAAAAATGAAATTATTTCTTCTTCAACTTTGGAACATAGACAAAAAAATAAGGCAATGATTGCAAATGCTTTTGAACAAATTCGAAGTATTGGAAAGACTTCTTTGGTCTGTCTAATAATGACAAATCCTTTTTTAAATGTTTTTTAAACCTTTTAAGAGTGAAGGAGGGACATCTTCTTCAAAAACTTCTCAAACTTCATTAGAACAACAAAAGACTCAACAAAAACAACAATCAGATAATTTAATTAGAGATCCGAGATTGTCTAAACGTTTAACTGAATCACAACAACCTCCTCCTCCTCCTTCTATTTCTTCTTCTAAAGAAATTTTTGAAAAGAAAAATGGAAATGTGAAAGTTGAAGAAATTGTTGAAGAAAAAGTTGATAAAGATATTAAAATTAAGGAAGGGCCTGTTGAAGTATTAAATGAATCTTCGCCTATGGAAATTGGTGATGAAGATTCTTCATTATTGTCACGTCCTTATAGCCCTTCACAAGTTTTTATGTCATCTCCTGAACCTATGGAAGAGGATGAACAATTAAATATGTAAGTTTTGTGAATAGATTGGGGTTGAATAAATAAGGTGTTTATTATAATATTAACTCCTAACTATTAGATACACTTTTGAGGCTAAATAAATATTTTTATTTAAAAATGAGGTCCGACTGTATTTATAAATTTTCATTTTTAGTTGTGTATCTTCAAAAGAAAAAGAAGAATTAAAAAAGGAAGAGGGTGAGAATATTAAAAATAAATCTGAAAATGAGAAAATAATTTGCGAAGAAGATAAAAAAATAAAAGAAAAATCAGAACAGTCAATTGACAATATTGCTGGAATTGAGGGTGGAGAGATGCCTATGGATATTTCTGTATCGTCTGCTGATGTTAGCTTCTTCTCTTTTGTTTCCTTTCTTTTATCTCTCAAAGAATTTTCAAAAATTCTTGAAAAATATTTTTTGGATTTTTTGTTTTTATGCTCTCTATTGCAAAAAGTTAGAAAAATCTAAAATATCCGTCCCTAATTGACAGATATTTTAACTTTTATTTAAATTAGAATCTCTTCTTTAAAGCATAAATAGAAGAAATTCTGAACATTTAATTAATTACGAAATTAAAATCAAAACAATTTATTTAAAATATATCCACAAAACCCAAAATCACCCCAAAATCTATCTCATTATTTCCTTCTTTCTTTCCTTTTCCTTTCTTTTTCCTCTCTTCTCTCATCTTTTAGTTTTTACAGTTATCCAAACAAATATCATCAACTTCTTCAAATAACAAAAATAACCAAGTATCTCCAGAACAGATTTCTTCAGATTCTGAAAAAGACGAAGAAGAAATATCTGAAACAATGTTCCCTCAATTAATTAATTCCTCTTCCTCAACTGGATTTGGATTTGATTATTTAACGTAAGTAATTTTTAGAAAAAGAATTTTTTATATTTATTTGCATATTATGCAATTTATTTTTTTAATTTTTAAACCGATCGGTCCTGCCGTACGGTTAAAAAAAATAATTGAAAATAAAAATTAGGGACTAAAAATTAATAAAAATTCTCGAATCTCATTAAAATAGTAAGTACCTATTCCTAAGAAAATTAAAAATAAGCAGCATTTAGAGCCCCTCTCTTTCCTTTATTATGAATAATTCTTAAAGTTATACATATACCGTATAACCTCTAATAATTACCCTCTTCAAATAATTGACCATCTCAAATAATTAGTGAGCGGTTGAGGCAATAATCACCCAGGGTAATTAATATTTGAGTAAATACTTTATGTATTTACTCAAGATCATCCAAACTTCGAACATTTAGAAGGTATTTTTATTTTGTTGGGCCAGTCAGAGAACTTAAAAAACGACTAACCTCCTTTTTAATTCTTTAAATTCATCTATTATAATAAGTTTAAAAATATACATGCTGTATTTTCTCTAAAATAGCTCCGGGGGCTATTTTTCGATCGAACTCTAGAGGGGCTATTTTAGAGAAAATAAGGTATATATGTATACAGGGTGCGGCATAAGTAACCGGACACTTGTTTTCTCTCATAACTTTATTAAAACACAATCAAATAAAATCGAAATACAATCAAATGATAGAGAATTAAATAGGGAACAAAAATAATCAGGAAGTTTCGAAATGCCGACCCTTGTCTTTGATACAGAGGCGAAGGCGCGAAGAAAAATTTTCGCAAATAGCACGCACCTCCGTGAGTGTTATTAAGTCCCACTCTCGGGTGAGAGAGTGGCGCAGAGACTCCAAACTTTTTTGAGGCTTAGCACAGACCCTGGACTCCAAAATTGACCAAAAAGAAAATCCATCGGATTCAAATCCGGGGAGTAAGGCGGCTATTCCTGAGCGCTAATGAACCCAGGAAAATTGGCCTTGCAGCAGTCCTGAACATCTTTCGCCTTGTGTGCCGGAGCAGAGTCCTGATGGAAAATGCAGACTCTGCGACCGAAATGGCTCTTGAACCGAGGCTTCAGAACACGCTAAAAAAATTCTCGCAAGTAATAGTCTTTGTTGACTTTTACACCAAAATCCACGAAAAAAAGGGGTGTTTTGACTGACACGCTAATACCGGCCCAAACCATGACAGATTGGGGATGTTGGGAATGAGTGATAAGTTTATCGGAAAGAGGAGATTCTGAAGTCCAAATTATATCATTTTGATGTTTGTGAACGGCTTATATTGTAAAAATTTTTTAGTCTGTAAAGAAAATGTCCGGACATGCGTGCTACTGGAGGAGGAGATGAAATTTTGCGGACAGAATTTTTTTGCCAAAAAAGTGAAACTATTAGAATCACGTTGACTAGCCATAATAGAGAATTGAATGGGCTAAAAAATAAGCATAAAATCGATTAAAAATATTGACAATAAAAAAAGTTATAAGGAATTTAAAGGTGTCCGGTTACTTATGCCGCACCCTGTATGTACCAGGGATCTAGCCGACATAAAAATTCAATTCCCGATTTTCTGGAATCGGGAATCCCGACGAAAATTTAATTCCCGATTTTCGGGAATCGGGATTCCCGACAAAAATTCAATTCCCGATTTTCGGGAATCGGGATTCCCGACCCAAAAAACGTCGGGAATTCCCGATTTTCGGGAATTTTCGGGAATTTCGGGAAATTTGCTATTCTTGGCTGGGGTTGATGTTGGACATTGTGGCCAAGAGGGGTGCTATTTCTAAACATTAAAGTAGAGTCAGTGCAATTAAAGGATAAATGTAACGAGGGATTAGAACTGATTAAGAGGGAATTTAGGGGATTAATAGGGATATCGAGGGATACCAGAGAATTTGGACAAGTATGTGACATTGAAGGTATGTGACATTGACAAGTATGTGACATCTCACAAGTATGTGATATTGAAGGATCAGGTGTGATTCGTTGGAAGTGATATCGAGGGATATAGGTGGAGATTACTATTGGGAGGTTTAGAGTGAGTAAGAGGTATACCCAATATACTAGGGATTCCTTTAATGTGCGCCGCAGTCGAAAATTTTGAAAATTTTCTAAGATCCTTAAGCCGAAAATCATCCCTTTTCTGCGCCACAGGCGAAAATTTTAAAAATTCTGGAGGATCCTTAAGCCAATCTGTACAACCTGTTTTATACAATACTTCATATCCCCCGCTAATTCCTCACGATATTACTCCAAATTCACCTTAACTATACAAATACTCCGATATACCACATACTTCTTCCTTATCTGCGCCGCAGGCGAAAATTTTGAGGATTATGTAAGATCTAGTCACCAGATTTCTTGCATTCTTAGCGCCGAGGCGAAAATTTTGAGAATTTTGAAGGGCCAAGTCAACTGATTTCTTCCTTTTTCAGCGCCGCAGGCGAAAATTTTTAAAAATTGGATGGCAAAGGAGCCAGATCTTCTTCCTTTTTCAACGCCAGATATCTAGTGTAATTCCCGAAAATTCCCGATTTTTTAGGAAAAAAGTCGGGAATCGGGAACGGGAATTCCCGACAAAAATTCAATTCCCGATTTTCGGGAATCGGGATTCCCGACCCAAAAAACGTCGGGAATTCCCGATTTTCGGGAATCGGGAATCGGGACGGCTAGATCCCTGATATGTACATATATTTCCCAAAAAATTAAATTCGTATTTGATCTTTATTAACAAATTAGAGAATCTAAATAAATTAATAATTTATTTATTCTTTAAAAATAAAATATTGACTTTATTTTTTTGTCTTTTATTTAGGGTAAAAATAAAATAATTTTTTTATAAATTTTTACAAACTTCAAACTATATATTTTTATGTATTTATTCTAAAAATAATTTTATTTATGAAGGGGATTTTTATTCAAAATATTTTTATAATAAAAATACTTTTTAGTTGGAATACTTCTTCACCACTAAAAAGTCGTTCTGAGCAGCCAGATAGTCCAATTAAAACAACAAATAATGATAAAAATATTATTGGACTTGAACGTTTTATGGTTAATTAATTAATCTCTTTGAAATTAAAATTTTTTTAAATTTTAAATGTGATTTACGTTAGACTTGGCTCGTTAGGCGTTGAATGGATTTAATTATCTATTTAAAAAAGTTGACTTAATCCAGGGTTGCCATTTGTTTTTCGAAGTACAGTACCTATAAACCGATCTTCATACTTACGAAATTGATAATGCACTTATTCGTAATTATATACTTACAAATGGACTTTTTGCTTGAAATGTTGAATTTACGGACCTCCAAAATTCCTAAAATTTTCGTCTTCTGCGCAAAAAATAAAAATTTTGAAAAAAATTTTTGTAGCGTACTTATAATTGGAAAACTTTCCCATTATATACTTATAAATTAAACTTTTTGTATTACACTTAACATTTTATCGATGGCAGCCCCGACTTAATCCCTATTTTCTTCTACCTTCAATTATTTTTGAATGGTACCCCCAGAACCTAACAAATTCCAAAAATATTGAATCCCCTTCTTCCAAAACTTTTATTAAAAAAGGGAAAGATTCATTTTATATAAAGAATAATTTTAAAATTTTTTTATTTCTTTTTTGTAATTTTTATTTATTTATTCAGCAGCATTCAAATGGAGAATCAAATAATGGTAACAAAATACAAAATGAAGATAAAAATAAAAATGAAGAAGAGCAAAATAAAGAAGAAGACAAAGATTTTCGTCAATTTTGGTCTTCCATTGAAATTAAACAAAAAAATATTGAAGAAGAAAAAAATACAAACAAATCACCACCACAACTGACCAAAATAATTTCTTCACCTCCTCCTCTTCCCCCTTCACGGCCAACTTCTTCCGCTGAAATTAAAAATTTACCTTCCTTGTTAGATTTAAATCTGACACCCCCTCCAAGCTCTTCAATACACCCTCCTCCAAGCTCTTCTGTTAAACCTTTTTCATTTTTTGGAGGTCAATTTGGTAATAATGTCAAAACGGCAAATTATGGACAAACACAAAAACAGTCTTCCCCAATCCGCCCTTTTTTTAATATTTGTCCGGAAACTCCAATTAATGTTCAACAACAGCAACAAGAATTGCTTTCTAAGGGTGAGAGAATAATAAATATTTTGTGATTTACTTAGTTTTGGATTTTCTGTCTTTGGCTTTCTGTTTTAACTATTTTCCTACCGTATCTCTTTTGGCTCTCTTTCCTTTTTTTAAATAAATGTAACTCCCATATGAAGAGTAAAAATTTAAGACTTGAAGAAGACTAGAAGAAATGAAGGATAAAATGATGAATTGAAGAAAATGAATCGGGAAGTAAAAACAATGAAGAGAGCTGGAGAGTGAGAGAAAAGACTAGGATTAAGAGAGACTAGGATCATGTTTTGGATATGAATTAAATATTAACTAAATAGATGAAAAACACAATAATAATATTCTTTTTATTAGAACTTTCTTTTTCTTTTCTATCCTTTTGGATTTCTTTCTTTTCAGTAGTTATGGGATCTTTGTTTCGTGGACGGTCTCGCTTCTCTATACCAGTATCAAATAATGATAAAGGTAAGAATATAAATCTGTAGAAGGAAAAATAATTTTCTTACACATCTTTTTCTAATGTTTTCCTATTATTTATTTCATTTCCTACTGGGAACTTCCATTAATTTGTGATAATTCGCCAGAAAATTACCATCAACTATATGTCCTATTGCATGCAATACCGCAAAATATGCGCATACATATGTATATACAGAAAACTCAAGATATCCACTAAATATACAAACAAAATTGAGAAAATTTATTTAAAAATATACACAACTTTTGATAAGAATAATATGAATTGATACGGCATCCCTATTTATACATTATATTAAAAACACCCTTCACTAATGATTTCGGGAACAGGCGCCACCTTCCCGCGAGCCTAACGAATTTAATCAAATTCGGTCTGATTCAACATCGCTCGATGAGTTAATCGAGTTTTCCCAAAATCGACAAAGTTCATCAGTTTTAAAGTTTATTAGAAGCCCCGCATTAAAGTGGACTTGTAAAGGGGGAGAAGGGGGGGGGGTTCCCAATAATTTTTTGGTGAATTTTCTTCCTATTTAATTTCATTTTCATGTCTCTTTACATTAAAATATTTATAGGAAAATATCGAGTACAAAAATTAGATTCTCCGTTAAATTCAACATCTCCATTGCCTTCTTCTTCAAATCTAAATTCTAATTCTCCACTTCTATCTTCAACAGAATTTTTGATGAAAGACCCAAACCTAGAAATACATGTTCTTAGAGAGGAAAAAAATATAATAAATGAAGAAATTAAAGGAATCTTAGTTATTGACACTTTAATTGATACAAAAATGTAAGAGAGGGAATTAGTTTTTTGTTTAGGATTTGTTTGTGTAAGGGGAGAGGGGGGGGGGGAATTCGAGTTTAATTAAATTTTAAGTGATTCGATGGGATCAAAATGGGAGCAGTGAAGAATGCTTTAGGTCAAAAAGTTATTGGAATGCCAATCGCTCTAAAATAATGAGTAAAGTAAATTTAAATTTACTAAATTTCTCATTATCTGGGTGATTTCTAAGGTCAAAAAATAAAAGAATATTATTTGTACCTCTTCGATAAAATAATTTTTTTAATTTTTAGTTTATTAACACAATTACGCCAACTTTTAGAGACAGCAAAGAAATCCTCTTTTTTAATTAAATGGCATTATAGTTTGACAAAAAAATTGTAAAAATTTTAAATTTTATTTAAAAATCTTTTTAAAAAATATTTTTTTAAGAGAGCAAACAGCAGAAAATAAAAAGTTTTTATTCTTTTTAAAATTATTCGAAGAAAACAAAACAATTGAAATACTTGAAGAACATTTTTGTGATGATTCTTCTAATAAATATAATGAAAATAATACAATTAATTGTATTAATTATATTTTTAATGAAATTATGGAAAAAGGGCAAAATAATATTTTTATTTATTTTTTAAATACAGGTAAGGAGGAGAAGTAGAAATTTAAAAAGATTTTTCTAAAATACTTTTTAAATTAGTATATTTAGCTTAATTGAGAGATTTACTTTTTTAAATCAACATATCTCTTCCCTTCCCTCTAGGATTTTCTTGCAATCTTTTCTAATTTTTTGTCTCAGATATTTTGGAGTATCGGGATCTACTGTATTTATTCACTTACTCCATTATTTTGGGCATGTCCAAATTCTCAGAATTTTAAAATACATACTAATGGAACTCCAAATATTAAATCTTTAGCATCTGGGATTTTCAAAATAAGAATAATTTTTTGAAATTTAATTTTTTCTTTAATTTTAGATGGACAAATGAATACAAAATTTATTGAGAATTGCAAAGAGAAGAATATTCAAATAATGAATTTATGCAAATTTTTAGATCAGAAAATGATTGAATAATTTAAAGATTAATTAATATTTTTGTTTTAGATTTTGTGCCTTTTTCCACAAAAATTAATCCCTACATTCCTGCAAAAACAGAGTTGTTTAGATTTAGTTAAACAATTAAAGTTTATTTATTTTGAGATAAATTTTATTAGAATTTATCTATTTAATTAAAATTACAATAATTCATTTTTTATCCTCTCATGCCTTATACATACTATATGTACTATAATCAGATATCTCTTCATTTACTATGCAAGTCATATATATTCCAATTATATCTAATTAAATCCCGCAAAGATTTTTAGAAAAAATCCTGCATTCAGAACCCCCATCTTGGTAAATACCCTACTCTCTTGTGAATACACAACTTATTGAATTGAGTTACCCTATTGGACCTAGTGATCCTGGTACACATGCCCTATGTTGTCATAGGTTTGAAGTTCAGAAGCTTAGACTTCCTCTAGAATATAAATCTTGAGTCAAAGGTAAAAATTGATGGATTTCGACGAAATTGACGAAAAATTTTTCTTTAAAATCCCAAATAAAAATTTAATTGTATTTTGTTGAAAAATAACAATAGCCGCCCGTCTGTTGATGTACAGGTTTTTGGGCTTTAAGAAAATTGAATAATGATGAAGACTTACTTTTGGATCTATTCCCATCTCAAAATCAGTCCACCCAACTTTTATCAAAAAATTTTGCTTAAATTTTGACTCAAAATTAACCAATCTAAATTGAAAAATTCGAAAGCGATTTTGGTATCAAGAAGTTTCTTATAGTGTTGGGAATAAAACAAAAAAATTAACGATTTTCGTTAATTTCGAAGAAAGTTATAACAAAAAGAAAAAGTTCCCTTAATTTGCCGTACCCTGTATTATCCATACGTGGGATAATTTTTTGAATATCTTTTAATATTGTTTTGTTATAGAACATTTGTAAAATATTAACGAAATGATTTTTAATCCAAAACTTAAGCCGAAAATTAAAAAATTTGCACATTGGTGGTGATAATTCAAAAAAATTTTGCACGTGTCGCTGGAATCTTAATTAAACGCGAATTCGGCGAATTTTTAAAATTTAATGATCCTAATAAAAACATTTATTCTTCTAAATTAATTAACTCACAATTTTGCTTCTTGTTCACTTTTTTGTGTGTGCTGGATTTATCCCAGTCAAACGAATTTCCCACTTACGTTTTTAATACGTTAAGCTCGAAGCTTATGTTAATCTATAATTTACAAGGTTATGATTGGAGCTTCTATTAATAAATAAATTTTTGCGCTTCTCTAAATACATAAATAGTATCAAAATCAAATTAAAGTATATGGAGCTCTTGTAGTATGTATTTGCGGAGCTCCCTTAATAACTTCTAAGAGTTCGCCCGTCTCGCCTGAAAAAATCGAAATTTCGCCTAGGTCTGGCCGAAATTTCCATGTCTGGTTCCAGGTTCGGTTTTTATATCGCAATTCATTGCTGATTGCAAGTGAAAAAATCTAATTGTGTCAAGCCATAGTCATAATGATAGATGGAATCTAACATTATACTTTAATTAAATTTTGATACTATGTATGTATTTGGTGGAGATCGAAAACCAAAAACTTCAATAAAAGCTATTATCTAACCTCCAAAAAGACCTAATGGAACTTAAAAGTTTAACAGTCCTAATTTAGGTAATTTAATTAATGGAACGTTTATATAAATAGACAACAATTAAAAATATATCCATTTTTAAAACCAGCTGACAAATAATTTGTAAGAGATATATATTTTGAAATATTAACAGCTGTTTATAAATCGTTAAATAAAAATTTTAAAAAATATGTGTTCATTTAATCTTTCCCTTCTGGGCATTTTTCTTATAAATTTTTATTATTTCTTTATTAAATGCCCTCTATTCGACCACCAACAGAGAAATCGGTCTGCAAAACAATTGAACGAATTAATCAGGCAGCACAAAAAAGTGAACAAGAAGCAAAATTGTGAGTTAATTTATTTAGAAAAAAATAAATGTTATTAAAATTATAAAATTGAGAAATTTGGAAATTTCGGAACAGAATAAATATTAACATACAGAATTGAAGTTGAGTAAATTTAAATTAAGCAAAAGAATTTTGTCTAAGGTTCCATTCTAAAATTTTATTTACCTAATTGTTAACCTAGTAATAGGCTATGCCCTAAACTATTATCAACCCTAAAGGTAAGATGCTGCTATTCTTACGGACTTTTCCATTTTCTCTGCTCCTCTTTAGAACATTCGCATTACGAAAATTGAAAGAAATTTTCTTTTACTAGAAAACTAAATTTAACTTAAAATTAAGGATAAAATTTGTATTTTTATTAAAACATTTCAAAAAATCAGAGATTTTGGCTCTAAAGTCTATGCAGGCACTCAAAAATTTGATAAAAATTCCTCAGATTATGGCCGCCCACTTGTTGGAACAAAATCTCAAGCACGTGGAGTTCGTGCTGGGAATAGTATAATGCAAGAAGTTATATTTCTTTGTGAAATTATTGAAAGAAATGCTACTGGAACACCTCCAAATTGTTCGATAAAATTTGGACAACTTTTCTATATTTACAATCATTATTCTCAAAGTGTAAGTTTTTATTTTTATATACTAGAGGAAATTATATCGTGTATTGTATGTAAATAGTCTGTAACTTATCAAAAATTAATTTACTTTACTAAATTGAAAGATAAAATTAAGGATCATTTCATTAAAATGTCACTTTACGTATTGTTAATAGAGAACAATTTCTCTTACATATGTATGTATTGCCAATTTTCTATTGTTTAATTTTAAATTCTCATTCGTGATAGTCAATATTTTACGCCTTTATCTTCCCTCCCTCTTAATATTTCTAATTTAAAGAATCAATTTAAATTGTAGTTAGTTGGAATGCTAATTAGAGCTCGAAAATATGGTTTGGTGGATTTTGAAGGTGAAATGCTTTACCAAAAACAGGATGACAACAAAGAAGTTAAACTTTTAAAATCTGTGGATGAAATAAGAAAGAGCATTGAATACTCAGGAGATCCTGTTAATTGTATTAAAATAAAGGATAAATAAAATACAAAAAACTTTTTCTGAAACAAATTCAAAAAATGACTCACAATCAGATTAAATGTACGTCGACAAATGTTGGCTACTTTAGTGTAGCAACAAACTATGGGTATGGAAATTAAGGAATGGAACAAATTTTGATAAATTGTATGTCATTCGGAGTTCTGCGAGTTGAATGGCTCCATAATCTAGGAGAGGTCTCAACTACGAGCCGAGAATGCTCAAAAAGAAAGTGAAAAAATTATAGGATGATAGCTCATTTGGAAGAGATTGAGCTGAGTTAATCGGCAAGTATAACTTGATTGGACAATGGGGGTTTCCAAACCGAACAATTAAAAGTAAACAACAAAACCTGGTACTTTATGGATATGTCACCCCCCCCCTCCTATTTTGAGTCTCAGAGTTTTTCTTAAACGTAGAAAATGGTAAGAGATTATTTTCTTCTCCATGTCAATCATTTTTCTTTCTTCAAACAAAATAAGTGAAATGTGGTAAATGTAGAAACGAAATGAGTGAAATTTAAATACAAAATATGTGAAAAGGCAAAATAAACAAGCAAAATATGTACTTGAACAAGAAAAAAATGATTGACATGTAGAAGAAAATAATCTCTGACCATTTTCTACGTTTAAGGAAAACTCTGAGACTCAAAATAGGAGGGGGTGACATATCCATAAAGTACCCAAAACCTTTTATGTATGTCTGACGGGTGGGAGAGAATTTGGAAATAAATAATATAAAAATAAAATGTTAATTAAATAAAATTAAAGTCTTTTCACTATAAAAAATACTATTAAAATTTTACTCAACAAAATAAATAAACATTTTTTATTTATTTTCCTAAAAACAATTTACAATATTCAAAAAAATAGCCTATATTTAACATTTAATTTTCACAAAATTTCTTTTAATGATGTAAATAATCGGGATCATAATATTTTCCATAAGGGTCTAAGAAAGTGTCAGAGAAATGCATTGAATTATACCAATGCTCTTTCCACCAATATTCATACCTGAAAATTTTAATTTAGCATATAAAGATTTTTATCTTTTACCATCCTTCCGGGACAACCAAAGGAACATCTGAATACTTCCAGCCAGCGATCGGGTCTTTCCCTTTTATATATCCATAAGTATGAAAAGCTTTCAAAACCTTCAAAATAAATAAATTTTCTTTAATTAAAAATTATTTTTTGTTCACTTCGTGCATCATAACACGACGAAAATGCATTCCGTCGGGCGGGTAAATATATAATTCTGATACTTCAGTATCTAATTGATCCAAATCCCCAAATGCTTTTATAAACAAAGGTATTTTGTAGGTACAACTTGAAATTGGAAAAAAATTAAATTAAATATAAAATAAAAATAGTTAGGGGTAGGAAAGGTAATTCGAAAAGCAAAAAGCCAAATTTATTTCTTTTTAGCAATGAACAAAGCCTATGACGAAGAAGTTCTTTGGGGGGAGGGGGGGTAATTATTTAATAAAATAAACAAACAAAAAGCGATGCCGATTGTGTTCAGTATCAGATCGAGCCAAAGCCGTCCAAGTCGCAAGAACATCCCCAGCACTATGCCATTGAACATTATCCATTTTTAATTTAAAAATATCATCCAAAACAATATCCATATATTCTGGTTCTGTCCAATCATAAGTTAAAATATAAGAATGACGCCTTTTAAAATTAATTAAATTTAAAAAAAAATAAAAATAAAATTACTTTAATTCTTTAATTAAATCTTTATAAGATTCTTTAATTGTCATCAAATATTGTCCATCAACAGCAGCAATTTCATAAGGCTAAAAAATATTTTTTTGAAAAAAAATTAATTAATTTACATCTCCTCGTTGTTTAATTTTTTCCAAAGATTTTGAAATTGGAACATCCAAATAAATCATTAAATGAGGGTAAAAAGGGATTTGCTGCAGAGATAATTTCCTCATAAAATGATAATATTTAAAAACTAAAAAAATTTAAAAAAAAAAATAATTTTTAAAATTAAAAATTAATACATTCTGGACTAATCCAATCTTTTTCACGCATTGCATTTACAAAAACAAAATCACTGTAAAGTGACCTCTCAAGCACAACTCCTTGACCTAAAAAATTTAAAATTAATAAAATATTGTGATTTCGGACATTTTATTAGGTAAAAGTTTAAAAACTCTCATTTTTCTCATTTAGATTTTAAAAAGTTAGTGGAAAAATAAACATGAATTAAATTTAAATAATTAAAAGATCTATAAATTACAAATTTATTTTACTTAAAACAATTCTAACAATAAATATTAAAAGGTTCAGAAATTCTGGTTTGTAAATTAAGTTTTTATTGGAAGTATAAAAATAACAATTAATTGTAAGCTAATAAAATAATTGAAAAAATACCCGTATTCAAAATATGGGCCAAAGCATTCAAGTACTGATCAAACCGGCATTGATAAATAGTATTTTGCATAACAGCAGTTTGATCACTTGCCGGATCTTTATAAAACATAATTTCATCGGGAACTCGAAATCTTTTTGGAAACTTGAAAAGAAAATTATTTTTTTATTGATTTTTGAAAAAAAAAACAAAACTAAATGATGAAATTTCCTCATATCATTTCCATATCTGTCAATCAAAATTTCATTCATAGAAAATGAAGGCATATGATAAAAGCCTAAAGCATCAGCTAATTGACTGGCAAATTCTGACTTTAAATTTTATTTTTATTTTCAAAAATTACAAAAAAAAACCTTTCCAGACCCAATATTTCCCTCAACAATTATAAGTTTCGAATTTTCATGTCGTCTAGCAAAGCCCGGATCAAAAGGACACAATCTAGCTGGAAAAGGCTTTTCTTTGTAAGGCCAAGGTTCTGGATAATCTTCTGGAAGTTTAAATAAATGTTTGTCAACAATTGTTCGCTTTTGATTAATTTCTGGCAAAAATTGTGAAGAACAAATTGTTGAGGATTGTAATGTTGAAAATAAACATTGACGAGTAAAATTTGCAAAAACAATTTTATGTGCCATTCTTAGCTCTTAAAAAATTAATTTAAAAAAACAAAAGAAAAATATAAAAAAATTCAACGAAATTATTTTATGCTATAATGGCATAAATAATCTGTAAAGAAACAGATGAAAATAATTAATTGACTTGAATTATAGTATGTCAAAAAGTCAGCAAGACTCTTTTGTCTTTACATTTATTTTCAGTCTCAGCACAAACTAGAGACCGGCAAAATCGCATTTGCGGGATCCCGCGGGATAAAATTTTTTTCTAAATCTTTGCGGGACGGGATCCCGCGGGATAAATCCCGCAAAATCCCGCACTCCCGCAAAATCCCGCATTTTAAATTTGCGGGATCCCGCGCGGGATTGCGGGATTTTCCCAAAATCGTTGAAATTATCAATATCTATTGAAAAAAAAATCAATTTCCTAATCATTAACGAGTTCTTAACGGGTTCTCAATTGTATCATACTTCGTACCAAATTACGAGTAAATGTTGATACAAACGATAATCACTTATCCCAGGTCCCCAATTATCAAAAAATAATAAGGGGCAAGCTCATACATATTGGTCGGAAAATTCAAGTATACGAATTAGAATAGCTTGAGCTTTAACAAAGGGGATCAATCATCGTGATAAAACAATTTGGGCAATTTTGTTTTGATGAAATAGAGATGATTCATGTGCGGCAGGCGAAAATTCTGGAAGGCCAAGTATCCAAATTCCAAACTTTTTCAGCGCCGCAGGCAAAAATTTCGAGATTTTAGAAGGCCAGCGAGTCAAAATTCTCCTTTTTCTAGCGCCGCAGGCGAAAATTTTTTGAGTTAAGAAGGTTAGGAGCCAAAATCCTCCATTTTCCAAAAATCCCGCAAAATTCAAAATATTTTGCGGGATCCCGCGGGATAAAATTTTTTTAAAATCTTTGCGGGACGGGATCCCGCGGGATAAATCCCGCAAAATCCCGCATTCCCGCAAAATCCCGCAAATCGAAAAAAGTGCGGGATTGCGGGACGGGATCCCGCAAAATCCCGCGCGGGATCCCGTCCCGCGCCGGTCTCTAGCACAAACCTAAACCTTTAGGCTTGCTTGACAATAGAGTCTCGGCGACTTAGCATCGAAACGCCTTTTTTTATGTCATAACTTTTTTTATTTCGATCATTTCCAGAAATTTTCTTTATCAATTAGAATCTATATTTGTTTTTATTCTTTTTATTAACTTTATGAAAGGATCCGATCATTTCTTAGAAAGTTACACCCGCCTAAGTATGTTAAATCACGATTATTCGCAGTTAACGGCTCCTAACTTTTTTGAAAGACGGTAAAACTAAACAATTTCTATGAAAATATAACCAGAACATCCAGGGCTTTTAATTAAAGCAAAAATTATTTGAATTGATTTAAAAACAAAAAAGTTATGCCCCAAAAACTTTCGTTTTTATGCCATTTTTTGAGACTCTTTCGTTACCTGGTAGATTTTAGCCTAAACCTTTTGAAGCCCAAACCTTTAGGTTTTTGGACATTTGAGTCTCACAACGCCCCCAAATTTTTTTTTATTTCTAGCTTTTTTAATCGTTGTTCTTCTTAATTAGTGTATAAAGATGAACCAGCACTGATATTCTGGTAATAGAAATCCCACAAATTAAGAATCACATAGATAATTTTTGAATTTTTTATGAATTCCTTGGAGAATTTCATTCCTGGATGGAATAGAAGCGATGTTGGAATTTCGTCAACAACAGTCTCAACCCAAACGGCTCTCTTTAGGGCCACAAATTCAATAAGTGAGATGTCGATTGGCGACTCTGAGTCGACCTTTTCCCTTTTAAATTCTCGCAGACAGTAGAGCGCTTAATATGAAGTAAAGCACAAATTACTGTATTGTCCTACCTATTATTTTTATTAAATTTTTTATTTTTCAGTCCGTTTTTCTCACGACCGTTTTTTCAGACCCGGTATACCGGAAACGGGTATTTTGATAAATCCGGTTTTTCAGGGTTTCCTTGTTTAATAAAAAAGTGAAAAAACTTTTGTTTTTTATCCAAAAAAATACATAAGGCAGTTTGAAGGTGTCGAACTCTGTTTTTCATTTACTTGAAGATCCATAAGAATTAAAATTTTTAATCCTGATTATTTTATTGTGATTATTTATTTAAAATTATTGTTAGACCATTGAACTACTTTTCTTTAATTTTATTTGCTAAATTTGTATTCTGCTGCAATAAGTAAAAGACCACTTAAATAATATAGAATATATACAAAAACACAACTTTTGCTCTAAAAAAATTTATTTTAAATTCTTTTTTTTCTCTTCAGCGGTCAGTCGAAGACCCTTTAGCCTTTCACCCACTTGGAAAATCTAATCGAGACAACAAAAAAAATATTTTTACGCTCAAAAGCTTTTCTCAATATTTTATTTATGTAATAAATATTTTCACTTATTTTCTTCAAACAAAAATAAATTAAAAATAAATAAATAAATTTAATATGAAAATAAAAATAATGGCTATTTTCCCAGTTTTATTTTTTGCTGTTTCTTTCCCTGATTATATTCAACCACAAATGTTTGACCCTTATTTTGGTATTTATTCATTTAACAATCCTTCAATGAATTTATATAACCCTTACATGTATCCCATTGGTTATGGACATTATTATTCGTCTTCTTCTTCTGATTGGCAACCATGGACGGGAGGAGGATTTAATAGAGGAATTAATACGCCAAGTATTGGCTCTTTTAATCAAATAAATCCTTTTTTAAATCCATTTTACCCTAACAACAATAATTTAATTAATTCTGGAATATTTGGTTTACAAACACCTCCTCCAACACCTCCCTCAAATAATAATCCTTTTGGAAATCTTTTATCTGCATTAATTGGTCCTCCACCTCCTCCACCTCCGCCCCCTCCTTCTCCACCTACACTTTCTCCACTACCAAATTTATTTCAACCAAATTTTGGTGAAACAACAAATGGAAATAATAATAATATAGCATCTTCACTTTCATCCCCTTTTGGAAGAAAATTCCGTTCAAGATTGGGAAGTGGAGGAGGTCCGTCTTCAGGTTCTGTTAATATCCTTTCTTTATTAGTCTTAAAGTGCTCTCTGACTTCGGGAATGCCACTATTCCTGATAATAAAAACATTTCTCCATCCCCAAATAATCCACCCTTTAATTTTTCGAACATTTTGAGGAAAAGGAATTTCAAATAAAATTATTTTAAATTTTTCTTTAATTTTGATTAGATGCACTTTTGAATTTACGTGATTTAGAAAGACAATCATTATTATCTATGTCAAATAGTGGGAATGCTGGTGGATGTTCGGGAAATAATAGTGGATTTTTATTTGGCGATAGAGATTGTTTAGATTCAAAAAAGAATAATAAAAAACAAAAATTTTAAATTTTCTTAAAATTTATTTTGATAAAAACTTTATTAAAATATTTTGGTAAAAAAATAAAAGAATTAGAGATTGGACTTTTTATTTGACCGAAATATTAACTAATTAAATTTAAAATTATTTTTAAAATTTATTAAATTAATTAAATACAATAAATTGATTATCATTATTTTTTTGATTATTTAAAAAATATGGATTTTCTTTTAACTATGCCAAAAGAAATCAAAATGCAGAAGCAAAAGAACATAAAGCAGATTTTAATTGTTGTGGTGATTCTTCTTTAGATGAATATGCGGGTGGTGGAGGGCATAAAATTGGTTTTTGTTTAAACGAATTATTTACTAGAATTTTTGGAGGTGAAGGAGGTGCCGGCATTTGCCAGCCAATTCCATTTGAACACGGTCCAAAGAAGCGTTGCATTGAAGGTGGAAGAGGCCTAAGAGGTGGTGAACGGCCAAATGATGAATTACTTAAAATTAATTTAAATATATTTATGTATGGTATCACGACTTTTGCGCCGAGAACATTTGCGCCGCGGCGCAAAAGTCGCTCGGCGCACAAGTCGCGGCGCAAAAGTCGCGGCGCATAAGTCGCGGCGCAAATGTTCTCGGCGCAAAAGTCACGGAACCTTTATGTATATAAATAATCCTCTTTATTAGACTCCCCTTAATTAAATTAAAAAATTTTTATAATAAGTTTCTCTCTCCCTTTAGTTGAACTACAAATTCTCTCTAAAATACATCAAATCTCAACTTAAAACTAACGGTGTATCAAAACAAATTTTAAAAAATGAGAGAAACGAAAATTCTGTGAAAATCCTACAAATTAATTAAACACCCCCTTGTTAACAATGAGTTATTAAAATTAAAATTAAATTAAAAGAGAATAACAAATAAATATTATAGTAATTTTAATACTTATTTAAATTCAATCCATTATTTAATAATAAAGGTGTTTGAGAAAAAGAACAATTCTTTTCTTGTTGTTGAAGAAGTAATATTGTAGATTCATCCAACCGAATATCATAATTATTTAAAGGTTTTGATTTATGACTAATACATAAATAAAATCCAAGAAGAGCACAAATAATTGATGGAACAATAAAAGCAAATATTACAAATAACATAACAATTTTTAAATTATTTTTGAAATATATCCAGTCAATGAGATCTCTTGGGGCTAAAAAATTGCATATAAAATTGAGGATAAATAAAATATTGGTTTGTTAAAAAGAATTTTATTTCAAAAAATGATAAATTAGCAATCTAATATGAGACTCCTATAATTAGGCTTTTTATTTTTAATTTTCGACAACCGGTTAATTTGTATCCAAGAAAAGAGAGATATAGACGGGGATTTAAGATCTATTAAATGAAGAAGTGTAAGGCAGGCGGTAGAGCGTGAAAACGCCTAGAAATAACTACCATGATATCACAGGATTGCGCGTGACAAGGGCCTAACTTTTACCTTTTTTTCCTACTATGATTTGTTGCGTAATTTCTTTTTAGTGATTCTTGATGCAGTATAAGCTGAAAGAAGGCATGGACTTGAAATTAGTTTAAAAGAATGAAAAATAAAAAAATAGTTTTGTTATTATGTGTTTATTATTAAAGAGATAAACTACATATGTACATTGTACATATCTCCTCTCTCTCAATTTTTCTATATTAAATTTATTTTAACTATTTTTAGCGGCAATTCTTTCTTTTTTTTCAATTTAAAAATAAAATTGTATTTATTATATTTGTGCTTAAACTAAATTGGGTTAACTTTAAATTGAAAAAGAGAAATCAATTCTTTTTTAAATTTTTATCAAAAGTTTATATATTCGAGGAACTATTTTAAATTCAAAATAAGTTGTCTAGAAATTTAACAAAAATATTTTTTTATTAAATTATTTTAACATTTTCTTTCTTTATTTTTTAACAACCTAATTGCTGTAAAGCATTACAACATCGATGATCACTATTTTTGAGAGATTCTAAAAGTGCTGGACAGGGGGACTGGAAAAGATTTTTGAAAAAAGATTTTTTAATTTAAATAACTACTTTATTTTTATTTCCTCCTTCAATTCCTAACATAAATTGTTTTATATAATCTTTACACCAATATGGATCAATTCCTCCATCACACTTTTTAGGATCAAAAAAATTTAATTTCTTTGTTTGAGACAATCCAACATCTTTTCCTTTAAATTGTTCAAACTGCTAATAAACAAATAAAATTTAAAAAAATTGTTTAATTAAAAAATACTTGTTTTTCCTCTTTATTTTCATTAAAATCCCCTGCCATAACATCTTGTTGACCTATTTTTGTTCTCCAAGGCCAATACATTTGTGATTTGTTAACACCTCCCTGCTCTATTGGATGCCAATTTTCTTGATGTTTTCCTTGTTTAGTTTTCCAATTTTCTAATGCTTCGTACTAAAAATATAATTGGATATAGCCAAAGTTACTTCTCCTAATTTTCCTAATCTATCATCACCAAAAACACTTAGAAAATTAAAACAACTCCTTACTTGTGGATTAGCTACAGGTATTGTATTTTCAATTCTCGGATAAATATTGTCTTGTCCCTCATATGCTGTTCCTTTTAAAGAGGAAATTTTAATATTATTATTATTTTGTTGTTGATTAAAAGGCGAAACAATGGGCTTAGATATTTGACGTTTAAATTTAAATGAATGTTCTTTTAATGATAATAATGTATTATTTAGATTAATTAATGATAAAATATTTGGATTTGTTGTTTTTTGATTTTCTAATGATTTTACTAAAAAAAGATATTATTTTTCAACTGATTTTTAATTTAACTTTGTTTTTGTTTTCCTCGTTTCTTTATTCTCTTAACTCTTTCTGCAAAGGATAAAGGTATTCTACTAAAATATGGATTATTGTCATATTGAGGATATAATGAAGAAGAAAATTGTAAAGATTGTTCATTAAATGTTGGAGGACAGTTATTAAATATTAAATCTTTATTTAAATAAGATAATTGCTGTTGTTGTCTTAATTTTTGGTCAAATTGGTTAGAAAATGGATAATTTTGATAATTATTTAGTGGATTATTGTTATAATTTTGAAAATAATTTGTAGATTGAGGAAAATAAGGAGAATATGTTTGTGGAGGTAATGAACTAAATGGAGGAATAAATTGATTTAAATTATTATCCAGATAGTCCATTGGTGGTGAAATTCCACCAAAGGAAGGAATTGAACCTAAATTTAATTTTTAAAAATGAATTAAGAAAGTACATATTTATTACTAACTGAATTTTTCTCCTTAAAATGTTTAAATGGCAAATAGAGATTTTAAATTCATACAAAAATATGTTGCACAATCCTTGTGTGGTGGTATTTCCTAGGAATTTCCCACCCTAGTGGCCAAACCAAATTTAAAAAAGCCTACACTAAACTATACATTAAACAAAAATAATTATTTTTACCATATTTTGAACATTGAAATCGTGCACATGTTTTTGTTAAATCGCAAATAGTTCTCGAATAAGGTATACCCCCATATGGAGCATTTATTGGTGTTAAATCGGTAAAAAACTTTGAAAATATTTTTTTAAATAAAAAAATCTACCAATAATTCAATACATCCAATTCCAAAAAACGATTCATCAACAGCAAAATTAGCAACAATTGTAGAGTCTATAAAAGTCCCTCTAGGCTTAATTAAAATGCCTCCTCCAATTTCGCGTATTGGAGGTCTACCGAACTCAAAACGTGCTGGAGTGACTGAAACAAAAGAACCAGAAGGATTCTCAATTATTGCCATTTCTGTTGACTTTTTTTTTGAAAGAAAAAAGATTTTTTTATAATTTAGAAAGACTTACAATTAATCGAAAACCTATTCCTGAAAAATAATAATATATTCCTTATTATTTAAATAGACAAACCAATCCAAAAATGTGGTTCTCGAAATATAGGTTCATCAAAAAATCCATTCAATGGAAAATTTGGGGTTCTTGGAAAGTTTCTCATATTGACAATAAAATTAACTAATCCACTAAATTACATATTTAAAAAATATTTAAAAATTAATTTTAAAAAATTTATTTGTCACCTACCTACAATTACTATGCCAACTAGAATAAAAACCAGTAGATTCATCATTAAAAGAACAAATTTGTGAATTAGCTATTCCATAATGTGGTAACAATAAATTATTTACTTGAAAAATATTTTTAATTAATTATAAAAATATATTTACACGGGGGTTGGATACGCCCGATTTTTTAAACCCGAAAATTTTTGTGAATTTTTAAAATTCTTTTTAAATTATTTCAAGATAAAACTGGTATTTAACTAAACCTCAAAACCGAAAACCGGGGGTTAATAACTGGTAGTGAATAACCATAAGATTTACATACCTTCAAAAATAGAAACAAAGACTAAAATAATTTTAAATAATTGATAAAACATTTATTTATTTTAATAAATATTTTAATTCATTTTTAAGCTTAGGAGATTTTAATTGTCTAAAAATAATAAAAGTTCGCTTAAAAAATAATTAAAAATAAATAAAAATATTTTATAATTAAGTTTATTTTTATTGTTTATTTACTTTTATATTTAACTTAAAAAACTATTTTTTCTCTTTTTTTGCTTAAACGTGTCAGCAACCTCTTTAAGAAGACACTTTTTTGTTTTGTTTTTTCTTGGATTCTTTGTTTACTTAATTTATTTGTTTAATTTATAAATTAATCAGAGAAATCTTAAATTGATAAAAATAAAAGTTTTTTATTGCATCTGACAAAATTATAATTTTACTTTACATTTTTATTAGAATTTTTTAAATTTTAGTAAACGAGATCTACTTTATTAACCATTTCAATTACCTTACCGCATAATGACTCAATTGCCAGCAAAAATTACCTCTCCAACCAGGTAATTTTTCCAAACAGGTAACACTAAAAAGTATTCACCGCCTCCGATCATGCCGTATTTCCTCTGAAAACATCTCAGGAAAGTATACATTCAACTGAAAGAGATAATTAGAAGTATAATTATGATTAGAAGTCACCGAAAACAAATAAAGCATTTTTATATATTTTCAATTTTGTTTTATAAAAATTTTAAATTAAATAAAAATTAATTTTTTTTATTTATTATTTACTTTTTCTTTTCCACCTTTTCTCAAGTTAATTTCGACTGGCTCGTCATTAAATATATACTACGATGATGATACTTTACACATTTTGTTTTTTTATTATGTTGAAAAGAGAAAAGATAATTGAGGTCCTCCAAATGAACATTCAAATCATTCTTTTCTTTCTCACACAACTTTTGAGGAAAAAAAAATTATTTAAAAATCTACATTTGCGAAGACAAAATTAAGGAAAACATTTTTGGATAATACATACCAATTACTTTTTATATGTATTTATTTATTTGGATTAGGTAACTTATTTACAACAATTATAACTTAAAAAGTAAAATATTCGCTTCTGATTTAGTCTTAATTAATTTATTAAAATGATTTTTCGATTATTTTTATTAACTTTCTCATATTCTTATTTAATAAATGCACAGGTAAAATAAAATCTAAATTAAAAGAAAAATTTAAAATGAATTAGCTTAAAATTAAAAATTAATTAGCTAAAAAATCTCCCGAATTTTTAATTAAAAATTTAATATACCTACCTATTTATTCTCTAAATTGTCTAAAGTTTCTAATACAGAAAATCAGCTTAACAAAACATTGTGGACTTCCACCAAATATAAATGAATTACCTGATTTTGCCCAAGATGAATTAAATTCTGTTTGGTTATTATTAAATAATTTCCACAAAAATCTTTTCTTTTTTTAATTAGGAAAGATTATATTCCCGGAAATAAATGTGAAAAAGAAATGCAAATAACAGAGGATATTTTAGCTGTTTTAGTTACTTTTGAAAAAGAATTACAAAAAGAAATAAAAGAGGAAGATAAAACAAAAAATATTAAACAAAATTCTAAACAAATTTTGAATAATTCTAATAAATTAAAACAAGAATTTGATATCCCTAATAAAGGTTATTTTTGACAAAAAATTTTATTTTAAATTCTCTAAAAAGGAAGATCAACAAAAAGGCGAAATCCTGACAGTTATGGAGAGGAAGGAAATTATAATACAGGGAAAAATGAATATATTGTAGATGAAGAAGAAAAGGGTGAAATTGAAGAAGAGGAAATTGAGGTAGGGAAGGAAGGAGGGGAAGTGGAGGGAAGGGAAGAAGGAAAATTAATTAAATTTTAATTTATTTGAAGCAACAAGATCGTCTCAGAATTAAAGATTTGCCTTTTTTGAGGGGTGCAAGTCCAGATGTAATTGATTTATTTCGAAAAGTTATTGATGATCCAGAATTTCCTACAGAAAAACGGAGATTGGAAGAAGTAAAAAGAATTTTTGTTTTTTAATTTTTTTATAAAATTAGATTCAATTGCTGGCAGTTTCTTACTTGAATGCCCGCCAATTAGCTAAATTCGATGCATGGGCAACAACGAGAAGAAAGTGAGTTTTGTTGGGAGGAATTAACAATTCTTAAAATTATTTTAATTCCTCTCAGACATTTATCTTAAAGAATACCTTTCCTAATAGAACTACACTTCCTAACAGAAACAAAAATGAAGCGATAACTGAAGTGATAATTTAGTCAAGGCATAATTTTAAGTTTATGTACTCGAAGGAGTCAAAAAATCTCCCTAATCCTATTAGGGGGAATGAAAAAAAGCAATTGTTGTTTTATTAAGAAAAATATGGAAAATTTGTTTTGGAAAATTAAATTATATTTAGTAATTCTGTAAAAAAGGGGAAAGGGGGGGGGTAGTTTAAAAATAAAACCGGGAGTGTCTGAATATAAAAAATATTTTTAGAATTCATAACTAAGACACAGAAGATAATGAAGATGGAAAGGAATAAAAAACCAAGAGAAATTTTAAATATAGTCTCAAATTATTTAATAATAACAATAATAAATTCATAACATTTATTTTTAAAAAAGCGTGCGAAAAAATGAATAAACAAACAAATGTGCATTTTTTATTGCACGCATTTTAATTAAAAATATTATATTTTAATATATTTTAGTAAAAACTGTCTTTTTTGTAATTAAACGACTGGGATAAAAAGCCACTGACAAGAAAACTTAAATTTGAAAACTTTTATTTTGTTTATGCTTGACTTTCATCATCGCCAGCATCATCTAATGGGCCTAAAAACAAAAAATAATTTAAAATAATTTTTATTTTTTGTTTCAATTAAAAAATCTTTAAAAATTAATTCAAATATTTTTTCGTATTATTTTACACTGCAAAACTTGAGATATTTTTAATCTGGTTATAAAAGAAATATCATAGCAAAATCAAACCAGTTGTAAGGGTTAAAAATAAAATTAATATTATTTTTGTTGAAGATAAACACAAAAAAACTAAAAAATATCCTCATACCTAAAAATCTTAAAGACTCCCAAAAACATTCTAATACTCCCTCCCTTCCAAAAAATAAAAATAAAAAAGAATTTAAATTAATTTATATTAAAAAACAAAGGAAGAAGAAATCTACAAAACTTCCAAAAAAATAAAAATAAATAAAAAGGGAATTATAGAAAACACAGCAAAAATATACTATATTAATTAAAAAATATTTAATTAAAATCATCCACAGTTGTCGGTCTATCAATTTCTTCCATAAAAGACTCGTTTATTTCTTCTTTAATATCACCTAAAATTCACACCAAATAAATAAGGATTTAGGAAAAAAGAAAAATTAGAAAAGCACCCAAACAAACAAAAAAATTTCAAAAAAAATCTTACCTTCAATATTAAGCGTTAATTCAACATTTGCTTCCCCAGCATCATTTTTTATGTTACAAGTATATGTCCCACTATCTTTTGCTTTGTAGTTCTAAAAATATTAAAAATTTTTTAGATTAGATTAATTGTTAGAGTTTTCAGACAACAATTTAGCATAAATGGACTTCGAGCCGGCTTTCCAATTTTCCTATTTACAATCCCAGATTTGTTTTTATTCAAATCCCGGTAAGAACAGTCCAAATTTAATATATTTACATAAATATCCTGTTAATTAAAGACCTATTTTTTATTATTTATTATAATTTTTATATTGTATTAATTTAGGGAACCCTCAACAAACCTTTAATTCCAATTGAGCAGTGTATGTATTTGCACCTCCATCAGGAGTCAAACCAAATTTAATTCTGCTAGATTCTTTCATCTTTTTGCCTTTTGGATTAAGCCAAATAACCTCAGGATTTTGGTCGGCCTTAAAGAAATTTTTAAAAAATATTTTTATTTCTTAAAAACAAACTTGAAAGCCAATATCAAAAACTATTGCGGGATCACCAGAATCAGAGGTTTTCTGCAAAATTTGTGGTTTTCGAGTGAAAGTAGGCGCTCCTTGGGGAACTAAAAAATAATAATATTAGATTTTTAATGGCTAAAAAATAAAAATTAATTTTTAGAGTAACTAAATACAAATTATAATCTTGATCTATCAACTTATTGCAACCCAAATTAAATTAGAAATAACATTTTCAAAGATATAAATATAAAAAATTATAATGGAAATTTTTTGAAAAATAACGATATTCTTCTCTTCGATGAAAATTTTTCTTTTATCGATTTTAGGAAAATTAGGGTTGGAAGGACTACACAGTTAAAATTAGAACTGGTTATTGTCTCTGGCTAACAATAAGCTTTAATCAATCAATAATTTTTTACAAAAAATTTCCAAAAGAAAACCTTCAAATTTAACAGAAAACGTAGCAGTTAATTTTCCAGATTCATTTTTTGCAGTACAAACAAATTGCCCAGCATCTTTTTCCTTTTTTGGTTCAACAATTTCTAATGCCGCATAAAATTCGTGATTTCCGGTTTCTTTCAAAATAATTTTGTATCGATCAGATTCAGCAACAATTTCATCTCCTTTTTGCCAAACAAAAGTTGGTTTAAGAATTGATTTAGCTTTAAATTCCATAATCATAACACGGCCATCATCTCGAGAAGAAATTTGTGGTTTTTCAATAAAAGTTGGAGAACTAAAGCCTAAAAAATAAAAATATTTAAAGAAAATATCAGCATATACACCAGTTAATTTTAAATTGAAATTAGCATTTCCTTTCCCAAATGGATTTACAATTGCACATCGATAAGCGCCAGCATCACTGTCAGCCAAATCCTAAAGGATAAAATTTTTGGATTTTAATTTCTTCTTAGAAAATAAACAGAAAATTGTTATTTAAAACTTTTAAAGAACAAAAAAGAAAAACAAATTTGAACGTTAAAAAATAACCTTAATTTGTAGAATAGATGAATAAGCGTCAGTCCCTCTATTTTCAAGACGAAAAGAAAATCTTTCACTTGATTTGAGTTCATTCTAAAAAATTTCTAAATTATTTCAATAAAATCGGCAAAAAAATATCAAAATAAAAATTAAACTTTTTACATTTTCATAAAACCATTTAATGTCCGGAACAGGTTGAGCTTCCAAAAAACATTCCAATTCAAGTGATCCATCATCATTTTGTCTGGCAACAGGTTGTTGGGGAAAATGGGGAGCTTTCCCTTCTGGCATTTTTATATTTTGTTCTGCCATAACAAATAAAAATTATATTGAAGTTCAAAAATACGAACAAATAAAACAAGAAAATTGGGAAGCAAATCGAGATTTTTTCGGAGAAAATTTTTAAAAAAATCAGAACGCCAAGGAATTGCAATGCAGGAAATTTTAAAAGATTTTTTTGATAACCGATTAAAATTTAAGAAGATACGAGTATCTGATAATGAAGAAATGTGTTTGGGAAGGAGAACGGGTTTGTGACATTTTAACACTTAAATCCCAACCCTACTAATCATGTTAAAACAAAAACATAGTAGAGAGTCCGAAAATTACTATATATTTTTGGATTTCTTAAAATAAATAAAAACAAATTTAGTTATTGAAACAATACTTTAATTTAGAGCTGACATCTTTAAAAAAAAACCCCTAAATTATAATCTTTTTAAGGATCTACTTATTTTAAAAGGAATTCGGAAATAATAAAGATTAATTAAATAGATGAAAAAAGGGAGGAATAATAAGAAAAATATTTATTTATTTTTTTGGGGTGGCATGTAAATTAAGATAAAGAAAAAAGGAGAAAAGTGTAGATGGATTTTTCTATTGTTAAATAAAAAAGTTAAAATAAAAGAATACATAGAATATATTTATACATTAAATTTAAAAAGAGAGCATCCCCCTCCCTATGGCACAAATTTGATAAAATTAATTTAATGAAAGTTTTTCATTATTGATTGTTTTTTTAATTTTATTAAAATTAAAGAATTGTTTGTAAAAAATATATAAAAATTGGAATATGTAGTAAATATGTGAGGATTGAAATATAATATAATTGATAACAAAAAAAATTATGGATAAATATTTAGTATACCGTAAAATTGAAAAATACTAGATCATTCTTTTTTAAAAGATCTCTGAAGCAACCCCTCAATTATATTTTTAATAGCTTAATGAACAGAAATTTTGTAAGTATGTAGGTATATTTAATAGAATTTTTAAAGAAAAATTAATTTTACAAATTTCTGACTATATTTTATCTTCTACTATTATTTCTTAAACAGTTTTTAGTTCCTAAAACATGAATTAAAGCTTGATGTGAATGTTGGAATTAGAGGAAATGGATTGAAAAACTTGAAGAAAATGGATGGATGCAAAAAAACTTTAATTGTAAAGTAAATTTAAGAATGCCCAGTAAGTGAACCAACTGCTAATATTGAAAACATCCACCCACCTACGTGCAACGGCTGGTAATATTTTTATAGCGATTTGAAAAAATAGTGGAAGTGATTGGTCATACAAATAAGAAGAGAGAGAATTATTAAATAATTGTTTTTAAATTAGCTAATTTTATAAAAGATTTAAAATAACAAAAAACCCCTATTGGAAATTTTCAAATGGGACAGTAAAAGATTTAATGTGTCTAATCTAATTTGTTTGTTCTCAGATATTTTGAGAACAAGAAAAAAAATATAAATTATTTTATAGAAAGATATAAAATACTTTTTAAATTTTTTTAAATAATTTTCATAATTTTATTTCCTTTAAATATATCTAGTGAACGAAAAGTAATGATGAAAATGAATGGGACCAGCATTAGTTGATGAGGATATAAATAAATGAATGTATGTGTGTGTACATTGTAATTTTAGCAAGAAACTTCTCTTCTTTCTCAGTTATTTAGCACTTAAAAGATTTATAAAGAAAAAAAGCAAAAGCTGCTTGCTGATCGGCGAATGGTTAGGTTAAAGCTTTGGTATTTAATGAAACGAGCAAAACAAAAATATAAGAGAAGACAAGAATGTGCTTAAAAGATAAATAATGAATTGATCAATCTTAAATTCTCTGGATATACTAAGCTATTTTTGAGTATATAAAAATAAATATTTCTAAAAGTTCGGAATGTTGATTGAATATACATACATTTTGTAAAAATTATAAAATAGAAAGATTTGAATTTCAGAAAATTATTACTACCCGTTAGAAAGTCAGTAAGGTATATCGGTTAAAATCCTTAGCTGGTTCTTAGGCCAGAATAAACTCATTAATCCAAATCGACCATTCGATTTTAATTTTAAAATGTCCAAGCTAATTTACTATATATTTTTAATTTAAAAAATGATTTTTAACGAGTGTGTTTTAAATCTTTAGGAATGATCAATTTACTTTTAATTTTTGAGATTACCTTCTATTATTTCTTTGTTTTTAATTTTTTTCAGATATAAGACGGAAATAAGTCAACAATTGTGCTTTCAGCAATATATTTTTATAAATAATTATTTTATTTTAAAGAAATAATAATGACAAAAAAATAAAATGGAAAACAAAATGGACATATAAAACTAAATAATAAAAAAGAAGGGACCAGCTGGGCCTAAAAAAGATATAGATATATAGATATACTATAATTATTTTTCTTTAAATCATTTGAGGAGAGTATTTTTAAAAAAAGTATATATACATTTATATCCCATCAACAGCAGACAGAAAAAAAAAGAAATTTTTTTCTTGACTAAAAACAGCTTTGCTTCATTTTCTATATTTTTATTTTTGTGCATGGAAAAAGTAAAAAAAGGAATAAAAAGGATCAGAAATTGAAAACTAAATTTTTTTTAATTCAAAAATACTCAAAAAACAAAAAATAAAATTTTGTATCAAAGTTTGAAAATTTTGAAGTTATTTTTAAATTTGGCAGTAAAGATAAAGGGAGATTTTGTGAACTTCAAATTGTTGGTATTATAAGGAGTTTAACTTCGACAGATATAAACAATGGCAGTCCAAAAACACCAATCAGATTAAATATGTATAAAAGAAAATTAAATTTGAAGGCAAAAAATTCCACTATGCATTGATGATGCTAAATCGAGAATTTAAAAGTACCTTATTTATTCTATTTGAATAGACTCTCCAATTGAATGACCCTTTTTAGATCAATTTTTTATTTTATTTGTTACCATGTTTAATGATCCTTCTAGAGCGGATGATCCTGATATTTTTGAGCAAATCTCATGTCAAAAAAGGGCGATTAAGTGGGATATCGAGAGATTAAATTGATTTGGTGAAGATGCATGGGATTAAAATAATTAGGGAGTGATATTTAGTATTAAGATCATTCATATGATCAAGAGAGATTTCAAAGGACATAGGGAGAAAAAATTAAAAGTTTTAAAAATTTTTTAATACCAAAAAAATAACTTTTTTCAAATTAATCAAAATTTAAATTTATTTTTGAAATACATAAAAATATTTTCTTTTTAAATTTTTCCCATAGTAAATAAAATAATTAGATAAATTTAAATTTTATCTTCAAAAAAATGCCGATTGCTTTGGAGAAGTATTATAATTTAAATTTATTTCTTACCCACACATCTTAAATGCCATCATTCCTATCATGTTAAATTTTTCAAAATTCTCTTCATCATTCAAATTTCTCCTTTTGATCATCAACAATTAATAATCGCCCATAGAAAGTCTCTCTGAGTTTTTTATCTTTTTATTTTTAAATTTCTTTTCTCAAAATGCCGAACTCCTCCATATTTTTACCTGAAGCCAATGCCAGAGCAAAGGGAAGTTTAATATTCAAATAAAAAATTTTTGGGCGGAATAAAAAATTTCTCTATAAAATGGAGTGAATTTAAACAAATAAAATCATTCTAAAATTAAATTTAAAAAACATCCCAACTCTCAATAAAATATTTTAAAAGAATTCGTCCCTTAATTAATTTAATTTCTGGTAATTTCTCGTTGAGCGATCTGTTTTCTGGGCAAATATTTAATTTTAATTTTTGATTTTGCACGAAATCAGATCGTCCAATGAGTTATTTACTGTTTTAAATAAATACTTTTCAATATTTAAAAAGCATCTTTTTGGGTTTCGGCCGAGAACTTTCGTAAAATTAGTGTCCAAACTGGTCACCATTTATAGTGACAATTTTGCGACCGTTTTCTCGGCTGCATCCCTTAAGTTGGCTAAAAAATTTATTTGGTCTTTAAAAAGATTTTCTTCTGAATATTTTGAATATCTCTTTGGATATTTTTAAGGTAATAAAACATAATTTAATTTTAAATTATTTAAATATTAATTAAAAATAAAAATAAACTAAAAAGTTTTTGGGGAGAGATAATTTAATAAAAAATTAAATTAATCTAGTCTTATGTCCTCTTAAACAATCAAAATTAACCCTACAATCTTTAAAAGTTCCTTATCTATTTATGCGTCATTATTTAAATATTTAGAAGAAAACATCAACTTTATTATTATTAAAAACAAAATAATAGATATACATAACAACAAAAACATTTAACTTCTTTCTCGTTTACTATTTATTACGTCAATCTCCCCTTTTCCCCTTTAAAGTCACTCGTCACCTTTTTTCCGTGCGCAATCCTCTATTAAGTACATTTATTTAGAGTACTATTTAGGGCTTCAGACAGGCTAAAAAAATTATGGTTTTATTTTTATTTATTTACAACAATCCTTAATAAAATGTTTAAAAAATTTTAACTTTTTAATTAAAATATTAATTAAACAAAGATAATTAAAATGCTTCCCTATTTTTAGTTTAGAGCCTTCTACTAGAAATAACCACAGTTTCTGTTTAAGGAGCCGAAAATCACAGAAAAAAAAGCCTTATTCTATGTAGATTTCTTTTCTTTACTCTAGCTAAAAAAGTTTTGATTTTGCTCATCCTCTACATACGTAAAAAGAAAATAAAAGAAGGATATAGAACGTCTAAAATATTTGTATAAATATAAAATATTTAGATAAAGCTGCCAATTTTCTCTTTTAATTCAAAAGAAAATATATATATATTTTTTATATTATACATATATAGAAAATGGATATCTGTATATCTATATTAGGGGGCTTTGTTTAATACTATTTAATTTATATACAAATTTAGATTTTTATTTCTTTAAATTACTTTTTAATTTCAAGTTAAGCCCAATTATTTATTGATTTTATAAAAAAAATTAAATTTTTTGTAATAACGTTAAAAAATTATATTTAATATTTAAAAACCCTCAAGACTGAACACAAAAAATTTTAAAAGAAAATATTTTTAATTTTTTACATTAATTAATTTTTATGTGAATAAATACTTAATATTTTTAAAGATATTTTTAAGGTTTCTTCTGTATATTCGTGAATTTTGTTTGTTTTTTTTTACATTGAAAGAATTTATTTAAAAAAAGACTTCCCCATTTTTTATTTACAAAAATATTTTTAATTAAAAAAATATTTATTTGTCAAATAATTTTTAATTTCTAATTATTTTTAAAGGCTAATTTATATATTAATTTTTAATTTATTTTTTTTGCTTAATCTGTTTTTATCGCCTACGCGCTGGTCTTTAAATCCACTTTTCTTTATTATTTTAATATTTAAAAAGAATTCAATTCCCCCATCCATTTATTCTTTCTTCAATACATCATTCTAAATATTTAATAGTGCAAATATTTAAATATTTTTTTAAATGTTAATTTGTGTACATACTATTAGGGTTGGACACAACCGGTTAATAACCTGTACGACGGAAAACCCGGATTTCTTTGAGGTTTAGATAAATACCGATTTTATTTTGGGGGAATTTTTAATAAAATCACTCATTTTCAGAAGTTCTCGGTTTTTTTAATTTTGTAAAAACGGTTAATTTTTGGCAAAAAATATCAAAATTTTTTGGTTTTAAAACCGGTCGTGAACAACCCTAGTAAATATTTTGAATATATTTTGAAAAAATCATTAAAATAAAAAATAATTTAAAATAAGTATAACATTCATCTCCTCAATTTTAAACTTAATTTCTTTGTTAAGATTAATTCAATTATTATTTTTTAAAAATTTCAGTCGGTGCCTCATATTTTAATTTTTTTCCATTTTAATGCTATGCATCTGTTTCTTCTTCATAACGAAGCTATACCTACAACAACATCACCAAATAAATTTATTCCAAGTAATTCCTCTTTTAGTACTGGAAGTTCTTCTAGTAGTGTAATGAGTATTAACGAACAACAACAAATTACAACAAATTTAAAACGTAGCGGTTCTGCAGTTATTAGAGCTAGATTTGAACCAGAAGTTGATGGGGTTAATAGATACAAACATTTTCATAGGTTTGTTAAATAAATTTTAAAATTAGACAAAACTTTTTTGATTATAAATGTGGAAGAATTAGAAGGGGTACGAAACTTTTAATTTTAAACGTTTTTCGACCCCAATTTCGACCCAAATTATATCCCGGCTAGATTGTCTTAAAAAGTAACAATGTTTATATGAATATACATTTAATTAGAAGTTTTAGTAACTATCCGTCTTTTTGCTCTAGTTCTGAAATACTTAGTACATGGTTCGTATTTTTGCCCCATTTTTCTGTACCTGATGTTTCGGAGCAGGGATGGGCGAAATAAAAATTTTTTTATTTCGAATCGAAACGAAATAAAAAATTTTCTATTTCGTTTCGGAGCGAAACGAAACGAAATAAATCTGTTTCGGACGAAACGAAACGAAATAAATGAAATAAAATAAAAATTAAAAAATATTTATTTTTTAATTCATAAAAGCTTTTAATCGATATTTAAATCATAAATATGCACTCCAAGAGCTAGACGCGTGACAAAAGCATACCAGAAACAAGAATGAACTCTGCAAATCTGCTATATCCACCTTAATCCTCTTAAATAGACATATATCCGCCCTAATCCCCGATATCGAATTAAAATCCACCGATATATCCAAATTCACTTTGAGTACCCACTTTATAGTAACGATTACAGATATTAAGAGGGATAAAAAAAGATATCTTCTATATCCCTTGAGATATCTCCTATATCCCTTCAATATACTACTCCCAAAACCTCCGATATTCATTTAATCCATAAATCACAATTATACACAAAATCCCCCGATATCCCCTTAATCTCGCCAATACCACTATAACTTAATCTTACCAAATCTCCAAATCCAATCTCAGCATTAGTCCCTCGAGATCTCTTTTAATCCTCTGGACAATTGAATAAAAATTTTAGTAGGTAAGTCAGGTAGTGGTAGGCCACTGACGGTTTGACTGAACAGGACTTCAACACTAGTCCTATTCAACTTTACTATGTTCGGTTGAGCGGCTGAAGGCTGGACTGCTCTAGCAAAACCTGTTACAGATTTCTTCATTTTTAGCGCCGCAGGCGAAAATTTTTTCAATTTTGAAGCTCAAGAAGCCAATTTTCCTCCATTTTCAGCGTCGCAGGCGAAAATTTTTTTAATTTTAAGCTGTTCATAAGACAGAAATCACTAAAAAATTAATGATTTTTTCCAAAAATTCCCGTCATTAGGGGTGTATTTTTATTTCGTTTCGTCCGAAAATTTATTTTATTTCGCTCCGAAACGAAACGAAATAAAATTTTTTTTGTTTCGTTCCGAAACGAAACGAAAGGGAAAAAAGGGCACGAAATAGCGAAACGAAACGAAACGAAATTTCGCCCATCCCTGTTTCGGAGTATACCACAGGAACTACCATACAAAAATTTTAATTAATTTTATTGCTCTATTAAATTAAAAAAATAATAATCAAAATATAATTTTTGAATCTTCTTTTTCTGGAATATTTTGAATATTATGTACTTTACATTTATATCCTATTTATCGTCATTATTATATATTTTTTATTCCCTTACTTCCTTATTCAACCCTTTTTTATATATTCATTTTTTTCGCAATTAAGGCCAATGCTTCCCTCACCAACATCTGGTTTGTCTAACAACCACCAACCTTCAACCCACCTTCAACTATATAACGGAAAAGAAGAATATTATGTAGACGACGGACAAAGTATTGACAAAACATCTCCACGTCGTCGTCGTTCCACGTCAAAACATCTTTCAAAAATTCCAACATCAACTACGACCTTAAATAATGGACCTGGTTCTTGCAGTATATTACCATTAATTAAGGTGAGTGAAAATGAAGAAGACAACAAATTAATGTTTTCTAATTTGAATAAAAATTTTAAAATATACGAAAAATGGCGAAATTACGGCGCGCCGAACTTTTCGGATTTTAGTTTCCGGACCCGAACTTTCAGGTCCGCAGCTTTCGTTCCGTAAATTTTGGGTCGCAAAATTCGGGTCCGAAAGCACCACGGAAATTACTGATCTGTACAATTAGTTCTCTCACAAATCACTTACAACGTTTAAAAAATTAAAATTAATTTTGCCCAAATTTGAATTTTTTAAATAAACAATTGAGACCATTGTATGTAAAAATAATATTTAAAAATTAAGGGAATAAAAATTGTCGATAAAAGCAATAATAATATTAAAAGAAGACAAAGCCAAGATAGAGCTAAATCTTCTAATGGCCTAGAAACAACAGGTCTTAAGCCAATAATTTCCACAGCAGAAAGGCGAAGTAGTTCATTTGCTGCTTTGCCAGTTATCGAAAATATTGAAAAACAAAGATTTATTGAAAAACCACAAAAAGAGATTTCAAAACGTGAAAAAAGTGTAGAAAATATACGAGGGAAAGTTGGAGGAGGAAATACAAAATTGGATGAAGTAACAACTGTGAGAGTCCGTCGACGTATTATTATTAGCGATTGTATGGAAATTTTATTTAAAATTTATTAGAAATCTCTTTTTTTTTATAGCACAACAGAAAAAATCTTCTTTCAATAAAAACATTTCATTAGACTCCTCTTCAAGTGGACCGGCAGGTGTTTCCCAACCAAAACCTCCCATCAAAAGAAAGCCAAATAAAGAGGTCAAAAAATTAATTGGAGAATCTGTGGGAACACAAACAGAAAAAGAGGTGTTTTTAATTGCTTTCAAGATTTATTTTAAATAAAAATAGGTTTGTATATCAACGGACGAGACTTCGCAAACAACAGAAACTGAAACAGTAAAACAAGAACAAAAGAAGGAAATTGACACACAAAGGCCCCAAACGAGTAAATTAACAATACCAAGAGCAACACAAACAGATCAAAATTCATTATTTAACCAAGTAACCGGTGGAGGGACTACAAGCAATCGATCGAGTGTGGCTCCAGATGAGGCAATAATTTAAAGGAATATTTAACTTTTAACGATCAAAGATAAAAATAACTTTGGGCATTCCTTCCCCCTAAAATTAAACACTTTCTTATCTCAATTTAAAAATTTTTCCTTTCACAGATGGAACAACGCATTCAACTTCTTTCCATAATTGAACATGCATTAGATGAAACTATTGATAAAGAATCTAGACTTAGAACTAATGAATTTATTGCCTCAACTGCCCGAAAACAAGTAAAAAAGAATATCATTTCTCCCCCACAAAATATTTTTAATTTTTTATTTTTAAAGGCTCAAATTTGGAGAGATGCTAAACAATTTGTTGCTTTAAACCTTCTCCCTCAAAGTATTGAATTAGCAAATCATACACGACAATTAAGCCGCGAGAGTTCTCTTCGCTCGTATGAACGAGCACTCAGAAATATCCATTTACCCTAAAATTAATTTTTTTCCTAAAAGAAGAAACATTTCTTTCTCTATTTAAAAAAAAACAAATAATAATACAAGAGAAGTGCCTTGTGAAATAGAAAGAAAAAAACAAATAAAAAAAACGATTATAAAATGAACGCAATAAAAATGATAAATAAAATAAAGACAAAAATAAATATAATAAATTTTTTAGGGAAAAATGGCAATCCATTTTTTTGTATTTAATTTCAATTAATTAATCCATCACCAGTCGAGAAGTAAAGTCTCTGCTAGCAAGTCGAGTTCCCTAATATTTTAATTTAAGTATTTAGAGGTTTTAAAAATATTTTTTTTAACCTTCAAACATCTGCCTTTTATGTTAACAGATGTTTGAATATTTGCTTTTTATGTCAAAAAAAGATTTTATCCTCGCAAATTAAAGACCCGTAAAGGGTCTTTATATCTCGCGATGAAATCTGAAACCGTTTTTTGAATCTGAGGAATAATACAAGGTGTGAGGTCTTTTATGTAATAAAACTGTGTTTGAATTTATTTTATATTTTTGTAGATTATTTAAGATACCCCTCCCCCCTCTTCTATTCCTAAAAAATTTCTTTTAGCTTATGAAAAGAGAATTTTTTTTAATTTGACACATAAATAGAAACAGGAAAGAGATGACCAATTTCAAAAGAAATATAAAAAATTTATCAAAAAGTTACTTGTGCTTGTGCCAATGGCTGTTGCTGATTATGATGTTGGTGATGACCATGGTGGTGACCCGAAGCTGTTACTGGCAATTGTTGTAAACCTGCAGCTAATGAATTGTGATGATGACCTTGATTATGATTATTGTTGTTATTCATAATTATAGGGACATTGTGCATTCCATGGTTGTGGATATGATGATTGAATTGTGGAAGACCGCCAGAAGGAACTGCAGTAGCTGTTGGATTGGAAGAACCACCGGTAGCCGCAACCGTCAATCCATGAGCTGGAGGCGGTAAATGCTGCCGATTTTTTGCCAAACTAAATTGAAATAAATAGAGGGAGGGTATTCATTGTTCCAATTAACTAAAGGGAAGTTCGAAAAACTTTTTAAGCTTTTCCGAATTTTTAGACATTTTGATAAAATTTTGGTTAGGAGTGGTAAACATAAATGAGTGTTACAATCTTCTAATCTCAAAATTCATTTCCGTAAATTTTCTCGAATAAGACCCAATTCTATTACATAAAAACCTTTGGGTGTGTGAGAGAAAGCTTACAAACATTAACTGGTTCCAATCGAAAACATAATCATAAGCGAATCCTTGTCGACTAAAAAGTTGTTTGAAAAGTTGTCGGAGATAATCATAATCAGGTTCTTCCTCAAAAGACAATCCTTTGCAATAATTTAAATAACGAGCAAAAGCATCTTAAAAATAACAAAATAATTTAAAAAATTTTAATTTATAAAAAAAAACCTGGAAATCCAGAACAAAGTTCCTCCACCGGGGTTGACATTTTCTTTTCAGAAATTTTGTCATACTTTTGCTTTTTAGTCGCTGCTTTCAATCCTTGCCATGGAAGCGTTCCTCGATTAAAATACATGAGAACATAGCCAAGAGATTCAACATCGTCTCTCCTACTTTGTTCTACAAAAAAATAAAGGAAAATACTTTTGTTGGGGTTAGGTTTTAATAGGAAATATTGCAAGAACCCATAACTATTTTTGAATTTTTAAATAAGTTTTTTAAAAGAAATTGGCAAATTAAATTTTAATTGTCTAAATATTAAAGCTTATAATCGTTAAAAACTAATCTAATAGAATTATGCCCAGAAAAATATTGTTATTTATCCTATTCAACCCAACTATAAACCAAATATTAGAATTAAGAAGAACCCCAAGTAACATAAAAATCTAAATTACAAACCTACACCCAAATGAGTATTTATTGAAGCATATCGAGCTGTACCCGTAAGATTTTTGTGATCACGATAAGGAATGTGCTGCTTTGACCTGTGATCGCGGTATCGCTTAGCCAGTCCAAAGTCAATAATCTAAATTTTTTAAAATCATTTGCCAACCATTATTTAAAAAACGAACATAAACAAGATTGCCACGTTTGCCAAGGCCCATTAGGAAATTGTCTAAAATTTTTAAATTAAAATTTTACATAAAATATTAGTTAAATTTACCAGGTTTAATGTCTCTGTGAATAAAGTCCTTTGTATGGATATAATTGATCCTTGCAAGCTGAAAAAATTTTAACTAATAAAATTATTTAAAATCAGCAATTTTTCTGATGTTGAAAATTTATTAATTAAAAAAACGTTTGGGTGAATCAAACAAACGGATAGAAAAATTGAGAAATACTCAAAAAAATTCTAAAAGAATTTCACAAATAGAAGTCAAAAAATTTAGACATTTAAAATCTGTATTTCTCAAAAAAAAAACACTCCCCACTTAAACAAACTTATTAAAAAATTTTATTTTGTAATTTAAATTTATCGATTTAATTAAAAAATACTAACCATTTGATCTGCTAGAAGCAAAACAGTCTTTAAAGAAAATTTGCGTGAACAAAAATTAAACAAATCTTCCAATGAAGGGCCAAGCAATTCCATAACCATAACATTATATTCACCTTCAAAACCACACCACCGAACTTGTGGAATTCCAATCCCCCCAGACATTAATTTATAAAGTTTTGCCTCAATATGAAGTTGTGGATGTTTTGTTTTAACACATTCTAATTTTATTGCAACTTCTTCATGTGATGCTATATTTTCCCCCAAATAAATGTCGCCAAAGGAGCCGCTCCCAATTTTTCTACCTTTAAAAATAATTAAAAAAAATAATTTAAAATAAAAAAATACCAAGACGGAAGCGGCCCCCAACCCTTAATTCCATTTAATGGCGAGACAGAGAATTGTCTGCAAAAAAGATTAAATATAAACCAATCCGTCTTAAATAAAAAAAGAAATTTGTAGAAATAAAAAGTTGTTAAAAATAAATCAATTAAAAAATAAATAAATTTAACTTGAGTCTAAAAATTAAAAATAAAAACAGAATGCCAAAAAAATTTTTAATTTAATTAATTTAAATATTTGGGGAGGGGGGGGGGGAGAGAGAGGATTAATTAATAAAAAATGAACGATATTTTTATAATACTGAGGGATTAATATGTGCATTTATTTAATTTTATTAATGCGATAAGATAAAAAATATTTATGGATTAAAATATTTAAAAGTAAAGGAGGAATTAAAAAGCAAATTTATTTTTTTATGTATTCTCTCTCCAAAGAGGAAAACTTTAAATAAAAATATTTTTTAGAGTCTAAATTATTTTTTTTTCAATTTTGTTTATTTTTAATGTCTTAAAATTTAGTATTTCTGTGTTTGTTTAAAAAAATAAAAATAAAGTAATAAAAAATAAAAACTCAAAAATCATTTTTGTCTAAAATATTAAATAATTAATTCAAAACTTTAAATTTGTGTGTATACTATTTATTTACAAATAAGCAAAAAATTCTTTAGAAAATCTTTTCAAAGTAATTTATTGTGTACCCAAAATGTTGCGAATTTGATCCTTTCTCCCTCTTTCAATCGCTAAATTTAGTTTGAGGGATAAATGAGGACAACATTACTAACGAAAATAAATAAATGTATCTCGACAATGATGAGGATAAATTAATGAAAATAAATATATTTATTTATTTACTTTTTATTTGACCTAACCCATTCATTTCAATGTCAAAAAAAATCCCCAACTTTTCCCAACATTTTTCTCGAAATAGTTGACTCATTGGAAGGCAAATCTATTGGACGTTTGAATAGAAAAAGGGGGTTTTGCTGTTTTAGGGAAAGCAATTGCTACTCCTCTCCTCTTCTCATTCTTCAATATATCTTCTCTTCTTCAACCACAGGGAAAAGTAATATCTTCCCCCAAAAACATTTCCTCCCCCATTTGACTGCGTGTCCGCGACCATCACCAACATCGCGACCAGACAGGACTGCCCGCTCGCTATCGGTGTGCCACCGGCCGACGATTGCGACATGCCCGACCGGCAGTTGCCTTCACTAACTTCTCGCCCCCCGGAGAGCTAACCAACAACCACTTCTCTTCCCCCCTTCCAGTATCGAGAAATACTACCACTATAAAAGTAAAAAATTTAGTAGAGGGAGAAGAAAAATAAAAATAGAGTTTCCTTTCACATTACTTTGCTATACGAAGAGAACAATTCTTGAAAGGCAGTGTTGGGAATGAATAAATAAAATATATATTGGTAAAGGAATTAGTAAAATGACTGTACTATACTAGACCTCCTTAAGCACCCACCCACACATTGAATATATTTTTATGAGTTGTGGTCAGTCAATACTTTGAGGGCCAACCCCAAAATTGGGACACCTATATATTTATTTATTTGATGCATAGTCAAGTTAATGAGAAGCAAAAATTAACAGTAATCTGAGAAAGAAAATTTTTTCTCATAAAGTAAACCTCTAATTAAAAAATCTAATTCTTGGTTGAATTCTTTGGAATTTTTGAGGAATAAGGTCATTTTTAACTAATCTTTATAAATTATAATTATGTACATATGTATGTATGTAGTATTTTTAAGTAAAATATTAAAGATATTTTAATTATTTGTCAGATCTTAAAAATGCAAACTAAAGAAAAAGTAAAATAAAAATTCCAAAATATTGTGTTCTACAGTTCGAAGCCAAGAGAGCATACTCTAATTTAACATAAAAATAATAAAATGTTTTTATCTTTTAAATCTTTTCTAATTTTTTTTAAAAATATTACCAAAAAGATATTTTTTAAAAAATTTAATGGTGAGTGAATATAAAATTTAAAGAAATTATGGCCGATAAAATATTTGACAGAAATTTTGGTTATAAAATTATTTTAAAATGATAATGTTTTTTAGGGTTTTTTAATTAGTAATCCTCATTATTATATTCAAGGTTATGAGAAATAATTAACAAAAAATAATTTTACAATTGCTTGGGGCAACATTAAACAGAAAAGTGTTATATGAAGTATTAGCCTAAAGCAACCTATTTCCAAAAATGTAAAATAATCAGAAAAAATTAATATTGTTACAGACTCAAAATTTTTTAACGAATTGGGTTTAGAGATTTAAAGACAATGAGTATTTATTGGTTAATATATTTTGGAGCATTTTGGGGCATGATCCGACTGCCTAATATTTTTGGAAATATATAAAGGAGTGGTTATATGGGAGAGGCATTAGAAAATTAAAAGAAGAAAACAATAAATACCTAAATATATTTTTAAAAAATTAGGTAATTTTGAATAAAAATATTTTGGAAAATAAAAAGAATCTAATTTTTAAATTAATATGTATTTCTTGAAAAACAATAAAATATCTAAAAGTATTTAGCAATTTTTAATTAAAGGAGAACAGAAAAAATATTTTGTTCCGATTAAAAAAATAGTTTATTTTGTAATGAAAAAATAAAAAGAAAAATTTTTTTATTAAAAAAATATTTATTTATTAGCAACAATACAAAAATGAGGAGCAGAACACAAATTACTTCCTCTTATATTTTTATTTTCTACCAGACACAACAATAAAAAATTCTTTTACGTGAATCTGAATGAAGTGACAAATTTGGAAATAATTATTTAATTGTTTCCAAATTTGGAACAAAAATTTTACTTAACTTAACTCTAATTTAAGTTAAGTACTTTTTACATTTCTAAAATTAACAATTGCTTTTAAATATATTGTCGTTAATTCCCAGTATCTTTTCTCATATTTTAACCCTTGAAAAGTAATTAAATCAGCCAATCTCATTCACTATTTCGAATTTTTACAAAAAAAGGAAGCCTTACATTCGAGAATTTTTTTCAAAAAAATTTTGTAGACAATCTACTAATTATTTTTCTCTTAGCTTTTAGCATATCCATTGTTTTTGTTTAAATTTTTTTTGATTGCACAACTCCTTAAAAGAATATATAGACCAGAAATAAAGAGAAAAAGCGTCAGACAGGCGGGAGACACTTTTTCTATTCAAGGAATAATAAAAGAAGAATAGGTTTTAGAAAATAAATAAAAAAGACTGGCTTGTGTAGAACAGACCGGATCGGCTGGCGACGCCTCTCCCTCCTTCCCTTTCCTCCATTTTTTACTTACTACTTTTCGCGCAACCAGTTCAACATCATCATTGGTGTAAGCATGCATAAACACAGCCGCCAACCGATCAAAAGACAACAAATCCTTACTTAAAGGTAGTTAATTTTATTAACAAAAATGGATTTTGGAAAGGAAAATGAAGATTTTGAATTTTAGATTAGGTTATATTGATCTTGAATAAAGAGAAAGTTGAGAAAGTGGAGACATAAATTTGAGTGTTTTAGACTGTCTATTTATTAAATAATGTAAATTAAGATAATAAAATGTCAATAAAACTTCTCCACGAAAATTTAAATTTTGGGTACAAAATTGTAATAGATGATAGGTAAATAATTTGAAATGATAAAATGTTCCTCAATAAAAAAATAACAAAAAAATAATCATTTATATTTTTGCCATTTTATTAATAAAAATGGGGATTTTAGTTGTTGCGCATGTAAATCTACTCTGCTTTTCTGTCTGCGCGGATGTCTGGTCTTTGGTCTGGACCCTTTCTCCGATAAATATACATATACTTCTCAAAAATCTGCTCACGCCTCTTTTGAAGAAAATGACGATTATATTTTAATAATTATAACATGTTTGTAAAAATACGCGTGGCGTAATAAAAAAAAGAAGGATTTTTAAAAAGGGGGATTTAAAAATAAAAAAAAAGAATATTTTCTTTAAAATATTTAAAAAAAAATAAATTTTAACCACTTAACCTATTAAAATACATAATTATTTTAAAACTTTTTTTTATTTCTTTAATTCCTTCTTATAAAAAAATATTCTTGTCTATTTACGTACGTACTAGCTAAATTTAATAATTTTGCATAATTTAAAAGAGGAAATTAAATAAAAAAGTAAAAAATTTGTCCAAAATTTTGTTAAAATATTTTTATAAAATAAATTTTTTCTTCATTCTCTTTGCCTTTAAATAATATTAAAATGCCCCCATTACCCGTAGTTCCCCATCAATTAACCAAAATTCGTTCTGAAAATCGTGTTCTTTTAGTTCGTTTTGCTTTTTTGTTTTCTGTTTGTGCTGTGTTCTCCAATATAATTAGTAAATTTTATTTAAATTTTAATTAAAAAAAAGAAGAAAAAAATTAATTTAACATTCAAAGATATTTTTAAAAAAATTTTTGTGAGAAAACTTTTCCTTTCTAAAAATCATTGCATTCCAAATTTAATTTTAAAAAAAGGTGCTGGTACAAATAATTGGTTAAATACAAGTGAATTACTTAAATATTTTGTTTTGCCAAACCGAACAGTTGCTGAAAGTGAAGAACAAAACCCTCCAGCATATTTTAAGGCTAAATTATTTTATTTTGTTTAATAAACTTTGAAATTCTTTTAAGAATGCGACATTAGGGCCTTGGCTTTTTTGTTGGTCAGATCGTGAGCTTTAATCTTAAAAAAATTTCTTTAAATTATTTTCTTAGCTTTAACACCATTTCATTGTACAAAAATTGATGTTTTTGCCTTTGATGATCCTTCAGATGTTACAACTGCTGTTGAATGTCTGTTTTACCTTTTTAATTGAAACCCTCAATCCTTTTCCATTCCTAAAATGTCTCTCTATTGGAGAGGATCACTCACAGAATATATGAGAATTATTTATATATTATAGTATCTGTTCGGCGATGTGCACCTTTTATCGTCGCCGGTTGCTGCATGGATTCTTTGGGGATGTTAAGTGTTAGTTAAATACAGATAACTCTAGATATAACATATTTGGAAGGGGCCAAAGAAAAAGTTTGTAATATATTACAGGGTTGCCTCCCGAAACCCGGCCTTTTTTTGTACCCGAAACCCGATACCCGAAAAGAAAATTTTCCAACCCGAAACCCGTACCCGATATTTTTTCCAACCCGAAACCCGTGACCCGAAATTGGTTAAAACCCGAAATTTCTACCCGAAAACATAGCCTTACCCGATTTTTTAAAAATAAATTTTAAAAATTATAGAAGAGAAAGAAGGAAAAGGGAAGGAAATATTTATAATTTCTTCCATTTCTCATTATGTTGATCGGTGGTTGAATGGCTAAGGCGTCTGGCTCGATATTTTCATAGGGGTGGGTTCGAGTCCAGGGCTGGAAATGAGCCTAAAAAATTTTTCTTTTCAAAAATAAATGTTTTTAAACTTTGATTTTCATTATGGATTTTTAAATTTATTTTTTTTTAATATTTTAAGCTTGAAAAAGCATTAAAAATTATAATTTAGTCATGAATATTGCAAAATTTTCCTCTACGGCGCATAAATTTAATTTAATTTAATTTTATTGAGTAAATCACAAGGTAAAAAATTACATCGATTGTGATTATAAAAAATAAATATAAATGTCCGTATGTAAAGAGTCCATTTTTATTTTAAAACTTCAAATTTGGAGATTGAAGTTTGGTTGAAGTTTTGCCTGCGGTTCTGGCAATTGAATTTTTTCCTAAGGCCTTAGAAAATCTAAAAATTTTCGCCTCCGGCGGTGAAAAAGCTAGAAATCTAGCTTAAGGATCATCAAAATTCTCAAAATTTTCGCCTGCGGCGCAAAAAATGGAAGAAATTTGGCTTCTTGGTCTTCAAAATTCTCAAAATTTTCGCCTGCGGCGCTGAAAACGGGAGAACTTTGGAGGCTTTAATGGAGAAATAGCGGAGGGATATTAGTATATAGTGGGATTTTACCAAGATATCCCTACTAATCCTCAAATCCCACAATGCTCTTTAATCTCTTCAAATTTGCCTATCTCTATATTAGAGTAAGTCGAGTACCGAGTAATTGGGGAAAAGCCGAGTTCGAGTAATGCCGAGTTTGAAAACCCCGAGTTCGAGTACGAGTTCAACTTTTTAGGCCGAGTTCGAGTACGAGTAAATCGAGTAATCGAGTAATTTTTATAAAACAGTATTCTAAAAAAATTTTACCAAAAACAATACTTTTACTAAAAAATCAACATTAGTGCTGGGTATTGGGTTGACAGTGATGCTGGGGATCATCATCCAAATCCCAGTTATTATCGTTAATCCGCCTATATCCCTCTTAATCCGCCGAAATTCCATGATACGCGCATGATCAATGTTGGCTCCGGGCTCCGGGTGGAAAATCAATGGATAATATTATTTCGACGATTTGTTTCGACGATTATTCGACGATTAGAGGATATCGAGTGATAACAAAGGAATGAGATGGATAATCAAGGGATTAATTGGGATTTGGGCTGATTATCTTGGGATATGGGTGTATTAAGAGCAAAATCTGGGAAATTCGGTGGATTAATTGGGATATCGTCGGATTAGTTATATTGTCGAAAGGTGATCACAAGATCAGTTGCTCTATCCCTCTTTTTTCGCGCCGCTAGCTTAAATTTTGAGAATTTCTGAAGGCCAAGTAGGAACACCCAAGCTTCAGAAGGCCAAATCCCTCGCTATATCCTTAGATCCCTTGAAATATCCGAATATCACTAAAATCCAGTAACTTTATTCAGCGATATAACTCAAAATCCTCCTTAATCTGTCCAAATCCTCTGATATAACATTCAACTTCTTCCTTTACAGCGCCGCAGGCGAAAATTTTCAAAAAATTCGAAGGTCAACAAGCCAGATTTGTTCCTTTTTCAGCGCCGCAGGCGAAAATTTTGAGAAATTTGGAAGATCCTTAAGCCAAAAGTCTTCCTTTTTGCGCCGCAGATAGGGGCATAAAAATACTCGGTTTTAACCGAGTCAGCCGAGTATGAAGTGTCCGAGTACGAGTAATCCGAGTATTAGGATTCCGAGTTCCGAGCCCGAGTAAATGTGAAAAAAACCCGAGCGATCGAGTCGAGTATACTCGAACTCGCTCGTACTCGACTTACTCTACTCTATATCACCCAAAATACTATTATGCAACATAGCTTGGCTCCTTACAATTTATTTCACTAATACCACCCGAACACCCGAAAATAACCCGAATTTTTCGCCAAACCCGAAACCCGTACCCGAAATTTTTGCCAACCCGAAACCCGATACCCGAAATGAAAATTTTATAACCCGAAACCCGTACCCGAAGATTTTTTGTACCCGCGGCAACCCTGATATATTAAGAGTTGACTGTAATTTAAAAAATTCTTACTTAAAAAATAAAAATTAATTTAAAATTTATTTAAAGGTTTGTATTTGCCTCTCTCGTAAACGTCCATATAAAACATTACTTTTTGCTACAGTAACAAATATATTTACAGGTTTAGTACATGTAAATTAAATTCTTAATTTAAATTATATCAAGGACTAGTTAATTTTACTTGTATAATTGTTTATATAACTTCAGTCTCAAAAGAAGTTGGTAACAAAATTTATAAAGCTTCCAGAATTGATGACTCTCTTTTTCATTATTCTTATGGATTTTCTTTTATAATGCTTAAAGTTTGGAAAAAGAAAATTCTTTTTTAAATTTAATTTAATAATTTAAATTAAGATAAGCTTTTTATGCACAGAATTAACAGCTCTTTTCTGTGTGGTTGTTTTTATGGCTAAAAGAGATGAAAGGGCATATAATGCTTATAAAATACGTTCAATGTTAAGGAATTTACACAAAACAAACGAAATAAATAAATCTTCAATATCTAATTGTTCTCTGCCTTATGATCAAATTTTAAAAGAAAATGAACTTTATTATAAACATGCAAGAGTAAATACACTTAGAAGGTATTATTGTTTAATTAAAATTAAAGAAAATTATTTTTCAAAAGAAAATCAGTTTGTTCTCAAGAATTTACACAACAACCTTTACAACTTATTGCAGCTTGTTCTACTTTATTGACAGTACCTACAGAAGGGGAATGTTCACCTAAACAACAATCAATGTCTAACAACCAAAGAATGACAGATAACTCATCCAATCATGTACATTCTAATGGTTACTTTCATTAAATATTCGAAAAGATACCGTAGAAATAAAAAAACGATTCAAGAAACAGATTAATGCTTTCAATGAGATCAACTCTTGTAATTCTTCTCCTCAAGAAATTTAACTATTTATCTAGGGGTGGTAGTTTCTGGGCGTTGTAAATCTCATTATAATTCAGAAAATTAACTATTGTAGAAGTTAAAAACTAAGTCACTTAAATTATCTCTAACAAATAAGCACTACATTTCTATTTTGCGATTCCACTTTAAAGCCAAAAATCGTGTCAATTTATTTAAATGTAATTCAAAATCCTTGTATAATTATTTTCGTAAAAGACACACAAGTTATTTAATGTAAAGTTTCTCCCCTCGTAATTGCCGCTTCTAGGAATTCCACCTTTCGTTCCAAAGATGTAATAGAATCATTTAGAGCCGCCAATTTACTTTTACAGCTCAATTCAAAATGTGAAATGAATTCAGCGATTTGTCTAACATTATCCACAAGCTATAAAAAATTAAATTTTTTAAAATAGTGTAACTAAATATATTCACCGAATATTCCAATTCTCTGTTGTCCCAATCTTCTTTTAATTGACGTTGAATGTTCATATTATTTTATATAAGTTGATAATCTATCTTTAAATTTTTGGGTAAAAATTTAAAAATTGACAAAAATTATTTGTGTTAAGAAAACATACATTTAAAACAAAACTGTAATAATTTTCTACATTTATTCTAATTAGATTATTAAAATAACAAGTCAAAAATATTTTGGTTTTCAATTTGCACATGAATCTTAAATTAAATAATAATAGATATCCTTAATTATCAATACATATTTAAAATAATATAGTTAAAAGAATATGGCAAGGGGCCAAAATGCCGCTAATATATACTAATTGCCTCAAATTTAAATAAACAAAAAGCACAAGAAAAAAAAGCAAGAACCCGAATATCCCACAATTCAGCATCTGAGAATCATGCTCAATTTCCACTCTCAACAAAAGACGTCTTCGGTACAATAACATCCCTATTATTCAATCGTTGATGCCCATCTTCTTTAATCTCTTCATTATCACTTTCTGATTCTCCTCCAGTTCCAGGACGAGCAGTATTGTTTGGAGTAGATCCTTGACCCGAACCTTCACCACCTTCATCATCTTCTTCAAAACAAAATGTTGGTTCCTTAGCCATGCGTTGACTCAAATCACGCACTTAAATTGAATAATTAATATATTTTTATGTAAGATTTTAATCAAATTTATAACTGAAAAAATTAAGTTCTCATTATGCATATCCCTAAACTTAAATTCTCTAAAAATTATCCATGGACAGATATTCTCTCATTTCCGGAAAGATTATATTTAATATTTCCTCCCAAAATTTATACCTTCATTTCCATGTTTAGCAATCTGTTCCACTTGATCTGGAGGAAGAGCAGCAGTCTGCTGAACAGTCGACTCGTGGGGCATTAATGACATTGCCGCGCGGAAAAAATAAAAAGTTGGGTAATACACCAAATTAAAACATGATGAAGCATAAAGATCAGCATATCTCTCAACTTGCGAAGCAAAGAAAGTTGTTCGGGAACCACTTCGGAACAGAGAGCCAAAAACGCTATATTCATTATCCATCTTTATTGTAACTTCCTTAAATTAAAAAATATTTTATAAAAAATTCTTTAAAAAATACCCGAATCGATTTCAATGTAGGCTCCAAGATATTTTTCATTTCTGAATTACCACGAGTATCTGCATCCAAATTTTTGTACAAATCTGCCATTTTTGCTTCAAGTTCCCGCAGTTGATCGAACAAATCTCTTTTTCCTGTCCAAACAACCAATTCACGATTTAATTCTGGCACAATCAAAAAAGTTTTCCAACCACGAGTTTTCTGAAACGAAAAAAATTTCAATAATAAAAAAATATAAAAGAGACAGAGGAAATTGCACACAAGCAAAGACAAAAGGATCTAAAGAAAACGAATTCAAAAATTCATTGTTAGAAATTCTTTGTTTATACTTGTAATAAAATAGTCATACCTTTGATCTAAGCACATCACCAAAGATATGATCTCCAATATACAAGACATCTCTTCCTTTTGCCTTAACAAGTCGACGAAATGCCTCACACGAACCTAAAAAGTTCAATTAAATAATCCATCCAAAAATAAAAAAAACCTCCAGAATAAACAGCACCGCTACGCAAGGGACCAATTGGTATTCCGATTTTCAACGCTCCAGTTTCTATATTTACTTCGCGAAAAACAGTTCCTTCTCCAAACCACAAAGGCTTCCTTGCATCTACAATAATTATATCAAAAAAATCTCTCCATTTATCTCCAAGAAGAAAAGTCATAACAGCCTAAGCTTTATTTAAAAAATAATTTCAAAAATTAAAGTAAACCTTTGTATATTCATATTCACTATTTGTAAGCAAAAACGTTTTTCGTCCAGAAACTCTTAACTGAACAAGCAGTTTACCAATACGAGGATCTTTTTCAACAAAATCAGCGATATTTAAAATCACTTTTTTCTTTAAATCTGCATCAGCCTAAACTGACAAAATTTATAAAAATACTAACATGTCAAAAATAATAAAAACTAACGCCATGAACAAAATCAACTGCTCCACGAATATCCTAAACGACTAGAGTAAGATCTATTATATAGGAATAAAACCTGGAAGATTGATTTATAAGACATAATTGCATCACCATGCCGAAGGCCTGTTTTGTCTTGAGTTCTAAAAATTGTATAAAATTATTCAACAACTACTAAATATACTAGAATTTTAAGAAAAATGAATAAAACTCACAGCTGGTATTCCTCTGATTTATCAAAAAAGTCAACTAGAAGTGCAATCAAATTGGTTTCAGGAAGATTGAAAAGCGTATTCAAAACATAAATCCTTCTATCCGAAAGTTGAATAAACTTGTTTGGATAAAAATTCTCAATCTCAGCCCTTAAAAGAAATTTTTTTACTTTTTGCATATCACCCACCAGGGATGAGCGCAAGAGACAATCTCAAAAAACGCAAAACGCAACGCAAGGCCAAAATTTAACGCAAATAACGCAAAACGCAAAACGCAAGAGCGCAAAAATAGGGGAAAAATTTTTTAACCAAGTATTAGTCATTTTTCAGCTAAAAATTGAAGTATTACTTTAAGTCAGCGTGTCCTACTTGATTTTGTGATACATGTAACTTGGATAGGTAATGATTTGGAGAGTTATCCTGGATCCGAGGGATTATGAAGGATATCAGAGGATTTAGAGGGATCAAGAGGGTTTAACGAAGTAGCGGGGGATTAGGGAGATTATCATATAATTTCGAGGGATCAAGGAGATTTAAAAAGGATACAATGGGATTATCGACGGTTGTCGGGTGAGTTGGGGAGATAGCAAAGGATAAAGGGCTATCAGTAGTTATGGGTTGATACGGGAATATCAGGGAATTTGGAGGGATAATGGGAGATCTGAGCTCCAGATACTGAACCGTTATTTTTCTGAGCCGTTCCATAATGGAAACTTGGTAATTAAATACTCAACTTTTAGAGCCGCAGGCAAAAATTTTGAGAATTTAGGAAGGATAAGTGCCAGATTTCTTCCATTTATTGCGCCGCAGGCGAAAATTTTGAGAATTTTATAAAGCCAGAAGATTAGAAGGGTTAGAAGGGTATCAGATTAGAAGGGTATCAGGGATTTGAGCATATACGAGGTAGGGAGGGATGCCAGATGACCACTCTTGATCTTAGGTCAACTTACCACCTTAACCACATCTGGCCCTTCATCATTTTTAGCGCCGCAGGCGAAAATTTTAAGAATTTTGGAAGGCTAAACAGCCTAAATTCATTCTTTTTTAGCGCCGCAGGCGAAAATTTTTTGAATTTTGGAGAGTCGAGTGGCCAGATTTCTTCCATTTTTGTCCTCACAAGGGAACCTCACGAACTGTCAGTCAAAACTTTGTATTTTTTTGGTACCAATCGATAGAGAATCATCGATTTACTCTTGTAAATTTTCGGCTTTTTTGGCTAGGAATATGAAACTAAAAAGTTATGGGCCTTCAAAGTTTGGCAAAAATGGGGGAGAAAAGGAACACAAGAGGACGGTGTTACTGTCGATCTGGGAAGATAGGCAACGGTGAGAAGAAAAGAAGAGAGAAGGGAAAAGGGTCAGCAACGTGAAAAATTCAAAATGGTCAGTCGCTGGAAAAGAAAAGAGGAAAATAAAAATAGTCAGTGGGAGGAAATTTCTCTCATTTATAAGGGAGTCTCAAGCGTTCCTAACTATTGCAAACTTTGAAGGCCCATAACTTTTTAGTTTCATATTCCTAGCCAAAAAAGCCGAAAATTTACAAGAGTAAATCGATGATTCTCTATCGATTGGTACCAAAAAAAATACAAAGTTTTGACTGACAGTTCGTGAGGTTCCCTTGTCAGATTGGATATATTTTTTGCGTATTTTTGCGTTAATTTCATCGAAAAAAACGCAAAACGCAAAACGCAACGCAAGGCCAAAATTTAACGCAAAACGCAATGCGCTCACCCCTGTCACCCACCCAGTAAGAAAAACAAGTCCATGAGCAGCAACCAAAATATTTCCAAAACCATCAACTTTAAGCAAATTGCCATACATTGTATCAAACCAAAGCCCGCGAACGACAAATGCTGAGTCATATTTGAAATTACGAATCTCCTTTGGATATCTGCAAAAATATTATTTTTAAGATGCGTAATTTAAAACATAACTCGCACAAATTTATAAAAATAAATACCCAATATAGATCAGCCTTTCGAGAACAAGACTGAATGCTTCCGATTCCATCCTAGGCGATTTGTAAACTGCTAATGTATAGTCCATATCAAAACCGAAAAACTGGATCTTATCCAACTTCATCGAACGGTTGACAAAAATCCTTAAATAAATTTTATATCTCTGCAAATCAAAAATAGTGTAAGTCAAGTCTACAGAGTTATCCAATATATGACAGCTTATTGTTAGATAATGAAATATACCTCTTCTCAGGCTCACGTTTGTACATGACAGAAGTTTGCGATTTATACTTTTGTGCCTGTTGCTTTTCATTTGCTGAAGAGATTGAAGGAGACATTCTGTTTATTTATAGTCTAAAATTTTTATTATAAAGATTAGAATTTTAAGATAAAATTTGGAAATCCAATGAAAGAAAAATAGTCAAAACTATTAAATATTTAATAAAATAAAAACGAGATAAAAATAGAAAAAATTTCGACAGTTTATTATCAAAAACAGACCCTAAACAGAAATTTCTCTAATTAAGATAAAATGAAATAAAATAAACAAAATTATATCCTCCATCCAACCCATTTATGCTTCTCATAAGTTAAACTTTCCTCCTCTTCCTCCGCTTCTTCCAAAGGAACAACTTCACTTTTTACACCCTTTTTAATTTCAGAGATGAGTTCTTCCGAAAATAGTTTCTTTAGTGGGATTGGTTCTTTATTATCTTCAATATCTTGCAGTTTTCGACAAGCGGTATTCAAATCAAGTCCATACCATTCAGCTTCTTCCAAAGGTATAACAAACCGAGAAAACTTGTTCGCGATATATTCTTGACGGACGGAATCATTATGATAATAGTTCTGTAAAATCGCATGTAAATAACAAAAAGTTTTTCAATAATAAAAGTTAAAATTTCTAACCTTACTTGCCAATGCTAACAAAAGTTGCCTTTTCAAATCTATGCCAAGTCTCGAGTCTATATCAACATCTGGTGTTTCGAGTAAATATAAATCCAAACCAAAATGTTGATCAATAAGTCGTTTAACTCTATCAGTAACATTAATGTTCATATAAATGTCTAGAATTTCAGAATAGAGTAATACACTTTTGATAGTTGGAGTCCACAATTTAGGTATCCAGAGTCTTGGAAGTATCTTCTTTTTAAGTTTAGGATTTGACTCTCTATAACCTTTAATAACTCCTTCACCACCCCAAAGCCCTTGATCTTGTTCAGGACAACGTAATGGAAGAATTGGATATTCCTAAAAAGTATGAAATGATAAAAAATCCAAAAGATACAAAAAAGGGCACGAATGTCAAAATGGGGTGTAAATTACAAGATTTTAAACGTTAGTTGTCCGTGGTATAACAGATTTCCAGGCGAATACCCACTAACCGCAAGTGAACACCATTCTAAACTATTCACATAAAAGCTAACCTCAGTCTCAAGTTGAACATTCCTCTTATTATCCCAGTAATATCTAAACTCAGGCTGTGTATAATGAACTGGAGCAGGTTTAGAAAGCACAAAGTTTTTCCAATATCTCTAAAAAAAAAGGTTTAGAAGAACCAAAACAACATAAAAACTCTTTGATAATGTTTTGGTAATCTGTGGACAATTGAATCTGGGTCATCCCAAATCTCCTTGTTTCGCCTTATCTTCTCATGCATGTTCCATGTCAAAACCGCCCTTGGTGCTTTATCCGTCAACGGTATCAAATTCTTTGTAAGACTACAAGATTTTGCAGGTATCATTATTTGCTAGATTTATAATTGTATTTGGCCTTAAATTAATTCTTTCAATTTCAAATTAATAACTATTGGATCAAATATGCCAATCAAATTACCAGAAAATTGGGAATTAGCATTTTATCAGTGAAACAGTAAAACAAAGCATTTAGAATTTATCGAACAATTTATATAATGGTGTCATTTTTATAAGAAATATAGAGAGCGTTTTTGTTCAAGATTTTATTTTAAGTGTTTATGATACGCTTCTTTATAAGAATGTGAGGAAAGGAAAACGTGCGAAAATTTAAAGAAGTTGGGGGTGTATAAACTAAAATTCAAGATTGATATAAAATTTAAGAAAAACAAGTAACAGAACTAACATAAAATTTAATTTTTATCACTTCCAAAAATAATCGCACGGGCACAACACTACTAAAATGGGAAGTGGAGAGGGCATCAGAATGTCGATGAAAGAAAATCTGTAGAATTAAACATCTAAGATCCTGTACCCAAAATCAAGGCTACAATCATGCCATAAAGTCCAAGCACCTAGAAGAGATAAAAAATTAAAAGTATAAATATTTATTAAAAACCTCAGAGAAAATCAAGATAAGAATCATTCCAACGAAAAGGCGAGGCTGTTGTGCAGTTCCACGAACACCAGCATCACCTACAATTCCGATGGCATAACCAGCACCGAGTCCACAAAGTCCGCAAGTAAGTCCAGCAGCTAAATGTGAGAATCCCTTCTCAAGTGTATATCCTGCACTAGCTGGTCCAACTTTTCCTTTCAGGACCATAGCAACGACAAGACCATAAATACCGATAATACCTCAAAATTTAATTTAATCTAATGTTAACAAAATATATAAACCTGCCATAATTACAGGAATTACAGATTTCATTATAAGCTCGGGTCGCATTACACCCATCGAACAAATGCCAACTGCAGACTTCGCAGTTCCATAAGCTGCACCAAAAACGGTAAAGATTTGGGCAGATGCCGCTCCAATATATCCAAAGAATGGTGCATATGCTGCTCTCTCTGCTGCATCAAGATCGAATGACATAATTGTTTAAGTGAAGAAAATAATGTCAGAAAGTTTAAACAATTTATAAATCTCTAAAAGTTTATGGAATGTTGCAAAATAAAAAAAGTAAAATTGCTAATATCAATGTATGAATGAGAACTTGTAAAACTAAATTGACAAATTATAAATACAAAAATATTTGATCTGGAAAGTGCTGAAATACTATGCGAAAAACGGAAAACTAAGAAACCAAAGACCAAATAATCATTAGTGAAAACATGCATATTCAACCTCATTGAAAATTTCTAAATATTAGAGAAACAACAAAAAGTGAGAGAACATATAAATTTTAACCAGCTGACAGAAAAATCCATTGTCAACTATTTGAGTCTTTAAGGAACAATAGACAATTTCCACTTTCTTAGATAAAGGGAAAATAATACTTGTTAAATTCTTTTGTTTACAGTGTTCGTAAGCTAACAATAAGTCTATTTTTAATCCTGATTTTTAGAAAATTGAAAGTTTCTAAATGTCGGAAAGGTACACCTCATAAGTGCGCGCACACGATTGAGAATGGCTAAAAAAGGGCTCGACATGTTTGGGCGCCCGAGGTTAAATTTAAATTGTCTAAAAATTAAAAAAAAAATTACTAAAAATATCTAAAATTATCTATTTATCCTATCTTCATTCACCCAATAACTGGAGAAGTTGTTCCAATAGCGAGGAATTTTGTCCCGGCAACGGGGGAGGTAGTTCCAACGGGGCAACCTTGAAGAACTCCATTCATCAACATCATTCAGCTTATTTTAGAGAATACTGTAACACTTAGTCGAATGTACTACTCACATACTAACAAATGGAATGGTTCGATTCGTTCTCTTTTGCTAGCCTGAAAGAACCTGTCACGGTGCAATAATAAAAGACCACAATTTTAAACAAATTGAACTTCAGATAATTTATTAAAAAATGAATTATGCGAAAATTTAATGAGAAAAACTTAAAAACATACGAAATAAGATAATTTAATTTTGACGAGGAATTTTAATAAAAAAACTGGGATGAGTATTGTATTATATAAATTTTCATTGATCTGATTTTAAATTTTATACAATATATAAAAATATAATTTTTGTTATTAAACACTAGGCGATTGTTGTTGGTGCATATAATCATCAATAAGATAACCGCTTCCGTTTTGAGAATTTGTATGGTCGGCTGCGCGTAATGTAGAAGCTGTTGAATTGTTTGTTTGTTGTTGATTGATTCCATGATTGCGAGCGCTACTTTGACCTGCAACTTCATCATTTTCTGGTTGTGCCTAAATTGAAATTGGAGAGAAAAAATTTAATAAAAATAAAGTTAAAAATTGAATGGGTAAATCGTAAGTAGAATATTTGACTTATGTTTTTAGAAAAGGTAACAGCGATGCTAAGAGGATATCAATGCTCAATAGGCCATTTGTAGAGTCTTTCAAAATTTTTCCTAAAAATGACAATCTAGATCAACTCATATTAATATAACAATATTCTAGTATCGGCTGTCGAATGGGTCTAGCGGCAAAATCCTAAATTTTCAGGTTGAGAATTTAAAAAGGTATCTAAAAGGACTGTCGTTTGGCACAAAAATTAATTTTTAAATACCAGAGGTGCTTGTGGCAATAATATATATCCAGTAGAAGCACCACGATAAGACGATGTATTATTTTGGTTTGTATTTCCACCCGAACTCATCAATCTATGCTGAACAGCATTAGATGAGCGTTCATTACTTTTAATTAATTCGTGTTTTAAAGGAGAGCGAAAAGCCATTGAAAGACGCTTAAAATTAAAATTATTATTTTTTATTTTTAAATTAGATTATACCCTAAAAAGAGAAATTCTTGGTGTATAATTACAACTTTTTAAAATAACAATTAATGCCCAAAACAAAATTGGAAGTAAAGGAATTATTGCAATACAAACACCTAACCATTCACTCCAATACCAAGCTCTGATTTGGGGAGAATATTTAGAAAATGAATATCCAATTAAATTTATAACGGCGATTGCCTGAAAGAAATTTTTTTTGAATATTTTTTTGTTAAAAAACAAACAATTGGTATTGGTGTTAAAAAGCAATTTAGGAATAGAAGAGAATGTCCAATAACCCAACTTGCTGTTGAGGCAATCATTGTTCGAAGATCTAAACCTAATGAATGTATCCAATAAATCCAAGCAACAGAAAGTAATTCAAAAAAGAGAATAACCAAAAGAGTTGAATATTTTAAATATCCACTAGCTAATTCGTAAATATGTTTTCCTGCCTAAATATTAAAAAAAAATGATTTCTCTATTTTATCATAGAAGATTGGCAAATACATAAACTAATATCCAATTTTTAATAAATTTTTTTTCCGAAAATATCCCCTCAAATAACCCCACAATAATTACTAATAACTACATAGTTGCATACTTCTGTAGCAAAAATAATACTCGAAGCTGCTCCAAAACAACAAATTAAAAAAGCAATAGTAAAACGAGGGCAACACTAAAAAATAAAAATAAATTATAACTGTCTAAAGTCCCTTCCTACTTTTGACCATTTTTCTCCTAAAGCATCTTCTATTGTTGCTAGAACACCAAAGGATAAAATAAACTTTAAAAAATATAAAATTTTAATTACTTTATATAAAAATAAACTTACAAGAATATTTAAAAGAGAAAAAGAGGCCAAAAATAAAAGAATTCCCGTAAATATTTTTGTGTGTGGAATAAAAGAGAAATAAACAAGGATTTGTCTAAATTGGTTCTCTCCTTTAATTAAAAAATTAATTTTTTAATTAAAATTAGGAGATACCTTGAACAATAATTTCACTAGGTAAAAGACCACTTTTTTCGCTGATATGTCCAACTAACGATAAAACAAAAATTAATTGAAGAGATACAAGTAGAATATGCCCAAATAAAAGAAAAATACTGTCTCTATTAAAATAAAAAAATTAAAAAAATTTAAAGAAAACTGTAATCAGTTTTGGATAATTTCAGAGAAAAGAGATCTAATAAAAGTAGAAATCTAACCTAAGAGATGATCCACTCCCGTACATCATTCCCACAATTTACCCAAAAAAATCCTCTTAAAAAATGCATATAAACTCCTTACTTCACTAAATTATTTGATTTTTTATTGTAAGACCCCAAAGTGCAAAAAGCCCCAAATCCAAGCCCTGTAGCAATAAATGCTTGTTCAATTGCTTTTTTCCATAATTGCCATTCTTTTAATCTTTCCCACCATTCAATTTCGTTAAATAAATCAAAAAATAATTGAAATGATCCTTTAAGAAATAAAGTTCTTCCACAAAGAGATAAAAGCAAAATTAATGACATTGATAATGAAAACTTTAAAGAAAAGTTACGATACATTTTAAACAAAAAAATTTTACAATCATAATTTTCCCCAGCCATCTAACACCAAAACAAATTCCAGAAAAAACAAAAGTCCAAATTATACATTGAACAATTAACCAATTAATTTGAATTTTGCCTATTTGGTCAATACTTTCACTTGTTACATCAATAATTCTTTAAAATTAAAAATAATTAGTAATCTTTTTAGGTTTTTTAATATTTATTTGAAATTTAAAAAAGCATTAGTAAGAATGTTAATAAATTTTTCTGTCCTTTTAATTACCCAATAAATTGTTCAAAAGCAGAATTTTCATCAAAAGTAGCTAATCTATTTTGATAAAAATTAGTTGAATTACTGTTTATTGGTAAGATAGAAGAAGATTCTATACACGTTCCAAATTGATATTCAGGGAAGTTTTTGCAATTAAGCCAAGGAAGTCCTTTTAAAGAAAAATTATCTTTAAAAAATAATTAATAAAAACCTGGACGGTCATCAGTAATTGTCCAAAATAAATGAAAAATATAAAGAAATACAGATCCTAGAAAACGAGTCATCATTGCCTGTAAAATGTTTAAATTATTTTAAAAGACTCTCTTTTTTGTATAACGGATAATTTCAAATTTAGGTCCCAATATCTAAAAAAGATATTTATCTGAATCCAAGTTAAAGCACCCCAAAAGCAATATTTATCACACCCTAAATTGCCCCAAACACAATTAAAATATTTAAAAAACTTACCATTAAAATAATTGAAAATAAAATTTGTGAGATTCCAACACCTATCAGAATAATTTAAAAATTTTTTTAACAATTTTATTTACCTTTAAAAACAGGACAAATATTATAAAAAGTTTGGACAGGCCCTCTCCCAGTTAACTGCCCAATAGACAATTCAAGTAAAAGAATTGGCAAAATAATTAGTAATAAACTAATTAAATAAGCAAATAAAAAGGCTGCTTTAAAAATAATAATTTAAAAATTAATTTTTAAAAATTTTTTCCTTACGTCCTCCATTATCTAAAATTAGCCGGGGAATATTTAAAAGATTAGTAAAGCCAAAAAGGTAGGCTAAGGCTGCAACAATAAATTCTCCTTTGGATGACCAAATATCCCTCCATTCTTCAACAATTAGAGAAGATAACTTTAAAAAAATAATAAAATTATTAAAAGAAAATTATTCCAAAATGATTCTTGTGCAAGGAGTATTACAGAGATTTACAGTTTTTTCAAGAGAAAATAACAATAATGTCTTTTCCAAATTGGGGAAAATTATTTTCTAAAATTTTTTCTAAGATCCAAGAAAGGGAAAGAACATACATATTAATCTTCAATTAGAAAATCTTAAGAATAGTTATCAGTCAGTGAAACTGAAGATTATGGCTATTTACTAGTCAGAGTAAATTAGAGTTATTAATAGGGACTCACAAAATATGCACGGAAAATTGCAAAATATGCGCATATATATGCACCGAAAAAGTCCCAAACATGCACTGAAATATGCAAAATTTCCCCAAATATGCACTAAATATGCATCAAAAATTGGTGAAAAATTGCTTTAAAAATTAAAATTTTAAGTAAAAAACACTAATTTAGCCTATAATTTTGCATTTCAAGAGCACTTATAAAAGATTTTATGGGCTTAAAATTTATGTTAAAATTTTTTTTGAAAAAAAAATTTACCCGAAAAATCTCCGAAAAAATTTTTTCGGAAAATTATTATAAAAAATTTTTTTGACCAAAAATTTTCAAAATTTTTCCCAATTTTTTCTAAAATTTGCCAAAAAATGACAAAATATGGACCAAAATATGCAAAATTTCCCAAAATATGCACAAATATGCAAATATGCACGGGAGGGCCTAAATATGCAAATATATGCATTAAGAACCGGGTCCTAAAGTGCTCGGACCAATGTAGAAACACCATTTTTGGGCTTCCCAGCTCAAGGCATATCCGCATATAAAACATGCATTTGCATGTTTTGTGAGCAGTGCTTCGAAATTTCAAATTTGCTCGTACTCGTACTCGTACTTCGTACCACCTCTTTTTTTGGCCTCGTACTCGTACTCGTACCTCGTACCACACTTATTTTAGGCCTCGTACTCGTACCTCGTACCACCCTTATTTTTGGCCTCGTACCTCGTACTCGTACCTCGTACTTACTCGTACTTGAGAAAAAATCAAAAAATCGAAAATTTTTATGATTTTTTGGAGTCCAGGACATTTAGTTTTAAATTTTAAGTGTTGTATGCGATAAATTTTGAATCTAGGATGGCTTTAAAGCCATAAATCCTCCAATATAATCCATTTTCTGCGCCGCAGGCAAAATTTTTGAGCATTTTGAAGTGCAATGAACAATATTATCTCCAAGAGTTACCCGAAACTCGGTATTTTTTCATCCAATTTCATTCTCTTCCATGGAACTTTATACCTTTTTCACCGAAATTTTCTCATTTTTATCTCCTGATACCCCTCTTAAGCTCGAATCCCTTTCTGCGCCGCAGGCAAAAATTTTGAGAATTTTTGATGTCCTTAAGTCAGACTTCTTCCGTTTTTTGCGCCGCAGGCGAAAATTTTCAAAAATTTTGAAGCCATGAAGCCAAGTTTCTTTCATTTTTCAGCGCCGCAGGCGAAAATTTTGAAAATTTCCGAAGGCCGTAGGCGAAAAAAATTCACTTTTAGTGTTCAAAGAAAATAATTTTAAGAATTTTAGATGGTCAAAATCTCATAATTAATCCAAGTAAAAATACAATAATTTAAAAAAAAAATTAAGATTATAAATAAGTTATTTATGAAGAGAAAAATATTAAAAATCCTTGTCCAGTGAATAGGAAACGAACCAAATATTAAATCATTAAAGACTTTGGTGTAGCCAAGCATCTTCACCACTCGGCCACTCGCTCATATAATGACAAATGAAAGGAACAAAATATATTTCTTTCAATTTTCCTATTAACACCAAGTACGAGAAGTACGAGCTCGTACTTAGGCCTCGTACTCGTACTTTTCACTTTTTTTTGCCTCGTACTCGTACTCGTACTTCGTACCTGCCCAATTTTTTTGCTCGTACTCGTACTCGTACTTCGTACCAGGTACGAGTACGAGTACGAGGTACGAGTACGAGTACGAGGTACGAGTACGAATTTTGGTACGAGCTTCGAAGCACTGTTTGTGAGTCCCTAGTTATTAATAATAATAATAGTCTTTTATAATTTTTTGGATAGTTTTTTATCTTAATTTTTAATACAAGAATTATTTTGTTAAAATAATATTTAATCTAATATTTAAATTAAAAAATAATAATTTCTAACTTTCATATTTGACAAGCTTCTATCTTCAAACCACATAATTGTTTTAAATTTTAGCCAAATTAATAATAAATAAAGTGAATTAAAAATATTATTAACATCTTTTTTTCTTTTAAAATTAAATAATTAATTAAAAATAAAGCTTTTATTTTCTTTAATCTTTTTTCAACCTTTTTCTTACAAAATTAGATTTGTCACTAATTCTATTTAAATAATATACCCACAAAATTTTAACAAAAAAAAAAGGAAAATAAAAGTGAGGGAAAGGAAGTAAAAAAGGAGAGTAAATCGAATTAACCAAAAAAAAAGAAAGAAAAGAAAATGCGCACATTAAATTATTTACAACAGAAAATAAGCATTAAATAAGAAACAAAAGCAGAAGAAAATTAGAGCCTTGATGAAAACAAAAAAAAATTAGTAGATGAATAAAATGGGTGATTTGGCCAAATTGAAAGAGAGAGAATAGAGAAAAACCAAAATATACATTATAATTACAGTTAATCAGCTTTAAATTAAAAGTTTCGGAAAATATTCGGAAATTAAATTGTGGATATATTCTATCATCACACCTTATATGAAAGAAAACTAAAAGATAAAAATACATAGGTATATAGCAGGGATCCTGCCGACCCGATTCCCGATTTCCCGAAATCGGGAATTCCCGACGTTTTTTGGCTCGGGAATTCCCGATTCCCGAAATCGGTAAATTTATTTTTGTCGGGAATTACCGTTTCCCGAAATCGGGAAATTTATTTTTGTCGGGAATTCCCGTTACCGTTTCCCGACATTTTTTAGGAAAAATCGGGAATTTTCGGGAATTTTCACTTCATGTCTGACGCTGAAAAGGGAAGAAGTATGCCTTCTCGTTCTTCGAAAATTCTCAAAATTTTCGCCTGCGGCGCTAAAAAAGGAAGGAATCTGGCTTCTCGGCTTTCCAAAATTCTGAAAATTTTCGCCTGCGGCGCTGAAAAAGTAAGAACTCTGGAAAAAGTAAGAAACTGCGGCGCTAAAAAAGATATGAAATCTCTTCTTAGTCTTACAAAATTTCTCCAGAAAATCCGGCCAATTTTCCTCGATGTATCACTTATCCCTCAATATTCTTATTCTTAATCCAACAATATTTTCTTAATCACTTGTTGTCCTCAATCCCTCCATGTCTCCCTTAATCCCTTGATATCCATCCCCTTAATCCCTCATGGCCCTTAATCCCTCAATATTCCTCCACTTAATTCAACCAATGTCCTCTTAATCACTCATTGTCCCCTTAATCCTTCGATATCCCTTTTTAATCCTTCGATATCCTATTTAATCTTTTATTAATCGCCCGATATCTCTCATAATTCGCTCAAATCCCTCGATATCCTTCTTAATTTAGACAAATCTATGTCAAAATCGACATCACGTCACAAACTAAGAAAATTCACGAATTTCCCGAAATTTCCCGAAAATCGGGAATTCCCGACGTTTTTCGGGTCGGGAATTCCCGATTCCCGATTTCGGGAAATTAATTTTTGTCGGGAATTCCCGATTCCCGATTTCGGGAAATTAATTTTTGTCGGGAATTCCCGATTCCCGAAATCGGGAAATTTATTTTTGTCGGGAATTCCCGTTTGTCGGGAATTCCCGTTTGATTTTTTGTCGGCAGGATCCCTGGTATATAGTAACAATAAGTCAATAATTAAAAAAGACCAACCAACAAAACGAAATGTCATAAATCAATTCGCGCAGATATACCTACAAACGTTTATATATATTTATTTTTAACCTAAAACATTTAAAAAGAAAATGATTTGATTTGAGCAATTTTCTAATTTGGAGAAAGAATAAAAATATTTTTTATTCTCTTTTAAATCTCCTCATAATAAATGTCCTTCATTTATTAAAGAATATTTTAATAACCCTATAATTTATTAAAAAGATTAATAGCATCTCAAATTCCAATGAAAGTTTGAGCCTTTTTGTGATGACAAGAATATGTGTTTTTAAGTGTTTGTTTTTTTCCAAAATCCAGGAAAGGAGTGGAAGTGTTAAATCGGGAATTGAGAGATTTTTTGAGGAAATTAATGGATTGGAAGACTAAAAAGATGGAACGATTTTAAAATTTGAGGAGGATTAAAAAATTTGGGTTGGAAAATGAGATAAAAAGTTGGCCTGACACGAAGAGGGCAACTCCACAAATAAGCAAATTTTAGAAATTTTTAAGTAAATTCAAGCAAATATATTTAAAAAATAAAGAATTTCTTTTAGACATTATGTATAAAAATGACAATTAAAAATATTTCCTCCAACAATATTTATTAGACAAAAAAGATTGGTGACATAAAAATAAATATTAAATATTTAATTTGCAGCCCTTTCTGTTTTTTATTAGCAAAAATGGCAGTTGGTATTTATATACAAACATTTTCAATGTAAAAAGATTGATAAACAACATAAAATATTTAAACAAAGACTGATGAGATAAAATTGCAATTAAATAAAAATAAATATTTTTTGGTTAAAATTTGTGCTTTGACTTTTTTTGTTTATTTTTACATTGGAGAATTGCAGGATTGAATTTTTTATATCCAAAAATGATTAAAAAAATGGAGATGATAGTAAAATAAAATTTATACGAGCGAAGTTTGTTAGTCAAATAAATATTACAAAACGAGAACATAATCAGTAATAATGTAGATTTTTATTTTGCATATTTAATAATTTTTAAAAATTATTTTTAATTTATTTTTTATCCAAATTTAATTATAAAATAAAAACAAAATTTATTTTTATTAGTAATAAGAAAAATATATTCTTAGACAAAAATTTAATTAAAAAATAATTAGAAAATTTAATAAAAAAATTATTCTGCAACAAAAACAAAAATAAAATGGCTAAACAAAAAAGAGCAAAGTCCGGATTTTTAGTTCTATTGAAAATATATATAAATGTCCCTGGAGTCATTAGCAAGAAGGTTTCAAATATTGGGAAAAAAAAGAAAATATATATAGCTTTTTAAAGCTCTAAAAGAGAGAGATGACCTTAAAAGAAGAGAAAAAAGAGGGGGAGAGAAAAGGCTAAATATATGTATATCTCATAAATAAGTCAAGAATAGAAAGGACACGAAATGGAATTGAGGAAATTGTGAGGAGGGGGGATTGGAAGAAGAAAGGAGGAAAAGCGGCCAAATAATGAGAAAAAAGAATTTAGAAAAGCTTTTTCCAATTTATTTTTTTGTCAAGTATTTCGAGTAAAATGGTCAACAACTGACCGTTGGTTAAACAAATGGAGAAAAAGAAAATATAAGATATCCAATTTCTTTTTTTTTTAAATTCCATTATTTTATTTTCACGTTATTTAATTTTTAAATTAAATTAAATATAAATATTATTTTTAGGGGTTTTTTAAATTGTTTATATAAATATACAAATTGCGGATAAAAAACAATTGCGGATAAAAAAATAAAAAATAAAGACTTAGTTGATAAAAAAAAACGCCCTTAAATCCTAATAATTTTAGTTACAATATCAAATATTTATTAGAAGCAAATATTAATTGTGTGCATATAATAAATCTAAATTATTTATTAAAACCAAAAATTATTTCTATATTTTAAAATAATGCTTCCTTCCCTAAATGCTCATTTTACTAAACAATTAGCTAGCTAGCCCTTTAAAAGAGCAATTATCAGAGTACACAAGTAAATGGAGGTTGAGGAAAGCATGCAATCTCTGTCCACCCACCACTTCCTCTTAAATATAAATTGCCGATTTCGCGCAAAAATAAATAGTTTGAATATCCCTTTTTAGTTAAAATATATAAAAGCTTTCCTCGACCCAATTTTAAATAAAAAAGAAAAAATATTTAAATTAAAAGGGGATTTTAAATAAAAATACAAAAATTATAGCAGATTAACTAAAGGTATTTTTAAAAGAATTTTTTCTCATTTACACATAGTAAATATTCGTATTAATCAAAAAAGATAAAAGACCAAATAAAAATATTTATATAAATAAATAACCAACAAAAATTATTAATATACTGAAATACCAGTTTAAAATAAATTAATATATATATATAATTAATTGTTTTTACAAACAAGATTTGTCTATATAAATATTTTTTATGAAAATATTATGTAGAAATATGTATTAATAAAAAGAATGATCAGAATTTGTCTTAAAAGAGGAATAATAAATAATGCTGTAACTTCCTTAATGAGTTGAGGGAAATTGTTAACAGAAAGTGGCTTTTATTTATAAATTTATTCTAGATTGTACTCATTTTCACCTCCCTTATCTCCTTGTCATGCTTTCCAGATTCCAAAAAAATCTAGCGGTTTTGTAATTCATGAAACTGAGAAAGCACTTCTTTTACTCTCCTTTAATATATAAAAAATGTTTAATTAATTTCAATATGTTCACAAAATATAAATTGAAGCTAAATAAAGGGATGACTGACCCATAAATTTATAAATAAAGGACGGGAGGAGGAATAACAAGCTGTTGAAGAGGGGGCTTTTTGAGGGTGTAGAAACTCAAAAGGAAAACAAAATAAATAAGGGGAATGAATGTATAGAAAATAAATGAATTGTTGTTGTTGTTATTGTTGAATGCTCTTGTGTGTGTGTGATTGTTATTATTATTTTAGAATTTGGAGTGTGAAAAAGAAAATTAAAAAAGGGGGAAAATATGTGGGGAGGTTGGCGATTATATTTATTTTTTTCAATATTTTTAACTCAAATTTAGTTAAAAAATAAATAAAATTGAAATAAAAATTCTTTAAAAGATTTTACAAAATTAACTAAATTTATAATGACAATACTTTTATTTAAAAATTCTTTTCTTTTCTAATAATTACAAAAATAAATTTTAACAACACAAAGGACATCCAACTCTCCATATAAATTTGTAAATAAATTAGAAAATAATAATTAACATAAAATATAATTATTATTTAAAAAATGCCAAAAAAATTAAAAAAATAAATTTAAGAAAAAGTTTCTTCCAAAATATCTAAAACTTCTTTTTCATGTACTTCAGCTATTGAAGTGGCTATCCACGCTTGTTCTGCACGACCAGCATATTTAAGCTTGAAAATATTTTTTTAAATAAAGTAAAAAAAACAGGTTTAAATCCAAACAAAAGAATAATATTTAAATATCTAGAATTGGTGGAAATTATCGCCTCCATTCCTATGACCGGAGGAATATCTAAAAAATACATCTCCTAACCACCGAAACAAACTCGAGGTATACAAAGTATTTTATGGAAAGTTAAATTAATTGGAAAGTCTTCATAAAAATAAAAACATTAAATATTTACTTCAATTCCAAAAGCATTTTTAAATCTATTTTGAATAAAAGGCCAACATCCAGCATTTCTTGGTTCTTCTTGTGACCAAATAAAGGCTATAAAATTAAAAAAAAATATTTTTTTTCTAAAAATTATTATATATATACATTTAGCATTAGAATAAATATCAAAAATTTTAGCCAAATCAACAACTGGGAAAGGACAGATTTCTTCCAAACAAACAATTGCAATGTCAGAAATTTCTCTTTTATTTCTTTCATTAAAAAGTGTGAGGGAATGCTTTCCAGAACAGATTATAACTTTTTTAATATTTTTATTTTCTTTTATTGTTTTGTCAAATAAAACAGGCTGAAAACTTGTTCCTTCAATAAAATCTTCAATTCGGGAAGAAGAAAATGAATGCCGAAGAAGTAATTTTGGTGTTATTATCTTTTAAAAATTATTTTTTAAATTTTATTTTATTTAGAGATAATTAAGTATAATTTAATAAACCATATAAACGAAATGTTTAAGAATGTTTTTGAAAAATATCTTTTTCTTTTCAGGCTCGATTGAATAAAAAATTTTTTAAATTAAAAATACAAACCACAAGAGGTTTTCTATATGGAGTTATAATCTAAAAATATATTTTTTAATTATTTTCTTTTTCAAATTTAAATGCCTGTCTCCTCAAAAGATGAAAATATTGAGCACTTGTAGTTGGATTTGTTACCCTCATATTTATATTATCTCCATCAGGTACTAATTGAGATTCGCTACTATCGGATAAAGAAAGGAAACGTTCAATGTGAGCACTACTATGGTCTGGACTAAAAAATTTGTTTAAAAAATTGTTAAAAAATATAAATCCCCTCACCCAGCCCCGTCAAATCCATGAGGCAAAAGCAAAACCAATCCATTTTGTAAAAACCATTTACCTTTAAATTAAATACTAAACAATTAATTAATTAATTAAACTTTCTCCACTAGCTATCAAAGTATCTATTTGTACTTGAGCACCATTATAGAAATCACCAAATTGGGCCTTAAAAATAAAATTAATCTTAAAAAATATTAATTCCATTAACCTCCCAAATAACAAGTCTTTTAGGGTTTTCAATTGCAAAACCATATTCAAAACCAACAACGGCAGCTTCCGAAAGAGGGCTATTAGCTATCTAAATATTTTTAATTAGAAAATAATACATATTTTTATAATTTTTATTTCCTAACTCTAAAAATCTTTTCTAGGTCCCACAATCTATTTACCCTTATTAAGATAATAGAACATTCTCTCATAAATCCTCGCCATAATTTCTCTCAACACCCTTTCTTTTCCCTTAAATTCCCACAACTTTCTATTTTTTTCCTTTTATTTCTTTATTTTACCTCAAGAAAACATTTTTGTCCTTCTTGTATTTTATTCAAAGGAATATAAACTTTGTCAGTTTGTTGACAGACAAGCATTGCATGTCTTTGACTAAAAGTTCCTCTGCCTACATCTTGCCCACTTAAACGAACATCAAAGCCTTGTAAAAGAGCAGAACCGATTGCTAAAGATTCTGCTGTACTCCAATCAATCTAATAAGTATTTATTTAATTAAAAAATATTCTCTTTTAAAATCTTCCTTACATTTCCATTTTGAATTTTTTCCAGTCGAGAATTAACAAGTGATTTTTGAAGAGTTGGATGAATTGACTAAAAAACATTTAAAAATAAAAAGAAAATCCATAACTCCCTACAAAATCATTGGGAACATTAACAGAAGTACCCCCAATTAATTTAAGTAATTCTTTATTAAATCCAGTATTCCATTTAGAAACACATTTAGGCGCTTGTTTAAATCCTTTCCAATTTCCACGTAAATGATCAATTCTAATAAAATCTGAATTTTTAGAAAAAAAATAAAGGAAAACATTGGAGGTATTTTCCCTTCATTAACATTTAAAAGTATTTCATTTAATTCCTCTAAATATTCTTTTACAACAAAATTCGCCTTTTCTTCAGTAAATATTCCATCATTAATTAATTTTTCTTTAAAACTATTAACTAAACATTGTTGTTTATCTATGGCTTTATACATTTCCTGAAATTTTAAAATTAATTTTAGTTAAAATTTATTAAATGAAAAATAATTTTAATTTCTAATTTTGATTGAAAAGAAAAATATTTGTTAAAAAATAATCTAACAACAATAATATCGAGTACTTCACCAAATTTTAAAATTAAAAAATAATTTTTCTCACTTACAGGCTGTGTAAATCTAGGTTCATCCAATTCATTATGTCCATATCTTCGATAACATATTAATTCAACAAAAATTTCTTTTCTAAAAATTTGTCGATATTTTAAAGCTATTTTTGCTGCTTTAATTACTTCCTAAAAATTATTTTCTTTTAAATTTTTTAAAAAATAACCAAAATATTTTCAGCATTAACACAAATTAAAGGACAGTCAATAGCTAAAGCAACATTTCCACAATGAATTGATGATCGTCCAATATTTTTGTCTGCAGTATAGGCTAATTGATTCTAAATATTTTTTAACTTAGAATAAATATTTTTTATAATTTTTACATTAACAATTAAATGAATAGAGCCACCAATTCGAAAATTCGGTACTTGAGACATTGATAGAGCTTCCCAAACAATTCCCTTAAATTAATTTAAATTTGATTTAAAAATTAAAGATTTTGTTCAGATTTTTTAATTTAAAATTTTTATTTTTGTGGCTGAAAATTTGTACTTGTATATGTATTATAATGAAATGTGTATCCTAAATAAGCGATATCACTTAGACACCACATATTTCAAATTAAAAAATTATCCTAATCGGAGGAGTATTTAATTACGGTGGTATTTTATAATAATTAATTTATATTTACTTGTCCAGTAAAAGCACCATCTCCGTGGTGATGAACGGCAAGAATACCCTAAGAAAATATTTTTAGTAAAATTATTTCAATAATTTTTCCTATTTCCCTACTTCTCCAACAACTTGACCACCATAATCGCCTATTCTGAAATAAGTAAAAAAGTTAATATCTTTAACTTCAAGGAACCTTAAAGTTTGTGCCTTAGCTCTAGCCTTCCCATAAAGTGTAGCAATTGTTGCCTCTAAATGTGAAGGATTTGGTAATGTACTTACATGGACATTGTTGTCATTAATTGTTTTGTAGTTAAAATCAGAATGCTAATTTTTAAAGAAAAGTTTATTTCAATTTAAAAATAATTACTAAATGAGAAGAAACATCACCAATTCCAGAAATATCTTCTGGAGCTTCTCTCATTCCACATAACTTTAAAAAAAATTTTTTAATTCTATTAAATTACAATTTAAAGAAAATAACCTTACGAAATAATTGACCAGTAGGATATTGAAAGAGAACATTTTGTAAAGCTAAACGGCCTCTATGAGCACCACCCCAAAAGAACTTTAAAAAAATAATTAAAATATTCTACATAATTCTTAACTTCTTGAATTCCATATTGAGAACAATCTTCAAGCAATTGGTGAAAGAATATAGCCATAGTTTCAGCTCCCTACAGAAAACATGTATACCAAAACATTAGAAAGGTATATTTAATATTATAGGGAATCTATTTTTACATTTGGAGAATGAATAATTTTTTTTTTCTTCCATTTCTTCCCCATAATTTCCAATTTATCTCAAAAATTCCCGTTTACTTTTAAGAGTCACACATTCTAATATATATTTTCCAAGTTTTTATTTATTAAGATCTCACAAGAATTAGAAAATGATATATTCTACTTGCTAATTATTATAATATACCTAAATAAATACCTCTCCAGAATATCTTTTTAATGTTGGAAATTTAAGTGCCAAAAATTGTTCAAAAGTCTATAAATTATTTAAATAAATAATTATCTAAATTAACACCTTCATTTTAAGCAATAATTTTAATCTTCCAATTTTTTCTTCAGAATTAATTTCGAATTCATTTAAAGGATTTTCAAATATTTTTATAAAAAAATTTCTTTCCTCAACTGACTTAAATTTAAAAATTTTTTAATAAAAACAAATTAATTTTTAACTTTTAAATGCATAAATTGAATTCCAATATTGCTCGAATAAATTTTATTTAAACGTTCAATTGTAGATAATACTTCATTTTCATCTTTTTTTAAACCATACAAATTTGGATTTAATTCGGGTATTCTTTGAAAATAATTATTTTTTTAAAGAATAAATATGGTTATAATATTTTAAAAAATATTTTTGTAAATCTAATATAAGAATATCCTGTTTTTAAGATAATCTGTTCTGTCTCGACAGTTCCAAATTTTAAATGGTTGCTTTTCACCCTATCCTTCGGATACAATAATATGGTACCAATTAATTTCCAGGATTACAAAGTAAATTCCCAATTAAATCTATACCTTTTTCTACAACTTAAATTCAACGGGTCAATTGTTGCTTGTAAATGACCATATCTCCGATAAGCATTAATTAATGAATTAATACCTTTCTCATTATCTTGGGGGAAATTAAAATATTTTTTGAAAATATTATTTTTTTAACCTCCAATGAAGGAAGAAATTCCCTCATTTTCTAGTAAAGTAGTAGAAGGCTTTTCTGTTGCTGAACATCCAAAAATATCCCTTCCTTGCCAATAAAAACGTTTTGGAATATTTTTGAAAGAATGACATTTTTGGGGAAATTTTAAACGAAAAGTTAACATTAAAAATTATTTTTAAAAATAAATCGAATTTGGAGATGAATTTTAGAATACTAATTATGTATTTTTGATAAAAAATCAAAATTATTTAAAGGAAACTGCTGACTATTAGAAAATAAAATAACTACTAATTTCACTATCACATTTTTGTCAAGAATATATTAAAAATCGATAGAAAATTAAATAAAAATGAGAGAAGAATTACTAAAAAAATAAGAGAATTAAAATTATTAAATGACTCGAATGAAACTGCCATCAAATCCTTAATCCTCTTTAACCGTTCAGTTTAGCTTAACCGAAGAATTTAGTGAACCCGACAACCCTACAACTTAGACATCACATAAAGAACAATCACAAATTAATGTCAAACTTAAAATTTTTGTTTTTTTTTTCAATTTTCGTTGATCTTGAAAATTATTTTCTATTTCTATATTTTTGGATTTCTTTCGATTTTTGTTTCGAAACAGCTCTGGTTTGGATGAATGAAGAGTTTTGGAGAATGAACTTTGAATTTAGAGAATAAATTTATGTCAGATTTCTTCTTCTTTACGCCTCAGGCAGAAATTCGATAATTTTGGAGGCAGGTGTTAGAAAATACACTTCGCCAAGATAGCATTTAAATTTTTATTTAAATTTAATTATTTAACAAAGAAGTACTTAACCAAAAAATCTAACGTAAATTAGTATATTTTTATTTAAAATACAAATCTTCATATAATCCAATCCTTAAACAATTTTTCTATTCTGTTTCGTGACGACTTTTTATTATGTCAGCTATTTTCTGGTTATTATGCCTTATTATATTGTTTTGTAAGTTTATGTCTTTAATAAATGAAATTTTTTTTATTAATTTAGGTCTATCTTACTAATTCGTTTGTGTTTGGTCAACGCTAAGAAGTATAACAATGAAGACGTAAAATGAATAGTGAAGATGATAAATTTAACAAAGAACAATCTACAGAAAAGGAACAATCAACACAAATTGAAGAAACATTTGTTGAAGTTAATGAAAATGAAGAAATTGAAGATATTGTAAAAAATCAAGAGAATAATGCTGTAAAAGAACAAACCACGAAAAAGGTTCATTAATATTACAACAAAAATTGTTTAAAACTCGTATTTTATTTATATTTTTTGTTCCGGGATAGAAAACAAGTCTTTTCCTTAATTGCTTTTCTGTAGTCCAAGTTCTTTGTCAAAACTCCAAAAAGAAATTTTCTTTTATTTTTAAAGCCAAAGGACTAGAAAATTAATATATGTACCTATAATCAAAAAATAATTCACTCCATTTGTTCTTCTCCATCTATCTATTTTTTTTATATTTTTTCTTCAATTTGTTGATCTCTCTAAAATGAGAGAATTATTTTTTATAAAAAAGAATGTTCATACTCATAAAGACGCTTTCCCTCAAGTTCAACTTCCTTGCATAAAGTTGAGGCAAACTGAAATTTTCCAAATAAATTATAAAAATATTTTATTTTAAATATTACTTCTCCAATCTCCTCTTCATGTTCTTTTATCAGTTTTTTAGCCCTCTCAGTGCATTCATCTACATTTTTATAAATTATATCCTCTCTCTCTTTCCTTAGGGCTTCAGAAAATTTTTTCGAACAACCCATCTCGCAGGCTTCCCATCAAATGCAAATTTAGCTCCCTATAATTAAAAAAATTAAAAAAGTAGTGTAAGAATATTAAAACTTTAGATAATGCAACATCTCGCACTTTAGCCAAATCAGAAGAACTTAGAGTTGATGGTTCTTGTAAAAACAACATTTCTGCACAATAACCTCCAAGTAAAATACACATATAATTATTTTTGTCGGAGGGAGTGTAAATTTGTTTTTTTCCAAAATTAAATGATGTATATCCAAGAAGAATATCATTAGATATTAAGGTGACCTAAATTCTAGATAAAAAAACAAGAATTTTTGAAATACTTTGGTAATTTAAAATAATTATATGTGTATTTTACTTGGAGGTTATTGTGCAGAAATGTTGTTTTTACAAGAACCATCAACTCTAAGTTCTTCTGATTTGGCTAAAGTGCGAGATGTTGCATTATCTAAAGTTTTAATATTCTTACACTACTTTTTTAATTTTTTTAATTATAGTGAGCTAAATTTGCATTTGATGGAAAGCCAGCAAGATGGGTTGTAAAGAAGAACTGTTCTGATGCTTTAAGGAAAGAGAGAGAGGACATAATTTGTAAAGATGTTGATGAATGCACTGAGAGGGCTAAAAAATTGATAAAAGAACATGAAGAGGAGATTGGAGAAGTAATATTTAAAATAAAATATTTTTATAATTTATTTGGAAAATTTCAGTTTGCCTCAACTTTATGCAAGGAAGTTGAACTTGAGGGAAAGCGTCTTTATAATTAAGATCGCTCTTTTTATAAAAAAATAATTCTCTCATTTTAGGGAGCTCAACAAATTGAAGGAAAAATATAAGAAAAAATAATAGATGGGGAAGAAAAACAAATTGAGTGAATTATTTTTTGATTAAAGGTATATTAATTTTCTCTTCCTTTGGCTTTAAAAATAAAAGAAAATTTCTTTTTGGAATTTTTTTTCCTTTGGAGTTTTTTGGAAAAATTTTCTTTTTGGAGTTTTGACAAAGAACTTGGACTAAAGAAAAGCAATTAAGGAAAAGCCTTGTTTTCTATCCCGGAAAGAATCGCTTCTTTTATTTATTCTAAATAATTTTTATCTTTTTATAAATAAAATAATAAATACAAAAAAATAATTGAGCAATTAAATTAATTTAATTAAATATCTGTAGGGATATTTTGTTGCAAAGCCATTTTATAAGCTAAATTAAATGCTTCTCCAAGTGTTGTAATTATTTCTTTTGCTATTGACTTTAAAATAAAAATTTAAATTTAAAAAATTTAAAAGAAAAACTAAACAGATGTTAAAACACAAAAACAATGACAATAATAATTATTTTGTTCTTCCCCATCTTTAAAAATATATGAAAAGAAATTTAAATCTGAATTGTCTTGGCAAACAATTTGTATTTGATTAATTGAATGGCGATGAATTGCTGTTTGCTAAATTTTAAAAATAGTATTTTTTATGCAGTTAGAGATCTTTGTTTTAAACACCCCTTAGTGAAGAAGAAACTAAGGGGTATTCAAAAAGGAGATTAGACTGTAATTAAAATAAAATTACAAACTGTTTGGCAATCAAGAATGTTAATACCAGAGATTGAAATATCTAACAGAACTTGAGGTACTCCAGAAACTTGGTTGGCTTTGGACTAGTAAAAATAAATATTTAAAAAATTATTTTAAGGTTTTTTCCACCTTAAAAAGTTTTTAACGCAAAATAATCTTAGTAATTTTATTCATATTTTGTTCCCAGAAAATACCTTAATTGAATGCATTGTTTGCCTACATTCCTCACTTCCGTCAGAAATATTTGAAATTTCAATAGATCCAAGATAATGAGCAGAAAATCTGACACAACCTTTCCTTAATTTAACTCTAAGGGCTGTTAAATCCAATCCTTTTGAAGGGGAAAGAGAAATTCCTCGAGAGGAATTAATTGAATTGTTAGTAGTACTCGAAGATATAGTACTTAATGAAGTGGTGGCATTTAATTCTAATAAATTATTATTTAATTTATTATCAGAAGGTAATAATGATGTTGAACTTGAATTAGTAGTGTTGTTAACTCCTTCCCTGAAATATTGAAATTTAAATTACTAATAAAGTAAAATATGTATGAAAAATAGTAATTATATAATTAAATGTTTTTGTTCTTATAGATAGAATTAAATCTCAAAGATTTAGTTGGTAATAGATGTGGGAAATGTAGTGGGAATTAATAGGAGTAATGTGGACAAGGAATAGCACAAATATAGGAAATTTACAATGATCTTGTGTTATATCGAAAATAATTTGTTCATTCCTTTATTTCAAATTTTTATAATTAAAAAAATAGAATAAATTTATTAAATACTTGGTAACATCGGCATTCGAGGTAGTAGCCATGTCAACTGATCTAATTATTCTTGCAATATGCCCCAATTTTGTTACACCTAATTTCTACAAAAATTATTATTTAATTTTTAAATAAAATACAAATAAATATTTTACCTCCAAATTATTTCTATTTAATTTAAAATTAATTAATTCTTTAATTGAGGTAATATTTTCTTTTGAGAATTTAGAAAATAATTCAGACAAATTAAGAGCCTTTAGCCAATCAGAGATTGAGTCAAACATTACTAAATATTTATTTAGATTTTAAAAGATTATTATTTATTTCTAACAGGCATTTGGAATACAAATTTGTGTTGAAGGTTCATCCAAACACCGACATATGCGTAATTGAGATTTTCTTTCAATTCCAAGTTCAGTCATAAATTTCGTATTTAAAGAGCCTTTCTGTCAATTAAAAAATTAATTAATATTTTAAATATTTTAAATATTTATTTCTTTACCAAAAATTCAAAACAATCAAATCCATTATTAATTAATAAATGTCCAATTCTAGCAGCTAATTCCTCCTCCAATTCCACTTCTATTTTAAGCCAATTAATTATTTTATGTTGATTAGAATCAATTAATTCTTTCGAAGAATTTTTAGAATTTGTAATTAAATCGTTTTTAATTGTAGCAGGAGGAGGAGGGGAGGAGGAATTATTTTCAATATTTGATTGAAAAAATGAATTTCGCTGAAAAGCTGTCAGCATCTCATCTATCTAAAATATTATAAATAAATAAGAATACTTTTAAAAACTATTTAATTCCATTTTTATTTTTTAGACTAAATTTTTGGTTTCCAAATCCCAAACCAAACTTTATAGGTATTTATCAAGAACCGATGATTCTTTCAGGAATTTTGCCTTTCCAACTTAATATGGTTATTTTGTATGATCACTACCCATCCGTTCCTACATTTTAAATATAATTTTAAAAATATATTTGCCTCTTTCCATCTAAATTCATCAACATCATCATTATTATTATTAGATTTATTTAAATTGTTATTAATTTCATTTTGTTTGTCATTTAATTGTTGTTGACTGATAGAATTATTATTATTTATTTTATCATTATTAATAATATTATTTCCTTTCCCTTCCATTGAATGAAAGCGAGAATGAGGAGTTGAACCAGATGAACAAGAAGGAGAAGGCGAAGGAAAAGACGAGAATGGGGGAGGTGGAGGAGGTGGAGGAGGTAAAGTAAAATATTTGGGGTTTTGTTGAAGTACTTTAAAATTATTATTTAAAGAAAATCCTTCTGATAATTGTGGTAGAGGTGGAGGAGGGGAAGATGGAGAGGAAGTAGAAGAAGAATGGAAATGAGAAGAGTGCTGCTTTTGATTAGGGAATTTTCTGTTAAGTAAAAATTGGTTTATGTAGACAAACAAAAATAAAAATTTGTATTTCACGTTAAAATCGACAAAAATTATCATAATTTTTAGTTTAATTAGTAGAAAGACAAAAATATATTGGTAACTCTATTAGAAGGACCTATAAAACCTTCCTTATAAGTCAACCCCCTTTTTAGTGTTTGAAAAGGGTTCTTGCTGCATATAGGGAAGTTGGCAGTATGTATACTATTAGATTCCAAGACCGAAAATTTTTCCAGGACAAGGAACAAGACTTGGAAAAAAATTTTTACTTTAATTTTTTAAAATAAAAATTATTTAAAAAAATTATATTTACTCTTCAGACGATTCCGGCGATGATTTGTTTGAATCGGCTAACTTTGTGATGGAATTATATGAAAAAACAGGTAGTGAACGAATACCTTCATCATCTTCAATTTCTTTATTTACGGAATTATTTGATTTTTCCTTATTATTTTTCTGTGTTGTTGAAAGAGAAAATTCTCGGTTTATGGGATGAGGTAAAGATGAATTGGAACAATGAGAACCAGTCATTTCTGTTCTAGGAAGAGGAGAATTTGAAGAGGAACCATTCGGAGGATGACGACAATTATGTTGCCATTTCCTAAATAATTTATAGAAGTTATTGTTTCTTCAAATATTACCGTCTCCCAGCAGCTGACAAAGGGGCATTATCATATAATAAACTCCTTTTAGGCAAATTTTGATAGTTAAATCCATTAATGTTCTTTTGTTGTTTATTTTCTAATTTATTTGCAATTTCTTCCGGTAATGGCTGATAAGGGCAGTCAGCGGAAGTGGAATTTGGACAATCACTTTTAGCTTGAGAATGGTTGTGAATATTAGTATTTGTTATGGTTTTGTTGTCAGAAGTATCATTTTTTGTATGAACCCTGATTGGTTGGTTTTGTTTAGGAGAATGAGAATTAGAAGAAGTTGTGCATGGTGAATGACTTTTCTAAAACATAAAAGTTAAGAAGACATTCAGTACTTTAGCTGAAAATAATGAGAGTTTTAGAGCAAAAACGAAAATAAGAAAGATCGAAGAGATGTTAATAAGTTTTGGAGTTGTTTCCAACCTTTATAAAAGATAAAGGTTGGAAATAGGCCTAAAAGATTGAATGGAACACTACTGTGTACAATATTTGTAACGATTTAATTAGAACACCATGAACAGAAGTTTAGAAAATATATTTAAATTAAATAATCTTATTAAAAATATATGCCTGAATTGTCCAACCATTAGGTATTAAATTCTTTTTATTTTCCTTATTATTTTGTTTTTCTACAATTTGTTGTTTTCTTTCTTTTGATAAATATTTTAAAATAATATTTCTGCACTCTTCCCAACTACGAACACGTTCATGAATTCGTTTTTCATTAGATGAACCAAAAATATTTAATTGTCTATTTAATAATTCTAAAACTGTTAGGCCTTCAATATTTTTTACGTCAATAGAAGATGAAGAAAGGTTATCTAAAAAAGAATTGTAATTATTGTAATCATTATTTTTCCACTAACTAACCCTCATTATCAAGTAATATTTTCAAAGCATTTTTATTTCCATTAATTGCAGCTATATGTAATGCAGTCCCTTCTGTTCCCAAATATTTTGTGTCAAAACCATTTTCTAGTAAAACTTTCAAACAATCTTCATTTCCAATTCGAGCAGCTATATGTAATGGATAAATTGGGGTTGAATAAGATTTTGTTGGATGGGTTGGTGTTGTCGAGCAACACTCCGAAGTACTCTAAAATAATTAAAATATCTTTTAGATGAAAATTATTTTCTTATAAATTTAAAATTTGATATAGAATTTATAAAATTTGAGATGTTTAACATTGGATACAATTATTATCTGCATTTGGAAAAGATTGTGGAGAACATTTCTCAGTTCCAATTTACTACCCTAACAAGTACATATGTGCATATGTATTATTCCAATTTACTTATTTCTAATTTTTTGTCTATCAGTATTTGGAAATAAATTTGCCCTCAACTTAGCGATATTTAAAAAATTTACCGAAACTGAAAGTTCAGGACAATGCATTAACAATAGTCTACACAAATTTGCTCTTCCCGTTCGGACAGCAATGTCTAAAGAATTCTCTTGGTGTGCATTGCGCATTTTTGGATTTCCATTTTTCTAAAATTAAAGAAATTTTTATTTATATCAAAAATTGAAGCAATAAAACCTTTAAAATAAAAAGTATTGAAGGACCATGCCCGTTTTGAACAGCTAAATGGAGGGCAGTCTGTAGAGAATTATTTACTTCATTCTTTATAATTAAAAAAAATATTTAAATAAAAATAAATATATTTACTAACCACACTTTTTGGTTCACAGTCTAATAATATCTTAAATAATTTTTGTTTATTTAAATTTATTTTTTTGTCAACCTCCAAAATATTTAAATGTCCATTCCAAGCAGCTAAATGTAAAGGAAGGCAGCCACGACGGTCTTTTATTTTAATTAATTGTTTATCTTTTTCTATTAAAATTTGAACAATTTCTTTATGTCCATGGAGTGCTGCCAGATGTAAAAGTGTATGTAAAGTATTTGGTTGACGAAGATTACATAACCAGCCAGTTGGGGGGTTGGAGAAATGACTGTCATCATTTGAAGGGGAGAAACGAAAAAATCTTTAAAAAATTAATTTAAAAATATTTTTTAATAATTTCAGGCGAGGAGGGAAGCTAATTTGGAGGGACACTTATACCAACTTTATTATTGAAGTATCCCTCCTTGATCAAATAAAAATTAAAATATGTAAATGAATCTTTTTAATTAAAAATTAAAAACAAACTTTAAAGGAGATCTTCTACTATTTTGTTTTTTGCTCATTTTAAATAATAATAATTGAACATTTTGTGTGTATCCTAAACAACAATTCTCAAATAATTCTTTCATTATTTTTTTGAAGAAGAAGAAAATAAATTAAATTAATAAATATATTAACTAAAAATAAAAAAATATTTTTAATTTTCTTTATAAAAAAAGGTTGTCAATAACTAAACAAAAATATACCCTATTCTCTCTTTTATTCATTCAATATTTCCATTCACTTCCGATTTACTATATTCCATTCACCCCTTCTTATTTATTTTCGTTTACCTATTAAAAGCCGCGCAGCTGTTAGGTAATAATAAAAAAACTACATAAATATTTAGTGATTGCTTTTAATTTTCTTTTTAAATTCCCTCACCACTATCTTCAATTTACGCCAAATTGTAACATTCTATTTTACTATTTAATTTACATTATAAAGAAATAAATAAAAGAATTTATTGAAAATATAATGATCATAGAAAATGATTCATATTTTTTATGTTCATATTGAGATCAACAATTATAAAATAAAAAATATTTCTTAGACATTTTTGAGATAAGAAACAATAAATTAATTTGTTATGGAAATGTGATTTTTGGAAAGTTTGTGCAAGTACCTATTTTACTTAATAAAAGAAATCATGGATTATTACACAAAATAAATGCCAAAATTTTTTAAAAATTAATTACAATCTGAAAAATATTTGGCAAATTTAAAATAATTTATAAATTTGGTAAATAAAGGTATTAATTTTAACGTTTCTTTTACTTGTTTGTGCGTTTATATCATTATTTAAGAGAATAAAAGGGGGATATACATATAATATTGAATTTGTAAAAAAAGATGAACAAACCTAAGTGTAATCAATTAAACTGAAAAGAAGTAATTTAAAATAAATAAAAAAAACGCTCAAATTGGTCTTTTTCTCCTAAAAATTTACAAAATATAAAAGTCAATTTAATAAAAGTACAAGTAAAAATAAACAAATTATACCCTTTCGATACTGCTCATCAATTATTTTAAAAAACATTCGACCAAGTTTTCCGAGCCACCTCGAACGAGATATAATTTGTCGTTATCTTACAAAGGTAAATGGTACCTCAAATGGGAGGATGTGAGATCTCGGCATTTATCTTTTTATTAAAAGTGAGTTTCCCGAAAGTTTTATAAATTCCGATTTTTATTATATTCGAATCTGCAGATATTTTACTCCCTTAAAAAGAGAGAAATTTAAAAGAAAAACATAAAAATGCCCTTTTCAATTTTTGTTTTTATTTTCGTTTTTTAAATATTTACTAAAATAGAAATGAAATGAATGAAAAAAATTTTCTTCCCCATTCTCGACATTTTGCTTATCAATAATAAAAAAATGAAAAAAATAAATGTAAATAGCAGTTCTATTTTTGCCTTTTATTTTTTTTCTCTTAAATTCATCGCCACCCTGCAAAAATAATATTTTACGTGTATATATTCCTCCCATGAGATTCCTCCCCCCCCCTCATACATTCTCGTAAAATAAATAAATAAATTACAAATTATTTTTTTTTTGCTTTTTAATCCATAAAATTTGGATAATTTATTATAAATTTTACTTATATTTAAATTAATGAACGATAATCAAAAATATATGTTTATAAAATTTTGTAAAGGATAAATGTAAGGAAAATATCTCGCCGACAATTTTCATAAAAAATCACACTTTCGGTAATCACGAATGTTGGAAAAATAAATTCTCAGAATCATGATAGAGGAATAATTTTGTATGTAGAACAAATTTAGTATTTAATACAACAAAAAAATAATAAAATAAAAAAAGATATAATATTTATAGAATGTTAAAAGATAATAAATAATAAAATAAAAATTGGTTTTTGCTCTCGTTTTCCTCCAATCATTTGGAGCTGTCAACAATAAATGTGTATGAGCATGCCTTTTATGAATGATTTTGGTATTTTAATATAATATGAAGAAAAAACACAATGAATGATTGAAATACATTCCGGAAGGTGGAAGAAATAAAAAGTTAAGAAAATTTAAAGTTTAAAAATTGTACATATATGAAAAACTTTCTCTCTATAATTCCTAAAATAGTCCTTATTTGTTAGTGAAGGAAAACTAGAAAAAGAAATATTATGAACGAACAATTTAAAATTTAGTAATTTATTTGTACTCCTCGAAACTTAGAGGGGTTTGAACAAGGAGATAAATATATGTAGATTCTTCATTACATCATAAAAAATAATTTTAAAAATAAAAATTAAATTTCAATGAAAACAAATCTCAGTAGTCCCATCGATTAGTGAAAATATAAGAAAGGGAGAGAATGATTTAGCCAAAACACTAGTCAACAACAACAATAACATTTACAAAGAAAAATTGTAATAGTAAAGTATTTGTGTTATTTATTAGCTGATAAACCTGCCTTAATATAATTATATATGTATTTGATGTTTACTTATTAGAAAAGAAGAAATAAAATATATAAAGAAAAAATGATTAATTTTTTTATTAAAGTAATATTTAGTAAAAGAATTTAGGTAAAAAGAGTTTTTAATTTTTATTTTTTAATTTATTTAAATGTTAAAAAATAATTTAGGTTAAGAGCCTTTGTTGAAATTTAAAGAAGATATTTTGACCCATCTACATAATTGGTTACGTTTTTGTTCAGTATGGAATAAATTCTAGTAATGATATTGTGACAAAGCCTCTTTAATTTCAATCATTTTTGAGCAGTTTCCTGTTCGAATTTTAATTAATTTTTTATTTTATTTTAAGGATACTTTAATTGCTGCGAGTTAGAGCTTGTTACTCTCTTTTGACTGGAAACTATGTATAATTTGCTAATTTAAATTTAATGTTAATTTAAAAAATTCAAAGACTGACACTTTTTTTTCTAAAAAGCTTTTACATTAATAACGTGCTTTATATGTACTTTTAGAAATAAATTTATTGAATAAAATTTTAACAATTATAAATTGAGTAAAATAAAAGGTTTAATTTTTTTGTTTGTCAAAGAATATTTGATTACCTTTTATGTATTAAGTGGGAAATTTTAGAATTAAAAAAAGTAAAGGATTTTTATTTGAAATTTAAGTGTTAATTGTTAATTTATATAAATTTTTTAATTTAAATTTAATTAATTAATTTATTTTTTACAAAAATTAAAATTAAATTTGTCATCACTTCAAAACCAGTTTTTTCTCTCAAAACCGGCTTTTTCTTGTAATTTCTGCAGCAAAACCTTTTTCAGTGTTCTTTTCATTCAATCGAATATTCTTTCACTCGCAAAGAATATTTATTTATTTATTTATTTGCCACCGGCGATCAATTCGAAAAATAATTTTTAAATAAAATTAAAGTTTAAATTAAATTTTAAAAATTGATTTAATTCAGTTTTCCTTTCACATAAAGGAAATAGTAAAACTTATTTCAAATTTCCTTATTTATTCAAATCAATTTTATTTTCTGTATTTAAAATATATAAAAAGCATGAGTGAAAATTTAATTCTTGGTATACTAATTTTTGCTCTATTTTTGGATTTGTTGGCTTTTACATTAATTCTTCCTTTATTTCCTTCAATTCTTGAACATTTTTCTAAATTACAACAAAAAAATAATGTTTGTTAAAAATAAATAAATATTTATTTTTATTTGAAAATAAGCTAAGAGAATTATTTAAAAAATTTTATAGACCTCGGAAAATTTTAAATTAATAGTTTAACAAATAAATTTAACAAATCATTTCTGAGTCAAATAATCACACAATTTATATTTTAAAAATTAAATACAAAATTTTCTCTTAATTTTTCAGGATCCTTTATTTTCAACATTTTCACAATTAAGTGGTTATATTCAAACAATTTTAAACGTTCCTTCTCTCGATCGTTACAATAATGTTTTCTTTGGCGGAATATTAGGCTCACTTTTTTCTTTTCTTCAATTTTTATCCTCCCCGATTTTTGGAGCTTTTTCTGATAAATATGGAAGAAAACCTCTTTTATTGTTTGCTGTTTTTGGATCTTTAATTTCTTATTCGGTTAATTAACGCCCATTATTTTAATTTATTTTTTTTTCTTAAAGTTTTGGTCTATTTCTGGATTAAGTTTTTCGTTGTTTTTCTTCTCTCGTTTAATTGGAGGGTTAAGCAAAGCTTCAATATCTCTTGCCATAGCAATTGTGACTGATTTACTGCCAGATGAACGTAGAGGGAAAGGAATGGTTGTTATAAGGAAATAATTTTAAAATTAATTATTTTTAAAGGCTTTAGTCGGTGCCTGTTTTTCTCTTGCTTTTATTGCTGGCCCCTCAATAGGTGCTTGTTTGTCTTTACATGGACGTGATAATGACCAATTCAATTCTAGACCAGCATGTTTAGCTATTACCTTAACTATACTTGAAGCTTTAATTCTTTTAATATTTTTACCTGAAACTTTGAAAAATAATGAAGAGAAAAGAAAAAATGTAAGTAAATTAATTTTAATAAAAAATAAAATTTAAAAACAACCAAAATTTAAAAATAAATTTGAAAAACAGAAAGTAAAGGATATAACTAGACAAAATAATTAAGCATATAAGAATTACCTAAACATTTCAAATTTCCACATAAATATTTAAATTTAGAAAACATCAAAACAAAATTATTCTCTCTGGACATTTATTAATCCATTTTCAATAACAAATAATTCTAAAAAATTAGAAGATATTCCTTCCAACAAATTTTTATTAAATTCAATTTCTCTTATTTATTTTTTATTTCTTCTCTTCTTTTCAGCATTGGAATTTACTTTAGGGTTTTTAACTCATATTCGTTTCTATTACGATAGTAGACAACAAGGAAAACTTTATTTAATTTCTGGAATTTGTATGCTTTTAATTCAGGGTAATTTTTTAATTTAAGAAAGTTTTTAAAAGAAAAATTTAAATAAAAAGGAGTTTTTGTTCGTCGATCACCTTCTACCTCCAAAGCTCAATCAAAATGTGCACTTTTTGGTCTAATGTCAATTGTGCCCGCTTATTTATTTATGGCTATAGCTAATTCTGAATTTTTGTTATATACAGGACTTTTATTTTATTCAATTTGTATTTAAATTTTTAAATTAATTTCAAAAAAATTAATTTATGAAAGCATCGGCAACGGTTGTTCCATCATTGACAGCATTGTTTTCGAGATATTGTGAACAAACCCAAAGAGGTACATACATATTTTTGGTATTTCAAAAATATTCTCTATGGACATTCCACTCGTTAAACGTTTCATATTGTTCCTTTAACTTTTATAGATTTAAATAAAAGTTCTAATTTTAATTAAGGTGCTTTTCTCGGAATATTT